AGGATTTATAAAGCTTGTACTGAAGTAGCTTGTAAAAATGCAATAGCTTTTATATTTCTTACAGAGCAGACAGACATGTTCATGCTGTTTTTCAAGAGGTTCTGTTTCAAACAACATTGTTGGCTCAATGCAAGAACTTGAAACCATAATATTACTTCCAAACTGAAGTGTTTGTATTCTGATTGAACAGATCAGAGATTAGATTAAATTAGTTTAGATCTTTAATTTCCTTGAGGGAACCTTCCCAAAAGGATAAATAAAGTCTGTCTAATGTAATCTAATGTAATCTCATCTCATCTCACCTCATCTCATCTAATCTCATCTAATCTTATTGAATTATATGCTTTAATTAACCAGTTTTGAGGCTTGGGTGAGCTGAAGTTTGACATAACCAGATTAGCAGTTCCCCCTTGTTTCTAATCTTTATGCGAGGCCAAGCTAACAGGCTGCTGGTTGTGCCCTTACAGAGGTTTACAATTAGGGTACTCGTCTGGTTAAGCAGCTGATCTGCCTCAAATACAGAGGCTACAGTCTTAGCAGCAGCAGGTGCTGGTTCAACTCCCAACCTTAACCATTTCCTGCATGTTTTCTCCCATTCTTGACTCTCATCCCTTCTAAGTCTACAGCAAAATTCCCCCAAAATAGCCAAAAACACGTATTTCCAAAATGTCGAGGACAACACATTCCACTCATCTTTGAGATGTTTACTTACTGAGCTGAAGGCTACGATACAACCGCTGACATGCCAGACAGCTATAGTTTATATACAGCGTGAGAACCCCTTATTGTAGTTTTTTCATCTGTTGTGATGTTATATCCAGCCTGTCAGCATGTGTTAACTACAGCTGTTTTTCATGTGGGCTGGTTATGACGAAGGCACTCTAAAGTCGGTCTGGTTTGGGTCAGGGGTTTCAGCAAAATGCCAAGAAATGAAAACGACCAAATTCCAGATGATTATGATATTCTTTGCATTCTTACATAGGCTCAGAAAATGATTTCTGTCTGTGGTGTTATCCCGCTGATTTCCATCATTCTTTACATCTGGTCAAATCTGCTAAAGTGGTTTCTCATGGATTCGCTGGCAAAAATGTTTATTTTAGCTACTTTAGCTCTACAGAGTAGATCAGAGGTTTGGTACATTGGGTCAACATCTGAGAGCTATTTGCAGAAGCCACTGTGTCACGCATTACCTCCTTAAAAAAAAAGGTGAATGTTAATAGAAGTAGTCACGAAGGGGGGCTCTCACAGTCAAAGTGGATTCCTGTAGAGCAGTGTTGTACTGAGATGAACTGAGAACGTGTGAAGTCCTCTGTGTCAAAATTGAAGACGACACTATTCCAAAAAACTCATCAAGAACATTTTTGCATCCTGCATGTTTCAAACAACAGCAAAGGTCAGTTTCTTTTTTCAGACCTGTACATGGTGTCCATAAGGTTCTGCCATCTGCTTTCCAGACACACAGTAACCAAAGACAGACTCTGTGAGTTGGAGTTGATTACAGCAGTGAAGTTTGAGGATGTTGTTGCTCACATTTTGAATACCGTGCTGATCTTCTTTACTACTGAGTAAGAGGCTGTCTGGCCAAAGGATATTTGTTTGTCCTTTTCTTTTGAGAGCAAAGAGGACAGAGAAGTGGAGAGAAACATGGTGGAAACTTATGGTTCCTATCTCTCTTGTATGTGTACAAAAGAACAAAAATATATCCTCATGAATTTATGTAGCGATAATAATAATAAAAACATTTATGGTGAAAATTAGAAAAAGAAATGAGTAGTGAAAATTTGATGATAAGGATGAAGTTGTCAAATTGACAAATGTCAGCATAGTCTTGGAATTAAGTATTTTTTAAACTGTCCGAAATAAGTCAAATAACTTAAATGTAGAATAACCCCTGTGACAATGTACATCAATTTTACTTTCTTTTTAATCTACCAGCTGTTAGGACTAAAATTAAGATCCTACAGTAGTATTGACTAGTGCTGGACGATAATTCGATAACAATATATATCGATCGATAGACGTGTGCTGCGATAGAAAAAAAACGGGTCGATAAAAAGTTCGATAGAAAAACACAGTTTCCCTTTCTTTTTCATCATAGCCTATCATGTAGCTTTTGCTACAGTCATTACTTCCTCCCAACCAATCACAAACGCAGACCCAGGTACGCTACGGCACCAAGCCCAGCCCCTATCAAACCACAACAGACAGCACGTGTATTAGAAAAAATGATACAGCAAGGAGAAGCGGAGGACATTGTCAGTAGTTCACCAGCATGGCAATGTTTTGGTTTTTAGAAGTCTGACAAAAAGCGAACAGCGGTCGTTTGCAAAATTTGCAGAGAATTAGTAAAAACCAAGTCTGGTAACACAACCAACTTGTTTTACCATCTAAACCGGTCGCACCCGCAGGAGTACGAGCTGTGTCGGCCGCGCCGCGGCTCCACGTCGTCGGAGGAGGAATCCTCTGGAACCGCTGCCAGCACCAGCACAAAGCAAGTGAAGCAGACCAAACTGGACTTCGTTTCTTGCCAAAATACGACAAAGCGTCCGAGCGGCATAAGGACATCACCCATGCAGTAACATGCTGCATAGCGAGGGACATACTGCCAATAACTACCGTTGAAAAGCCTGGCTTCGACCAGCTTCTAGCCACTCTCGACCCGCGATATGAAGTGCCCGGCCGCAAGTATTTCTCAAACACAGCGCTTCAGGCATGAAAATGGGTCAGGGGTTGAAAAGGTGAGAAGAATGCACCCCTGCATCCCGTCCACTCATTAGCTTCTTAAAGTGGAAGAAAATGAGCTCATATTTTACAAAGACGCGAGTATTTGGATCATGGCTACTAGCAGGGGGTGCATTCGGCAGGGGTGCATTCTACGACACAACACCGGCGTGGATAAGTCCTGCTTCTCGTGCTCAGTTTGCGTATCAAGTCAATCACATGATAATTAAAAAAAATAAATCTCCCGACCCCGGGAGAAATATTTCAGTGTTCAGACACCAGGCTGTGGGCAGTTTCTCACACAGTTAAAACTGGTAGTATGTTATTCCCACCTAAAGCTATTCTGTTTATTTATATATTTGTTTGTTTTGTTTATTTTCATCAAAAGACTATTTAAATATTTATTTATCAGATTTTCTGGTCACTTTAGTCTTTATGTTTGTCAGTATTTACTGACATCACTCAGGCCCCTTAAGTTGATTTCTTTTTTTTTTTAGTTCTTTTTTAAAAAACTTTCAGTTGTGGTAAAATAAAAAAGGTGGTTGAATAAAGGTTTGAATTTGAATTCAGTGCTTCTGTGTTCTTTATTAAAAGTAGGTCATTAAGCAATAGCATATAACATCCAGGGCTGCAATTAAAACATATGTTAAATAATTACAATAATTATATCAATAATTATCGATATCGATCAATATGATTTATTTTTTATCGATATGCTTTTTTTCTATATCGTCCAGGCCTAGTATTGACTGTTATATTAACAAGTATCACCACTGAAGCATTATCAATAGAGACAGGTATTAGAACAGATCAGATTACAGGGGCTGCAGAAGGTCGGTGGCAGAGTTGTTTGTCTCCCAGTTGGAAGGGTGGAGTTTGATCCCAGGTCCCACTGCCACTGGTTGCGCCCAGTGGTGTGTGTGAATGTGTGCCTCTGCCGTCAGTTTGTGAATCTGGGGTGAATGAGTAGATGTGACATGTAATTGGAGTGATCAGAAGACTCAAGAAAGGGTTAAACAAAATCCATTTACAGAACAGTTGCAGCATCTCCTATGACATCTCCATATGCAAATATGTTTTATAGTGTCTTGATTTTTTTGTATGGGGAGGAGGGGGATCTCCACAACATGTCATTATATCACAGGGAAGCATTCCTTATAGAGGTTGAGGTGCTTAATTTTGCACTCACTAGTGTTGAAAATCTTAAAATAAACACTACATTTTGTTTAATTAAGCCTTGTGTGTTTAAAATATTTTGGAATAAACCCAGAGATTACCTACAGGGTTAAGAGGCGGTGCTGTAATTGTTTTAGATGCTCTGAGCAGGTCCAGAGGTTGGCCACCCTAAAATCCTAGATAATGACGAGCTATTTGTCTTACTAGAGGCAGGACTTGTGATAACATCAACAGTCTCGGCTGTGCTGCAAAGGTCAGCTACAAGTTTTCAAAGCATTTCAGTCAGGCACATTTCCTTAAGTTAAAACTTGAACTGATTTTGGACAAATATCTTTTTTAAGTACCTAAGATTGCAGATGAATAAAAAGCATTTAGGACACCAATAACATACTCTAGATTGCATCAGAAAAATGTGTATCTCATTCCACTTAAGGAATTGATTGTTTGTAGTGCTACTAGCATGCCAGCTACAAGGAACTCATGAAGTGTGACATTTAAACTGAAAACAGGCCTCAAGCAGGCATGTGAGGCTTGACTGGCACAATAAAAGAGACCTGATCAGTAAATCAGTAATAAGAAAGACAAAAACACATGTTGAAAGAGGCTAGACTGGTAGGCAGGATTGGTTGGTGAGTCAGAGCAGGTACAGGCACGATCAATGGTTACAACTCCAAGGAAAACATATGTTGATGATCAGACAAATAACAGGCCTGGACATCCCTTCCTAACATATGCTGGGAAACAAAAGACTAATGGGATGCAGCTGAACAGAAAGGTGACAAGATCATGCAACTAGCAGAGACAGGAAATTCGATGCGGCTGAATAGTAAGTAGCTGAGGAAAGGATGCATTTCTTCCACCAGGCGATGGTTTCAACACAGACTACTGTGACCTGAAGACACAAGGACAGGAAGGAGGAAGGAGAGGGGGAAGCAAACAAAAACAAGGCTTTTGGGAGCCTGAGAGTGCTGAAAATGCTGTTTTATATTTACTGCAGTAGGTTGGTGTCCTGCTTTGTATCACCATGGTGTGACTGTTTTGATCAGTTTGAATTTTTTGTTAAACAAATAATCAGCATATGTTTGGGTTCCCAGGGTGTGAAGATGTGGAGCTGGATTTTCAGTGTGTTCATCCTCCTGTCCTCCATAAAACATGCTGAAGCTCAAGGTATTATTGTCACAATTACAAATTATCTTCCCATTTCCCACCACCATCCCAGACAAAGTTGATTTCTTTGTGCTCACATGTATCTTTGTTTACTTGTGCTTTCAGGCAGGTGTAACAATGTTCAAGCAGCAGATATCGTCTTCCTGGTTGATGGCTCTTCCAGTATTGGCAGAGTTAATTTCCTGCAGGTCAAGGGCTTTATGGCTGGAATTGTAAAACCATTTGCAAGTGCTGTCAGGGAGACAGGGATACGATTTGGGGCGATTCAGTACAGTGACACTTCCAGGTAAATTACAGGATTATTTTTCAGCTCTCCACTTCCCTGTACACACAATAAGAATCTCACTGCAGATGAATAATTATCTATGAATCCATATTTCTCTCCCTGCAGAGTTGAATTCACTTTTACTACTTACTTGAATGGTACGGAGCTTGTCAATGCTGTGCAGAATCTAAACTATAAGGGTGGAAACACTCGCACTGGTGCTGGACTTAAGTTTGTGGCTGATAACTTCTTCAACCCTGCAACCAGTCGGAATGTCCCAAAGGTCTGTGAGGCAGCTTTTCTGTAATGAGTGAGATTTATTAAACCTTTTTTCTACCTTTTATGAATATTTGATCCTACTTATGGGTTTCCCTTAATTCTTAGATTACTATCCTGATAACAGACGGGAAGTCACAGGACAATGTGCAGGAGCCAGCACAGAAGCTACGCAGTCAAGGAGTGCATGTTTTTGCAGTTGGTAGGTACCTGGCAGCAATTTTTGAAACTTTCTCCGTAACCACTTTTTCTTTTCTTTCTCTGCCAATTTTTTTTTGTCTTTTTGATAGGTATCAAAAGCGCAGACAGGAATGAGTTGGCTCAGATTTCCTCCCAGCCCAGCAGTGATTTCACCTCCTTTGTCGGAGACTTCAAATTGCTGAACACACTTCTTCCTCTTGTGAGCCCTCGAGTGTGCACTAAAGCAGGGGGAGTGTATGCAAGTGATGGTGTGTTGCTGAGCACAGATATAAAACAAAATGATCACACTATAAATCTGTATTTGATTCAATGTTAATGCTCTCCTCTTCCCTCAGAGGCTTTTACTGGTCCATCCAACATTCAGTTCACAAGCCAGACGTCTGATTCTCTAAGGTTCCGTTGGACTCAAGCAGGGGGACCAGTTAGTGGGTATGTGGTCCAGTATGTGCCACTATCTGGCCTGGGTCAGCCTATAACTGCTGAACTGAAACAGGTGAGTTGTCTCCTGCTTTTCCAAACTTTTTTTCTGATTAATATTGTGCACACAGTGGTCATAACATGGACTGTCTTTTCATCACTGCCTGTCCATCCATTTGCTTCTGCTTATCTGGAGTTGTGGTGGAAGCGAGCTCAGCAAATTTCCCAGTGCCAGATGTGATGTATAAAGCCTCCAAAGGGGGGCCTCAAGAAGGCATCTGTATGAGATGCCCCAAAACTCCTCAGTTGGCTCCTCTTGATGTGAAGGAGAAGCAGCTGTACCCCAAACTGACCCACCTGAAGTTTGTGGCCACAGGTTAAAGTTGGAAAAGCTTAGCTGTCAGGCTCAGCCCCCTCGTCAGCACAACGTCTGCATTACAGCTGATGTTGCACTGACACATCAGTGTCAATGTGATGCCCTGTCATAGGGCTGGGCAATAAACCGAAAATTTACCAATACAGAAATTTACGACAATAACTGACGTCATTTTGCCCATGTCAGTATATTCATTGTCAAAAAAATAAACAATTAAAAGTTGGTTGTGGATGTGTGTAGGTAGGCTATGGTCTCATGTCCCTTTAAGTTCCTGTCCTACATTGGAGATGTGACTCTACCCCATCCAGTCTGTAACAAAGAGGGAAAGACAGGCAAGGAGATAGAGGACGGTTCAAAAGTTGTAGCGGCTGGAACGGCGGCTGGAGTAGACGAAGTTAATATGGGAGGGGGTGGGCAGCTTTTGGAGTAGTTATCGTCCATTTATTGTTTATGAGATGAACTGCTCAATATATCGTGATATTGATTTGAGGCCATATCGCCCAGTCCTACCCTGTTATCACATTAAGCATCAGTCTTTGACCCTCTCCCTCTTTCTTTCATTACCAGTATGTGGTGCAAAATTTAAATATTATTGAAAAGACCAGTTGCCTTGGAGATACAAAACATCATTCATTGAGCCTACTCAAGAGCCGTACAGTTTAAGAAGCGTATCCTTGGGCATGAGGTTGTTGCACGGTGTATGCAAGTTTTTTGGCAATCATAGCTGCGTTAGAACTTAATTAATCTTTCTTTCCAACACAAAATGCCGAGTATTGGTAAGTAGCCCTGGTAGTGACAGGTAGTCCTGACACATGATGATGAGTTTTTAGATGACCTAGATAAAAGGGAATTGCAATGTAAAGAGCCAAAAGTCAGTCCAGCTTCTTCCAGAGAAACACTTACCTTTGATTCAGGCTGAGTATAAACATGTCTAATGGGTGGATCTTCTTGATGTAAGTGCTATAGAGATTAAACTTTGGCAGAGTGAAGGGTGAAATTCCCTTCTGTGTACCCTGGCAGACAAGCTAAAGATAAAAGAATGCCACAGCTCATCCATCCATCATTATGTTTCTGCCCCTGACTTTGCTAAGACTTGTCTTAGTCCTCAAAGTTTAGAGGGATGACCTCTACTTTGCACCTGCAGGAGACTCTCCCTGCCAACCAGAGAAACTTCATCGCACAAGAGCTGAGGTCAGGAACTGACTACCTGGTGACTGTCATCGCCCAATATCCCAACAGTGTGGGAGAGTCTGTTTCTGCCAAGCAAAGGACCAGTGAGTAAATTACAGAAAAAATATATATCTGCCAAAACACAAACCTCTCATTCACCTGTAATGTTGTATTATCACCTCATACAGGGTCTCTGCCAGGGGCTTCAAGTCTACGTCTGGTCCAGGCAGGCTTCTTCTCTCTGACTGTAGGCTGGGATCAGCCCTCCTCTCCTGTTCAGGGCTACAGACTTACTTATGGACCACGAGGTCAGGCAAACAAATGTGTCTTTTTTCTGTCTATTTTTCCTTCAGTATTTCCACATGCACCCCTAAAGCCCCCCCTCTTACTTAAACTTCACAGAGTTACATAAAAATGACAGATTGAATTCATTTGGGAATTTAAAAAAAAAAGGAAAAATCCAGAAAGGGTGCAGGCTGTAGCTTCAGCTTTACATACTTTCCCTTTGCAAATAACGTGGTGATAAAGACAACTCTTGTACCACTAGGTAAAAGCTATGTAAGCACAAAACAAAACAAACTTTACATTTTGAAAAAAACTCAACTAAACAGGAGTTTTGAAATTTCCATTCAGCTTTTATCCTCAACGTTTACCATACAGAAGATGATGGAAACCAGGGGTCCGTTTCACGTAGGTGGTTCAACAAACTCTGAGTTAAATCCTTAACTCTGAGTTGATCTACTCTGAGTTAGGAAACTCTGAGTTTTCGGTTTCACAACACCTGATTTGAGACGGTTTTAACAACTCCGAGTAGTTTGACCTGGAGTTAAGCACGTGCACGCCAGACATAAACAGCCAGCATCTGTGGAGCGCAGATTCAATGATCAACCAATGGAAACAGGGAGAAGGAGGGGGCAGCAGCAAGCCAACAGCGAATTACAGCACGTTTTTAACAGAAAGTGCAATACAGCAGCAGCTGCAAAGGAGAGGGAGAGGGCTTGGGAGGAAATCGCTGCTCGCGTCAATGCGTAACTTTAAATCTAGTCTCGTGCAATCACAATGACAGACTGTTGCAGGGAAACTGCTTGAATCATTTTGATCATGTTTTACATTGTCAAGTAAGTATTAAGTGGCAGTTTGATCCCTTAGAAAATGCTCTTTTCACACTCAAAAATGAATTTTACTCTCTTATGATGTTCTGCTAAATGATTAGGAATATTAAACTAGCTCTCAGTATGTATATGTACATATATTAAACTAACACACACTACACTCAATATTAGACTTTCACTCAGCAAACAGAAAGAGGGCAGATGCCAGAAAAACGGGTGGTGGCCCAGCAGCCACACCTTTAACGGAGGCAGAGGAGCTGCCCCCCACCCCCCCCCCTTCGACGATCGCAACCCCCACCTCGTAGCAGCGATCGTCGGACTGGTGTGTGTGTGTGTGTGTGTGTGTGTGTGTGTGTGTCTGGGGGGGGGGCAGCTCCTCTGCCTCCGTTAAAGGTGGGGCTGCTGGACCACCACCCGTTTTTGTGTTAGTTTAATGTTCCTAATCATTTAACGGAACATAATAAGAGAGTAAAATTCAGTTTTGAGTGTGAAAAGAGCATTTTTTAAGGGAACAAACTGCCACTTAATACTTACTTGACAATGTAAAACATGATCAAAATGAGAAAATGCCGATGTCTCACCTGAAACTCTGGGTTTACTGAGTTAAACCTGCTCCCGAGCAGGTTAGGTTCACGGAGTCTGTTACTGTGGTAACTGACCGAGAGGTTGAGTTACCTCTCTTTGTGAAACAGGTTAGAGTTACCCCTCTCTCCCTGGTTTAACTAACCCTCCTTTGTGAAACGGAAAACTCAGAGTTTCCCTGATTTCAGGGTTAACAAACTCGGAGTTTCCATTAAACCTGCTACGTGAAACGGACCCCAGGTTAGCAGAGTAGTGCTGCTCTTCTCACCTGTTTATATTGTGTCTCTTATTTGTTTTTGTAGTTTTCAATTATTGTTATTTTAACACTAGGGATGAGATGGTTGATTGGTGTCAAAAACTTGGAGCAACAGTGTATCTTAGATTATGTCCTATTGAATTGCATCTGGCTGTACTGTATGGTATCATATAGTATGATTTTATATGCCGTTGTAAGGCAATATTGAAGACAAAACAGAGTTTTATACAATAATAATAAAAACTTTAACCTGGTTTTTCACTTGTGTATATCTACTGTACATGTTCAGTGATTTTTTTTTTAAATGTACAAAGTGAACTTTCTCTCATCTCAAACAAACTCTGCATACTAACGTCAAAGTTTTTTGGCTTAGTTCATCATCTTAGAGCAGAGATCAACGAGTTCATATGAATTAAAGAACATTAGAAACACCTGTTTGGATCCAAGCAATACCGACACAAAGTAATTATTCATGCTCTATTGCTTGCTGACAGTGTTATCATGTCACACACACATTATCTTGGCAGGATGAAGGATATTCAAAGTGAAGGAGCGAAAGTTGCTACAGGAGTGAATAACAGTTAACCTGTTGGTAGCAGGTTTGAAACATGTCAAGAATGTGTAGCATTTAAGACTTGAGAACAGGAACATGAACTTCTCCAACACCTTAACCCCTCAGGCACTGACTGTCAGTGAGGGGTTTATAGCCCATTCATTACCTCAAATATCAAATACAGTTTATCATCACAAGCATTGAAGTATCATCAACGGTGAAAACTCTTACCTCAAATCAGACGTTCTTTTGTCGTTGTGATTTTAGAGACAGGGTGTGGCACTGATCATAGCGCTGTTGGGATGTCTGGGTGCTTATGCCATGATTCAGGCAAAGAGAAAAGTGGCCCCTGAGGGCTGATATAAACACTTTTTTTTAAAAGTGTGGCAGGAGTGCCAGTCTCACATGGAGCTTGTGTGAGAGTATTTAAATGAGGTCTGTGACGAGAAGAGTGGTGTTTGTACCTGGTTTTTTTTTCACGTTTGACATGGATAATTCACTTAAACAGGACAGATACTGTCCCACACCCAAGCACATGCACATTCACATGCACACACATGTTTATCTGCAGCTGGATTGTGGCCAAACTAAAGATTTAAACAAAGAGGTGAGAATGACTAAACTTAATGAAGTGAAGACAGATCCCTCTTTTTTGCAGCTTGTCAGCTAATTCATATAATTCTCACAGTTCAGTGTAATTTGTGAATGCTATGAGTGCACTAATTGATCTCCTGTATGCTCTCCATTATTTTCATGTGGTTGGACAAGCAGGTCAGCCAGCCGCTCAGCTCTTGGAGCAGTCTCTGTCTGCAGACTCCAGCTCTATCACTCTGGAGTCCCTTCAGCCTGACACCGAGTACGTCATCAGCCTCTACCCACTATTCCCACGAAACTCTGCATCCCCCTCCATTCTCAACGCTCGCACATGTGAGTTCACCCTGTGGCCCTTTAAATATGTCAATTGCAGAGTTATATCATGATGGTTAAAGATTTAATCAGAGGACATAATGCAGATGTTTGTTAAAACGGAAGCTTCTGTGAGGAACTTTGCAATTGCAGCGATACTGGTGCCCCTTGTGGACAAAACAATAAATGGTAAAAGGTGTTTTTTTAGTTGTAAATTGCCTTTTGTGATATCTGGCCCAGTTAATTCTACTATTTCAAAATTATTAGTTTTGTTGCTGTTGGTCTTTGCTTTGTAGGTCATTAAGAGGCATCTGTATTAATCTCAGTCTGTTTTATGCTCAGTTAAAAAATCCTGTAGCCCTCAGGCCCTCCTCTCCAAAACGACAGTAGAAAAACCCATCTGAAAGAGCGAAAAATGTACCCAGGAGGGCCTGAGGGTACTTGAGTCTTGTTTAAACTAACAGTCCAGAGTATGTCCCCTTTATATGTTGATACTGTCTTCTGGTATTAAGTTTCAGAAAAACAAGCCAGTGTTTTTCCAAATATCTGCGTGCTCATGTTTTTGTGTGTGTCAGTGCGCCTTGAGGCAGTGCAGCAGATATCAGTGGAGACGGAGTCAGAGGGCAGTGTTCGCGTCCGGTGGAGAGGCGTCAGTGGTGCACGGGTGTATCGTCTGGTCTGGGGACCAGTCACAGGTCAGGACAAAGCAGAAAGTTACAAACGACATGTTTCAGTTTTTACACTATCAGCTCTTTTTTAAAAACATTTAGCATACACATTGATTGTTCTTGCTTGTCTGTTGAGAAAGGTCGAAATGTGGAGACAGTGGAGTTACCTGGTGACAGCGAGTTCTACACTTTGTCCAGACTGCAGGCCAACACAGAGTACATCGTGACTGTCATCCCACTGTATGAGGGCAACACCGAGGGGCCTGCAGCAACAGCTAAGTTCAACATAGGTCAGTTTGGATTGAGTATTTCTCTGCTTACTGTTTTCTGTATTATTTGTTAGGGGTGGGAGAAAAAATCGGCAGAGTATTGTGATATTTTGTCTGGTGATTTATCGTATGGTCTCATTTACCAAGTATTGATTTTTCAAATTAATTGTTAATATGAAATCAAATCTATGACAATGGAAAAATAAAATCAACTGGTTGTCCAGTGAGGTTGGCAGAGGTGCCATCATAGAGCAGGAAAAAGTCAGTACAACAAATATATAGAAGGTTTGCAAGATGTGCTACATGAAAATAAAATAAAGCGTAAATAAGACAAACATAAAGGAAAGACAAATGCTAAATTAGCTAAACAGTTGAAAAAAATGTAAAAATTGCATTATATTTTATTGCAATACTCACTGTATCGCAAAATGTTAAAACTCACGATAATGTCTTATCTCGGCCCAAGTGTCGTGATAATATCGTATTGTGGGGCCACTAGTGATTCCCACACCTATTATTTGTATTTTCTTCCCTGTGAAAATACTCTGATACACCCACAAAAAATTATCAATTTGCACAATTTACTGTGTAATTTTCCTATTTTTCTGAGTCCCTTCATGGTTTTTCACCTTCAAAGCTGTGATACAGACCAGTTTTTCAGTGGGCTGTTTCCCTCTAATGTGCCCTGCCAACCAAGGAGAAGGAAGGCAAAGACAGAAGATTGTCGCAATCTTCCGCCATGATTGTCTCTCATTAACAAACCTACACATGTAACTGTTTATTTCTGTTTGAAGCACATCCTCAGCACACCTACGCACTCACACTCACACACACACACTCACCATCTGTGCTCTGTGAGTAATGTCCATATGGAGTCACAAAGGTCCCGCAGTGTTATTTGAATGAAGGCTGAGTCACTGAAACTCTTGTGGCCCAGTTCTGCTATCAAAGAGGGGAAATATATACAGCGTGCTTCACACAGTTTACCACACAAACTCAAATTGTAGCTTGTTTCTCTTTTGTTTGTTCCTGTGTAGACCAGTTGAGTAATAACAGTTTGTTGTGTCTGTGGATTGTGATGAGCCGGCTGTCCCTTCTCATTAGGAAAAAATGTGGGTTTAAGCGAGGACCACATTTAATGAAAGAGAAGTTTTCACTCACATATAAATCCTAAAAATGTATTTCAATGCTTTTGCATGCATGATACTTAAAGTTTCAGTGTATCTTTAATTAAACATGGCATTGAAATTATTTTTTTAAATTATCGCATTTTGTTTATCCACCTCCATATTTCCAACCACTTCAGTAGAATTTGACTAAGCAACATGATGGGTGATGGAGTCAAATATTGAACTTGTTAGTGTTTAGTCTGGCTCTCAGGCCCAGGGGGGACATCAGCTGGTGCCAGTTGCTCAGACACTGATCCAAGACTTTGTTCTTTGGCCTGTGTACTCCACACTGACATTTCCTCGCTGATTTATGTTCATCACACGTACAAGCAGAGCCCTGTGGCCACATGCAGTATGAGAAAGAACTTTTTCTCTCACATCACTGACCTGTGTGATTCCTTTGCTCTTTGCCAAGGAGTGCGTTTTTCTTTAAACCACTGCGGCCCACTACATCAGCAGCCTGAGGGTGGAGGTGTGGTGCTGTGCATGTAATCTTTTTAACCAAGATTGAGAGAGTTTTGGCACCCTGTCAAGTCATACTTTTTGTATCATTTCACAACACATCACTGAATTGTTATAGTCCTGGCAGGTTTTGAAGGTAATTGTGCTGAAATGCAGCATCTGGCTGTAACCCTATTAAATCAAGTTTGGATTTAGTGTGAGGTGTCATACTTAGCAATGATTGACTACTTGGTTCAGCTGTTGGGTGTTGTTTTGCTCAGAGGCCAGTGAGAAATTAGGATTTCAGTTTTTTAATTCAGTTATATTTAGTTATATTTCAGTGTTATACTTCATTTTTTTAATTCAGTTATATTTCAATTTTTTATTTTAGATATATTTAGTTATATTTCAGTTTTTATTTCAGTTATATTTCAGTTTTTTATTTTAGATATATTTCAGTTTTTATTTCAGTTATATTTCAATTTTTTATTTTAGATATATTTAGTTATATTTCAGTTTTTATTTCAGTTATATTTCAGTTTTTTAATTCAGTTATATTTAGTTATATTTCAGTTTTTTAATTCAGTTATATTTAGTTATATTTCAGTGTTATATTTCAATTTTTTATTTCATTTATATTCAGTTATATTTAATTTCTTTATTTCAGTTATATTCAGTTATATTTAATTTCTTTATTTCAGTTATATTCAGTTATATTTAATTTCTTTATTTTATTTATATTCAGTTATATTTAATTTCTTTATTTTATTTATATTCAGTTATATTTAATTTCTTTATTTCGGTTATACTCAGTTATATTTCAGTTTTCTAGTTTTAGTGATGAAAATTTTAACACAGCCCATTGGACATCTGGTTACTCTAAGATATTTCTATGATACATTTCAGTTTGTTTTGACTGTATAAATTTATAGATTTCCACTTTGGTTGGAAAGGCATTGCAAGAGGTAAATGAAACAATAAAATTCTAATAGGCTTCAAATGATTTTTCAGGTCTGTATGATACAAAAATACCTGACAGATCGATGAACCGCAATGCAGCTCAGTCTTGGGTTCACTTGTTTATCCTTGTTCACGAAATGGCCCTCTAATGCACAGCTTAGCGAAAGGCCTGCTCAGGAACTAAAGTTCTCCATGGCTATGACGGCTTTCTGTCAATTTTAAAACTGCTGGGGTTGTGACATTTAGACCGAGAAACAAATGTGTTCATTATTCCGGTTGTTAAGTGATGTCTGGACGTAGGTTACAGTGTCGCACTGTATTCAACTAGGGTCAGAGAAATACATTTGCAGACATGTCTGAGACATGAGTGAATCATCTTTGTTTACCTGCAGCCAAAGCTCAGGGCTAATGATCACAAAGACCAGCTCTGGATGACTGAGGAACACATGTGGGCACAGCAGATGAAAACATAACAATAAGGCCTGCCTCATGGAAATTTGCATTCAACAACAGGTTTTTTTAATTTGTTATGGGTCATATTAGCCAACAAGCTTGCACTATCTCTATTCATAGACACAGCACAGGGGTGTTTTTTTCACAAGTGCTTATCAATCAAGAAATGGTGAATTTTTTATTGAATTTCATATTCATGGTATAAATTTATCCATGATGATGATATGTTTGATTTTTAAACCTAGAAGAAACACTGGTTTCTCCTGCTTCTCACTGTGTTATGTAAACAGAAAAAATGGCTGCCATGTAAATATGATGAATTGATTGTGGTATTTTTTTTTGCTTTGTTTTAGCTACAAAATCTCTTCTTCAAATAATATTAAAGACATTCTTTAAAAAAAATATTGGAAAAGAGTAAAACTGATGACACAACACATTGTTTAATGTTTTCTGATGCATATCCTGTGTTTTTTTTCTCAGAGCGTCAAGAGCAGCAAGTCCTCAGAGCAGCCACTACCGGCCCATCCACTATTCGCCTCATCTGGAGACTTATTCAGTCATCACAAGGATACCGCCTGGAGTGGAGGGAGGGTGAAGGTCAGTCATGCATGAGACACACAAAAATTTAACGGTTCTTTTAATTTTTTTGCACTTTTATTTAAGTATTTGGTACTTTTAAAGTGGACAGCCAGATTTGTAAAAGTTATTTTCATGACCAAATTAATTAGATATTTAATTTGTACATTTTTTTTTAAGTCATAAAGTTTGTGTAACAGAAAATGCAATTGCTTAATCATTACTGTATCGCTACATTATTTGCTCACATGCAACCTCAACAAGAATCAAGTGCACACTCCAGTTTAAAGATGCAACTCAAAAGGTGTTTGAGGTGGCAGTGCAAAAACATAAATACGTTCATGTATGCCTCCAGGAGGTCGTGCCCAGACCCTGTCCTTTCCTAAAAGCACCACCAGCTACGAGCTAACAGGTCTGAAGCCCAACACAGAATATATCATCACCCTTTACACCTTGTATGAGGGACGTGAGGAGGCCACACCTGTCTCTACTGCATCCAGAGGTGTGTGACCTAGCCGGGGGGAACTAAGCCCTGAATTCAGTCTGAATTGATTTATGGGTCAATGTTCAGAAGATGAATTCCAAGTGGTTTTGAGTGTTTTATTAATGTAGATATTCTATTTAATAAAGTTTCTTAATTCATTATGAGTGTCCTAATTCTCCATTCTGTGATGTTACAGAGGAACAGCCAGTAGGGAGAGTGTCCAACCTGAGAGTTGTCGAGTCTCTGGGCAGCACAGTCAGGCTGGGCTGGACAGGCGTAACTGGGGCCACTCAGTACCGCATTGTTATCCTGAACACAGAAGGTAGACTGACTCAGTCTTTTCCTATTTTTTTCCTATTTTTCTCTTTTTTTTTTTTGCTCATTATGAACAGAAATGTGTTTGATAGTGCTGTGACTGTGTGTTTTAGCCCGAACAGAGGAAATCAGGAGTATCCCTGGAAACCAGACGACCCTTGACCTCAGAGACCTAACAGTTGGAGTGTCTTATGGAGTCAGTGTCACAGCACTGGTAGGAGAAAATACAGGCGAACCTGTGACTGTCTACATCAAACCAGGTGTGTAGTGCATTATAACCTCGTTAACACGTCACACCTATTAGCTCGTTAACACGTTAGCATGTACAACATTCTCCTGATACTTCCTTTCAAGAAAAATGTTTATCTTTCTCACATGAGGTCTTGCATACCCTTTTTTTCAGAGCAAGGTGTCGGCAGAGTGACAAACCTCAGAGTGACAAACACAAACGGACGAAGACTTCGGATCGCCTGGACAGGCGTTTCAGGGGCAACAGGATACAGGGTTACTTGGAGACAGGGGAACAGTAAGTGATCTCTTTTGTAGAGAGTGCGTGAGTTGTGAAATCTTTGTAAATGAATTTGTCTTCAGGGTCACTGATAAAAATGAATCAGAGAGTAATCAGATCTGACCTCTCAGTCCTGTATAAAACAGAAGCAGAGAACTTTAAAAGACTTCATGTCTTAACCTCTCTCTTTGCTTTGGCCTGCAGTCAGAATTTTAAAAGGATCATTTTATTCACCCTCGTTCTGACCTACAGGGGGAGAGCAATCCCGTCCTCTGGGGGCAGAGGCTGTGTCTTACACCATAGATGGCCTGCAGCCTGATGAGGCACTGGTTATCGGTGTTGCAGCTGTGGTTGATCAACGTGTTGGAGAGGCGGTCACACTGTCCGCCAGAACTACTGCAAATGGTGGATCGGTGTCTGGTCTTCGAATTGTTGACATCACATCTAAGAGGGTTCGCATTTCCTGGTCACCAGCTCTCCGGGCGACTGGCTATAAGATTACATGGCGGCGTGCTGATGGTATGCAATCATTAGGATTAGCCTTTGGAAATGATATGCATTTGGATATGATTTATGAAAAGTGAGTAAAATGATTAAGAGTGAAACCATTTAGAAATGGTCAAGCCTCGTCTACCTACGTGTAACTGAGGTTGGAAAATGATTCAAATTTTCTCGCCCTTTGCTGTGTTTTCTTGTTGCAGGAGTTGAAACAACTCGTAATGTGCCCTCTGACATCTCTTCCTACACCATTGATGGCCTGCAGGCAGATTCAGCATATAACGTTTTTGTTTCCTCGCTTACCGGCTCCCGTGAGGGAAGTCCTGCCACCATCAGTGTCAGAACAGGTACAGCACTGAATCCATCAATCGAATATTGTTATTTGTGCCTTTCTCAAGAAAACTCAATGCAATTGGGAAATAAATAGTACAAAATATGAATAAATGATTGGTATTCTGATCTTCAGAGTCAGACTCATCTGTGGTCGGGACTGTGACATCACTGCAGGTCGAGGAGACTCGTGGAGAGGTTGTCCGAGTCACCTGGGTCGGTGTGCAAGGAGCGACAGCTTATCGTGTGTCCTGGAGCAAAACTGACGGTAGATCAATTTTGCTTCTGTTGTATTAATTTGTGTTACCTTCTCAGATCAGGTTATTCAGCTGAGAGCAGAGACTACCCAAACTCCATGTCGCTTCTATAAGCACATCATGTTGAAGTTTGACCATGACCTTGTGTGTGTGTATTTACACTCTTCTCTGCTGTAAAACTCTGTGCGTCTGCAGGTGGTGAACAGAGGAGTCAGCTGGTTGGGGGAGATGTGACAGCTGTTGAGTTAGACCAGTTGGATCCTGGAGTCCAGTACGAGGTGCAGGTCATGGCTTTAGTTCAGAACAGAGAGGGAACCCCTGTGTCTGTCAGAGTCACCACACGTGAGTATTTTTTTAGGGCTCCCACAACATTTGATAACCTGATAGATTGGACAGAATATCAATTGACCCCAGTAGTGATGTTCACATTGAAATGTATCTTCCCCTATGACGATTCTCTCCTTAAAAATTCTGTTTTCATTAGCTTACAAAGTATCAGAGTTATCAAGAAGCCAGTAAGCATGATGCAGAAGTCAAGCTGCATTCCAGTTACCTCTGAAGTCGGATGTCGGAGCTGGGGATGACGTTACACCTGAGTTGACGGCGTTTCAGTTAACAAGTCAGAAAGCCAAGATGGATGCCGTTGTTAGCTGTAGTTTACAATTGTCAGCTGGTGTTGGCTGTTTTCAGCGGTTGTCAACGGTTGTTAGTTGTTGTTAGCGAAACCTGTTGTAAACGATGCATAACGCAGTATTTTACTCGTACAAACACCATAGCACTGTGTTCACAGTTAGACGTTGGGCATTACAACAAATACCACTTATTTAATTTCACAAAAACAAAACAGAAGTGCTAATAAATAATACATTACGAGAACTTTCACTGTTACTCTTTACTGTTGATGCACTGTGCTGCCATCTTGAATTATGATGCTTTCCTCAAGTTGGGGTTGGTGAGGATTGTCCGACTTTCAAAGTCGGAAATCCGACTTCAGGGGGGCGTTCCAGATGAATTTCCGACTCGGAGCTCGAAAATTCCGACTACAACTGGGACGTAGTATTAATATGAGAGTAAACTCACTTGTTAGCAACCACGTGTACATTCCCATATTTAGTCCGTTATATTTCATGAAACATTAATTTGAACACTGGATTGCTTTACATACAGCTGGCACCACAATTCCTCAACAAGGGACTACAACTTTACGTGTGGCAGAGGTTACCCAGAATTCTGTGCGGGTAAACTGGAATCCACTGAGGGGTGTCACAGGATATATCTTACGCTGGAGAGATGAGAAAGGTAAAACACATCATCATGCACATGGCAATTAACTCTGATTTGACTAATATGTGCACGCTCTGATACCATGTCATTTTCATTGTTAAAATCTCAGATTCGGGCCCAGGCCTGTCAGTTACGCTCCCCGCTGCAGTCACCTCCTATCAGGTAACTGGGCTGCGTTTAGGAAGGCGATATCGTTTTACTGTTCAACCAACCTTTCAGACTGGATTGGGAACAGAAAGCTCTGTTGATGAACACACAGGTAACAACAACGCAAACTCCTCTACACAAACTATGAACACCTTTTGATTTCTTACATACACAAACAAACTCCTGTGGCTGCAGTGTGTGTGGGTGGTCGTTTGGATGTGGTGTTTCTGGTTCCTGCTTCAACCGATCGGCTGCGCCTTGCAAGACCTCTGCGAGAGCTCCTCACCAGTGCAGCGCGGTCCTTAAACACTATCGGGCCGCGGGATTCACAGGTACAGCTTTCTAAAGATTGGGACTCTGAGCAATAATGGTGTTTTGAGCGGTGCGCTGAATCAATTATATTCCACCCACTTCAGGTTGGTGTTGTGGTGTACAGCTACAGACCCAAAATATGGTTCCTGCTCAACCGCCACAGCAGATCTGACACTCTCCTTCAAGAGATCCAATCCACTCCCTTTGATGAAGGCCCAGGGAATAACATCGGTCAGTTGGTGTTTTTATTTTCTCAGACTTCCCCTGGGTTAGCAGTTGAGATAACATATGTCTCCCTCTACAGGTGAAGCAGTGACTTTCACCAGACAATACCTCCTGACCCCGACAGCTGGACGTAGACCGACGGTCCCAGGTGCTGTCGTCATCATCTCAGACCAGAAATCAGCAGATAACCTCACTGCAGCAGTCAGTGGTCTAGTAGGGACAGGTGTGCTGTTTTTTTTCACCTATAAAGTGGTTGAATTAGAACTTTACTCTGACACATCTACCTCCTGTGCAGACCTATAATCTGGGAAATATTCAAACCTTTCTGTGACTTTGTGCTTGCTAGGTGTGACAGTGTTAGCAGTTGGCGTAGATCAGGCAAATACTGAGGAGCTGCGTCAGGCAGTGACGGATGGGAGCCCCCAGAACATCTTGTTTGCCAGGAGCGGGGCTCAGCTGGATGGCACTCATGCTGATCTGGCAGACTTGCTCTGTGGTATTGCCAGAATACCAGAGGTAAGACAAAACCTGAAAAAAGAAGGCGTGATTTGTTTGTAATCTTTTTTTTCAAGCTTGGCATCCTCTTCATATAATTGTACAAACAAAACTTAATATTTTTTCATTTTTGGGTACTCTTTTTCCCAATTTCATGATCTTACAACAAACAAAATATTAAGGCAGACCCTGGAAATGGTCTCAGTTTTTGGTGGATTTTCACTGGAAACAGTGTTTTACTGTTGAGGAGGGTGAAACTTCCTTTCCAGCCGGATGTTTATGTCCTTTTTCTGTCCAGGTCACTCCAGGACCTAGCCAGTGTGTCCAGTGCCCACGGGTGAGTCAATCTGACACTTAACTCTCTGTTTCTAATGCTCTGGTTATTGTGCAGCTCCTCTACAACTGGTAGAGAAATACTTCAGATCTGATAACTGATTGAAACAGGACATACTCTCCTCTCTTTGTCTCCTTCTCACATGTTTTTTTCTTTCTCATTCGTTGTAGGGGGAGAGAGGAGAGCGTGGAGAGAGGGTATGTCGAAGGAAATTTACAAAAGTTAACTACTGTTCTTCTGATTTGTATTTGCTTCTGTGAATTGTGATCTCTTTTGTTGGTCCTCTAAGGGTGAAAGTGGCAGAGATGGTGCAGATGGACGCAAAGGAGAGCCTGTGAGTCATGATCCAACACCAACCTGTGTGACTCCTTTTGCGGTGTTGCAAAGTTGTTTAATCTAACATACTTTTATTGTGTGTTTGTGTGTAGGGCCGTGATGGTTTACCCGGAAGGGAAGGCCCCCGGGGACCTGAGGGACGTCCAGGTTCTCCAGGTCCCCCAGGCCAAGCTGGCTCATTTGATCCTGCAAGGGCAGTGAAAGGAGAGAAAGGGGAGAGAGTGAGTATATCTGAGGCCAAACTAAAACTACAGACTGTTGTGAGTGAGAAACAAAGGTTAACCTTTTCTTTTTTTCTTTTTAGGGTTTTCCTGGAATTGATGGAAGTCCAGGTTTGCCAGGACGGCCAGGTGCCCCAGGAACAGCAGGGCTCCCAGTGAGTACATTTCAGGACCCAGTGAGTTATATATTTTGTTGTATGATCACAGAGGGAAACATAATGATGCTGTTTTGTGTCTGCAGGGTTCACAGGGAACACCGGGTATCAGAGGAGACCCAGTGAGTATCTCAGATTCTCCTGAACCACAGAGTTGTCTCATGGCATTCATAAGTTTAAGCACCACTTAAACTTTTTCTAGGGTGGACTCGGTGCAACAGGGCCAGCAGGTCCGAAGGGTGTTAAAGGTGAAAGGGTAAGATGAAAGACCATTTCAAACATAAAGTGTTTGTCATTTTTTTGTACTTATTTCAAAAACACATAGCGAACAGTGTATATGTAAGCGCTCTATGATGTGTTCACCTTATGTTTCAGGGTGAACCAGGGTCAGCTGTGTCTGGAGGAGGTCTTCCAGGGAGGAAAGGAGAGCCAGGCATCCCAGGGATACCTGTAAGGAACAAACTTAAAAGACATCACAGACTTTTGATAACATCATGGTCATCTTAACCATCTGACAAACATCATCAGCATAATGGTGACATAATCCCTCTATCCCGAGTCTCTCCGTTGTGTCCTTGGGCAAGACACTTAACCCACTTTGCTCTCAGTGTGTGTCCCCTCTGGTATGTGATTGTTGTGTGGTGGTGGTCGGAGAGGACGTAGGCGCAAACTGGCAGCCACATTTCCATCAGTCTGCCCCAGGGCAGCTGAGACTACTAAGGTAGTTTACCACCACCAAAGTGTGACTGTGTGAGCGAATGAATCATGCATCCAATGTAAAGCACTTTGAGGGTCTCAGATAAAACGCCAAATGAAATCTGATGCATAACAATAATATTAATAATAACAACAACAATAATAATAATGATCCCGCCCTGATTCACCACATGTTTATATTGTGTGTTAAGGGTACTCCAGGTCGTTCAGGCATTGATGGGTCCAAAGGTACTCCTGGAATTCCAGGGACACCAGGTCAGGATGGTCGTCCAGGTATACCAGGAACTCCTGGGACCTCCATCAAGGTTTGCTCCTTCCAGTGCTTTTCCCTACATAAATGTGTACCAGAATTTGACAGAAGAAAGCTCCAGAAAAGGTCACGCTGAAGACAAGATTTTGTTTTTCAAATACACCTGTAAGAAAATGTTGAGCCAGTAACAGGAGACATACCAACACTCATCTTTTTTTAAAGCATAAGAAACAACCCAACTGTTTTTTTAAGTGGGGTTTTATGAGGTGCTTGTCACAGTGCTCTCGCCACAGGGGATGCCGGTCAGATTGACTCCTTTGTTGAGAAAGTGGCTGTAAAACTGAAATAAAACTGGAAGCTGGACATTGTTTCTTGAGGGTTTGGGGTTTGTGCAGCTGTGGCATGATGTGATTACCCTTTTAGCTTTTATCTGTCTCTTACAATCCTGTCCTCTTGTACAGTTTGGGTAATGTGGAATATACTTGTTTGCTTTGATGGCTTTAGTATGTGTTTTCTGTTTGCATGTAGGTCATTCTAGCTTTTAACATTGTTTTATTCATTTGTTAAATTCATTGGTTCTTCTGCAGATGGAGTTGAACAGCAGTTTTCCCACCGGCAGCTCACTAACAGTTTATTTTGGTATTTTTGATATGGTTAACAGATTGTGTCATTATATAGTAAAACTAACAATGAGTGGTGAACACTAACTTTAGAGGTGTACACCCATTAGACTTTTTCTGGTTTTCTGAATAAACTTTTGGATATTGAAGGAAGCCAGTAAAATGTTGACTGAAGCTGTAATATGATCTGCTGGTATCCGCTAATTCAGAAAGGTAATAAAGTACTGTGTTGACCAGGTCCCACTGAGTTTTCCCCACTCAGCCCATGGAGCTTTCTTCTGCTGTAGATTCCAGCTTGTAAAGGTTTCAGTTTGTGTCCATCATCTTCGCTGTCAGATTTATTCAATCTTTAGTTTTGGTGTATATATTTGTTTCATTTGAATCCTGCTGACTCAAAAATAGCTGATAAGTACTCTGCAGGTAGAAGAACAGGCAGGTGTTGCATCCAAAAATGGTGTAAAAGCATCTAGGCTTTCTGTAGGCAAAGAGAAACTGAACATTTTCCAGATAGTGTGCACATTTATGCTGAAAAAGGTGCTCACATTGAAGTTTATCAAAAGTAGTTAAACAACAAGGTAGAGCTGACCAGGTCTGCACTAGTTAATAGCCTAGCTACCGTTTTAGTTCTCTGGATGCTCTCTCAAGGAGTGAAGCTGACCAGCAGCTCCTGTGGGTAAAATGCTATAGACAAGTACCTCATGAACACCTTTTACAAAAACACCAAGCTATCTCTTTGACTGTTTTCACATTATTTTCTGATTACATTACATTATTAAGGTAACAGACATGATAACAATCACAAATTCAGTCTATGAACTACCACAGTTTGTTGGTGCTTACCTCTTGTTGTAGATTTCTTAGACAAAACTGTTATTTTCAGACTTGTGCACATGGTGGTAGCATTGAGCTGCTTTTGTCTTTTCCAGTAGAGGCTCGAGCAGTTACTGAATGTGTCATGAAATCAGATTTTTGGTTTGGTTACGCATTATGTTTAATGTTCGGTTTTGGATTACAAATATGAGGAATTTTATTAGAATCAAATATCAAATCTTATTTGAATTAAAGAAAAAAAAAAAATCCAAAAGACTCACTCGGTTTCTACTCTTCAGTATTCACAAAGAAAGCAGTCAGGTAATTGATACTGATACATAAGCCATTTCTTAATACAGTAATGACGTCAGCGTATGAGTAGATGTGGAGATGAGGACAAATGACAATAATATTTGAGTTATGTTTTTGATGATGGTGTGTTTTTTTTTCTAGGGGTGGGAGAAAAAAATCGATTCACATAAGTAATCGCTATTTTTTGCTCTACAATTTTAAATAAAGGTAGTCAGTAGACAATCATAATCATTCAGATGTTTCACGGGCATTTAAAATGCAGACTCAAAATCGAGGGAATTGACAATATTGTAGAATCGCAATTTAAATCGAATCAGCATCGAAAACAATGTAGAAGAACCGAATTAGGAAAAAGGCATTTCGTCCAAGCCCTATTTTTTTCCATTTATTAACAAGTTTTGTGTTTTATTAAAGCACTGTATGGAGAAGTGTGTTACATCTAATCAAATCAGCCTTTGAGTTTGTGTGTAGAGTCCTTTTGTAAATGACCCTAAAAACACTTTTCATCACCCACTGAGTGTTTGTCTCCATCTTTTGCAGGGGGAAAAGGGCGGCACAGGAGAGCGGGTGAGTCACACCATCAGCAGCTTCTCCTCTTAGCACAGAAATGTCCCAAGGAGCACACATGTATAATGATCCTCAGCTCTTATCTCTCTTTGCTGGCAGGGACCTCCAGGAGTCGGCAGTGGGGTGGCCGTCAAGGGCGAGAAAGGCTCCTCAGTAAGAGCTGTCAATCTCTGCTAATGTGCTGACATGTTTGGTTTGCAGATGAACCCAGTGTGTGAGCGGTTGTGAAGATGTAGTTTGCATTTGCTAATTGCATTTTTATTATCAGGGTACTCCAGGAACTCCAGGGTCTCAGGGTCCTCGAGGGCCGGCAGGACCACCAGGCAGCAAAGGAGACAAGGTGGTTGCATAGGGACTCACTACATGAGTGTGTGAGCATGTGAGGGGTTTATCTTACAGGCATGGATCATGTTGTTTTATGGTATTTTTTCAGGGTGACGGTGGTGATGGGGCAACTGGACCTCCAGGCAAACAGGGGGAGCCTGGGGATCGGGTAAGTTGAACACACAGTGGTCTTAGATGGCCAATGATGATGAATTCAGTTCACACTGGAAAAAGACTGAGAGCAGAAACCACTATCATGTCTGCACATTTGCTGGAAACCAGAAAAGAGGATTAGGGCCACAAGAAGAGAAAAAAATATTACAATCTCGCAGTTTAGACTTGAATCTTGTTCTAGTAATAAAATTTTTTTCTCCATGTGGCCCTAATCCTCTTTCATGGGAAACCCTTCGAAATAATAATAAAAAAAAAAAAACATGTACATCTAGATTACGATTATACTTTTAAAAAATGACAGACACGCAGAAACTTGGAAAAGTAATAAATCCCGACCTGGTATGAGGAGCTTTGGGCGAACAGCCAAGTGAAAGTTGTGCCCGTCAGGCTGTTATATTTGAATAAATGTAGTGCCACGCTTCTGCCTATCCTGCAAGATATCACTGACCAATGATACCAAAATAATTCTGCATATTTTAATATTGTTTGCATAAAAGATTCATCTGTTATGTATAAGGGGGCCACGTTCAGCTGCAAAAGGAATTTGATGTTGTGGCAGTTTATGTCATACAGGCCTATAACCATTTGCAATTCAAAATATAGCTGTGGGTCAATGACTGTTTTATTGTCAGACAGAAATACTATACAATATCATCTGAAATAAAGGCAGACATTAGATATTAATGGTGAAGGTAAAAGAAAAGAAAAATACTGAGCCTCATAATTCAGGAGTTAGAAACAGCTTTATTATCAATTAGCACATGTAGCTTCTTCTACCGAAGTTAATCAGTTTGTTCTTTTCTCAGCAAACCTTCAATGTTCCATGCGATTTTGCCTGGAAAAAAAAAACTGTTAGTATTGTTAATTTATTAATATTTGAACTTTTTGTGTGTGTACTTTAGGGTGCTCGTGGGCCTCCAGGAGAAATTGGTTCCAAGGTATGATAAATAAAAAAAACAGCTTCTTACAAGCTTTAAATAGAAGAATGACATCGCTCTCTGTGCTCTATCAGGGTGACCGAGGAGCGCCAGGTGAGCCGGGGTCACAGGGAGACAGGGTGAGTCTTGTGATTTCCCAGTGAATCGGATGGGTGTGTGCACGTCTGTGTCTGAGAGAGTCTTCGTGACGTTTCTTTTGGCTGTGATCCAAATTTTTACAGCTGTGATGCCAGGTTTTGTAGCAAAGTTCACCTCGAGGAAATTCATCATGAAGAAAAAGAAAAAAAAGGATGACATTAAAGATGCTGCTTAGCCTGCGGTGTAACTCATTGATCACAAAAATGTTGATTAAAAAGAGTCGAAGCACATCAGAAGAAGAATCTGAAGAAACAAGCTTCAGAGAACTTAGTATCATTAAAAAGAGCTTACATGAAGATTTTTTTTCTTCTTTTATTTTTCTTCTTTAATGGATGCCTGTATTTGAAATATAGTGAAATTGTTTTGTGTGATGAAAAGAAAACTATGGTGATGGATGAGAAACTAGAAAAGGTTATGAGGAATATTTGTATAGTTTCATCAGACTCATATTTTACTAATGTATTTGTTATTCAAAAAATAAGCACATGCAGGGTTAGGGTTAGGAAAGGGTTAAGAGGAGTCCCACTCCTATTGTTTTTTTTAGTACTTTAAGTGATCTCAGTGGTCTTTGCATTGTGATTATGAAGATTTTACAAAAAAATGCATTACCTGAGTCATTTTCATGGGCTTTTCTTTTGTAGAGCTCCACTTGCTCATTAGCAGCCTAACATTGCCTGTGTAGTAGAAGTGGCAGGTAACATAGGAGCTGTTCAGCTCTCGGACACTAATGTCCCTAGAGACACGATGAAAGCTAATATCATCATTAGCTTTATTATGAGCATTGCAATCCGCTAATGCACACGCTTGTTCCGCGATTGTCCTCTCTATTTCTCTTCTATATGCAGAGTGCATCCTGCATACCCGGGCTCTGGGGGCGGAGCTTGGATTGGTTACGAATGAAATCTCACTGATTCTGAATCTGCTGTTTAGGTCTGCCAGAGATTCACAGCGATTTGAATGAAGAAATACTCAGAAAAGCATTTAGCATTTAGTTTTCTTGTGATATGTCCTGCAGCTTCAGAAAAATGCCATATGAACATATAAAAAAACAAGAAAAACATGATTTTCATTGGAGTGGGTCTTTAAGCTCCAGCAACAAATTATCCAGATAACTGCATATTTAATTTACTGTAGACATGCTCCTATATCGTTCCATTTCAGTAAATTTTATGGGGTTCAGTTATATTACGGTACCACACTGGTGCATTGACTTGGTAATTGTAAAACCTGATACTGTGTTTTAGGTTGTTTCAGAGGCTAGTAATGATGTTGGTATTGGTACTGAAAAAGATGCTGTGTATATAGTTGCATCTCAAGTAATTAGAATATCATGACCAAGTTCATTTTTATTTGTAGTTGAATTCAGAAAGTCAACTTTCATAAGTTCTCATATTCATGACAATACATTTTTCTTAAAATGAATCAAAGTATATTCATTTCTGCACTCAAAACTTGTTAAGTGCTCCTTTGCCATAAATTCTCGCATCAGTACAGCGGGGATCATCCTGTGGCACTGCTCAGGTGTTATTGAAGCCCAGGGTTCCCTGATTGCAGTCTCCAGTTTTTCTGTATTTTTGGGTCAAATGTTTCTTGTCTTCCTCATGACAATGCTCCACATATTCTCCGTGGGGTTCAGGTTAGGTATGTTGGCTGGCTGATGAAGTGCAGTGTTATAGTGCTCATCCTTTGGTAGTAGTTTTGGAACTGTGAGAAGCTGCTAAGCCCTGCTGCTAAAGGAAATTACCATCTGCACAAAGCTTGTCAGCACATGAAGGCGCTAAAATCTCCTGGTATTCAGCTGTGTTGTCTTTGGACTGGAATACAATGGAACAACACAAGCAGATGGCATGGCAACCCAAATCATCACAGACGGAAGAAACTTAAACACCTTAAACTCTGTGCCTCTGTGCCTCTCCACTATTTCTCCAGACTTAGATTTTTAAATTAAGTGTAAATTTTGCTTTTGAAGTGAATTTGGTTCAGAAGTGGCTCAGTGGTACAAATGTGACAGTTGTGGTTCCTTTCAACAAGACCTTATTGTGTGGTGGCTCTTGATGTACTGACACTAGCCTCAGTCCAGTCCTTGTGAAGCTCTCCAAAGTCCTTGAATCAACTTTCCAAACCGTGCTCTCAAGACTGCAGTCATCCACGTTGCCCTGATGACATTTTCCCTTTCACTGAAATTACCAATACAGCTCTCTTTAAACAGCCAACCTTTTCAGCAATGACCTCCTTGATCCTCCTCGTGGATGATCGTCCTCTGGACAAATATCAAGTCAGCAGTTTTCCCATGATTGTGATTAAGTGTACTAAAAAAGACTTATAGATATGCGGTATTTATTTTCTTTGATTAGTAATTCACACAAACTCTAAATTAAATATTGTAATAGTTTGAAATGTGGGTTTTTACATTTTTTGAGCTTGTAGGTCATGATTATTATAATTAGAATATAGAAATCCTTTTTAGTTTGCATGTAATCCTGAGTCCAGAACGCATTACATTTTCATTCTCTTGAACTAATGATGGGAAATGTAAAACTTGGGTAACACTTTACTTGACGCCTATTTCGCCAACACATAAATATATGTATACATACACTGTATAACTATCATTATAAACACTCATAAATGATTATAGTGCTTTATAGCAATAATCACAACACATTATAAAGCATTTTATCACGACTTACAAGGTCAGGTACTATAATATGTTATAACTGTTAACTACTCACTGACAATGCCCACACAGATAATGCATTATACATACATATATGATGTGTTGTAATTTGCTTATAAACTTGTATGTAACTATCATTATAAACGCTCATTAATTATCATAAGGCTTTATAACAATGAGTATAACACATTATAATTCCTGACCTTGTAAGTCATGATAAAATGCTTTATGATGTGTCGATTATTGCTATAAAGCATTATGATCATTTATGGGTGTTTAGAACTATACTTATACAGTGCTATAACGTGATTATAACCCATTATACATATATTTATAATGCGTTTTAGAGATAGGCATCAAGTTAAGTGTTACCAAAACTTTTTCACAATAGTATAATATTACTGATAGGTACAAGAACAATTCAGCACAGCTGTTACACTTTTGGTGTAGAGTGCAGGTATTCTTTACAGATGACAACCGTATCTCTTAAGACTCTGAAAACCCTTGAATAAGGCTACAATTACAACAGCAAGGGTCAAGGAGTGGGATGTTTGTGCATTAATTTGTTGCTGTAGAAAGAAAACATTTCTGAGGACATTTAATAATCCTGACTTGTGTTTCTTTGCAGGGAGAGAGGGGACCAGCTGGTGAACTTGGGGAAAGAGTGAGTGCTGCACTGCTGGTTTTAGCTTTTGATTTAAAGAAGTCCAACTGTTGACACAAGGATTTTAAACTGTTGACTGTTTATCTCTCAGGGGGACCCAGGGAAGCCAGGCCTTGCAGGAACACCGGGTCTAAGAGTGAGTGACAGGCTGCCACTCAGTATTGGCTAATCACATCAGAGGGCCTTTTTTCTTGTTACAAAAAGAATATTCTGACCGCCATAAAATTCACAGTGACTGTCATGAATGCATCTTTTTCATTTGTCATTAGGGTCCAGCAGGCCCCGTTGGACTTCCAGGGGAAAAGGTAAGACTGATTCAATTAAGGGTAAATGTATGAGATGCGATGGGTCAATAGGAACGTGATTTCTTCACAGAACGTTTCATAATCTGTTGTAATGAATGTCTTAGCAAAGATGAACGGATAAGTGAACCTGTCTGTTTCCAGGGAAACCAAGGAACTCCAGGGGAGCCCGGCAGGAGTGTAAGTTATCAGATGAGAAAAAAAAAAAAAAAACTTGACATATAATCATTTATCTTTCCTTTCATTTAGGATATGCTGTCACTGTGTGTAATGATAAGTCTTTGCTGTGTTTTTTCAATCATGCAGACTCCAGGTTTTGCAGGCAAGAAAGGAGATCAGGTGAGTTGTTAAGATATGCTCTGATACAGCTGGTCACTGACACAAAAACTTTCGATATGATGTGTGCTCGGCTTTTGTCCACAGGGTGAGCGAGGTCCTTCAGGTCCAGAGGGACAAAGGGGAGAAAAAGGAGATATGGGACCTCGAGGAGAGAAAGTGAGCAACCCAGGAATAGATATGCTCTAGAAAAACACTTTTATTTTATTTGTAAAAAGCAACTATCTGGTCTTTGTCAAAATGACATTTCCTGTATTCATCATTTTCCCAGGGGGCTTCAGGGTCAGGAGGGTCTGGTGTACTTGGAGCTAAAGGAGACCCAGGCGAGAGGGTGAGTTTATCGCAACATCTCTTTATCAGAAAAACAAAAGAGCACAATCATGAAGTTCTCAGCCTCTGTGATATATTCTCGGTAGTATCAGCCTGTTATTCATGAAGCAATTCCCTTGTGCCACCTGTCGGTGTAAGTCATGCCCCAAAAAACCTCAAAGACCAAAAATACATAAAACATGTGCTCTTCCCTCAGGGACTTCCTGGTATAAACGGCAGGCCGGGCGCCAAGGTGAGAAGCCAGATATTCATTTTCTGTGTGTTGAAGCTTGTTTCTTTCTCTTTTTTCGGATTTATTGGATTGTTGAACTGTTTTTCAGGGTGATGCAGGTGAACCGGGAGAGAGGGCGGAGAACGGGCGACCAGGGATTCCAGGGAAGCCCGGCCTTCCTGGGAAAGAGGTCAGAGTGTTTAAATCTGGATGCACTAGGTTCACACTTATCATAAACCTACACTTCACTCTCTCCTCAGCATCTCGTTCTGATCCTTTTTACACTTACAACAGAAAATAGGAGCAGCCAGGTGACGATTTCTAATTGCAGGCTTAAAACAGAATTTTAATGTAGTGGTGCCAAATTGATTGATGTCAAGTAATATTCAATAACCAGAAAACTCATTTAGTCATTTTGTTGAAACACTCTGGTGTCTTATCTTTCTTGTTCTTGTTTTTCTTTGCAAAGTGAATTAGATTATTGACTTAAAAGCAGTTTTTTTTCTGTGTTTTGCTCTCTGTGCTGTAATCAGAGTTCAAACTGTTAAGCTTTGTGTCTTACTTCATCATGCTTCCATTTATAATGATGAAATTTTAGAGGTAAATATGAAGACGTCCTCTCAGTTTCTCATGTTATCTTTTCTGAGTTGAGGTTCCCTCCAGTCAAAATCAATACGTATTTATTCATATGTTTATAACAGGGAGGGAGAGGAGAGAAAGGTGATGAAGGCACACCTGTAAGTATGGTCTCCAGTCCTAATTCTTCTCTTTTCATTTCATTTATTTTAGGGGAGATGTTTTTCTCTCAGTGTTAACATCTGTAAAAACATAAATGTTATTTGGGTCTATAAATTGGCAAATGCGTTGCTGTTTTACCTGTCTCAAGGGGGAATCTGGACTGCCAGGGAAGCCAGGAGAGAGAGGACTAAGGGTAGGAATCTCACTGATGAATTGTCTGCTCAAGTTTTGTTTCATAAACTTTGAAAACACCAAAAGTAAATCAATGGAGGGTTCAGTAAACAGACATATTTATTGACTTCCTCAGGGACTGGCCGGTCAGCCAGGACGACCAGGAGAGAAAGGGGACATGGGTGACCCAGGAGAGCACGGACGAAATGTGAGCAGCACATTTTTGTTTCATCACAGAGACAGCTTTTCGATATACTATTGTGTTATTCCACTGAGGCCTCAAGAGAGGAAGGTCAGCTGCTCAGCATTTTTATCGATCTTTGTTCAATTGCAGGGCAGCCCTGGACCTGCCGGTCCAAAGGGAGAGAGAGGGGATCTGGTTTGTTGTCTACTTTCTTCAAAAAGAGCTCTTAAAACTTTGCATCTTTGGTAAGTTAATTCATATATTTCATTCTCTTCTTGAAGGGTCCCCAAGGTCCTCCAGGGCCACCAGGAAAAGTGGTGAGTTTGTCACATGTACACATATATTTCAAAGCAGAAATAATTATCGTTAAAAAGAGAGGAGGAGTAACTATTTAGATAACTTTACTAGTGAATGTACTGAATATATCACAATTCTGTACTTTTCTGTGTCTATTCTTTCTGACAGGCTGAAGTCCAGGGCCAGCTGAAAGGAGAAATTGGAGAGAAGGTATGCATTGTACCTGTGAAGAGTCGTGAGAAATCCAGTCGTATTGGTGCTATTTCAGAAAGACGATGAAAAAAACATTGTCTAAAAATAAAAAATCTGCCGTGTCACGACAAGCTCAAAGTAAAACTGGAATTCAGGGGGCGAAGAAGAAACTTACGTCATTGTCATTCTCAGGGCGATGCTGGGGACCCTGGAGAGCACGGCGGCAAAGGTCAGAAAGGCGAAGCGGGGACTCCCGGAGCCGCAGGCCTCAGAGTGAGTTTGCCTCGTATTTGCCAACGCTCCTATGAGCATCTGATGAGCCTCTGTACAGTATAAGCATCTTCATGTGCACCGAAGTCTTTTTCTGTTGATTTAATATGCCTGCCTGCTGATCCTCTGTGACCTCTTGTTCTTTCCCTGCTGTCTATAAAGGGTCCTGAGGGACAACGTGGGCCTGCAGGCACAAGAGTGAGTATGCTTTCTGTCACTGTTTTCTGCACTTTCACTCTCAAAACTAGACTCTGTGGATCACTGAATCATCCCTTTATACAACACTTCTCTGCTAATGTTGGATATTATCATGTTCCAGGGTGACCAAGGAGAAAGAGGGGCGCCTGGAGACAAGGTTTGAAATAAATAAGCATGACAGGTCCTCACAACCTCACAAACTAAACTGAACATCTAATATTATCATCATCCAAAAGTATTTTCTACACTCTGTTTAGTCGCTGGTAATTTCTTAGCTGTTAACCTTTTCTTCATGTGATCAGGGAGACAGGGGTACATCTGGGTTAGATGGACGTCCTGGTGTGGATGGCAAAGCAGGTCCTCCTGGACCAGCTGGTCAGAGGGTACTTGAATTTATGCCATCTTTTTTCCAGCTGTACTACACATTGTACTTATTGTGGAATTTTAATAGATGGTTTATGTATGTGGGCTTGTCTTTTCCCTTGTTTGACAGGGTGATCCAGGAAAACAGGGGGATCCTGGGAGAGATGTGAGTCTTCTTTTTCCCATAGACCTTGCTCATTCTGAAATAGATGCTGACATGTTTGCTTTATGCTTATCTACATTGTAGCAGTCGTAGTAGTTTTGGTTGCATATTACACTTGGCTCTGAATTCCATTTAAAAAGGAACATGTTACTCATACATGCTGCAGAGGGCGCTGTGAGGTGTTTTAATTACTCTTCAGTCCTGTGGCTTGTTGCATAAGCCAGCGATAAGGACAGACAGTCACAGTCAAGTTTCACAAGACACTATTATGTAATTATAATAGTATCTACTGTGATAGGGATTTTAAGAGTCCAGGGTTTCCAAATTTACAGCTCAAATATAGAAGCTAATTCCATACAATCCAAACTAAATCCATATCAAGATATAGACGCGTCAGTCTTACAGTACTGCAACAACAGTACAATCAAAACAGATCATTGTTTGCCTTTTCTGGGAATTAAAACTTCAAGTTAAAGATGCTATTGCAGATTAACATAACTCTGCTCAGATTAAAAGTCTTTTTACTCTACATTATAATAAAAAATGAAACCACTCATTGTTATTTCTGTTTGTGATATTTGCCAGGGTTTAGCTGGACTTCGAGGGGCTCAAGGCCCCCCAGGGCCTGTTGGACCCCCAGGTGCCCAAGGGACACCAGTGAGTACACATACACAAGCAAAGTTAATTTGTGGTGTTCAAGTGCCTCTCCATCATTCTCTCTGTTTGTTTGTTTCTTGAGCTGTCACTCTGTTAACTACATTTTCCTTATTGTTAGTCGTCATTCTTGCTGTTTAATTTCAGGGTAAAGCAGGAGAAGATGGCAAACCTGGAGCTCCTGGCAAAATGGTAACTCATACCACACTATACACACGTGTTATTATTTGTCACCTGACTGACGTATTTTGATATGTTTTCTATTTAACTCATTTAGGAACAGATACAATGTGCATAGAAAAACTGAAAACAGTCATTTTGGCAGTGTACCTATCAAAGTGTTTTTAGCAGATGATAATTGCAATACTCTTTTTAAAGATTATAAAATTTAAGATTTAAGACTTTTAAAAGAGGTAAGTTTGCAATCCATTTTGGGTGATTTTATTCCTGTCAATGAAAACTATGTTAGGGCTAAACATGTTTTGTAGAATAAGACTTTACTATCACCACTTAAGGCTGCTTCAGTAGATCTGTCGCAGCTCTGTAAAACGTGGCAGTGATGATATCTTATTAGCCCTTTATCCAGGATTTTCAAGGCCTTATTGTAAAGTCGCCCTAAGGATTTAATGACTGACCACTTTTCCTTGAATCAGGCAGTTAAGCCAAAGGATGGATGTGAAATTATCACAGCTTTTAAAAACAGAAAGGCACATTTGAGTGTCAGACTGTTCCTTATCATCCTGTAACAGCAGAGATTAGCTTTAGTACTTTGGCAGATCTTTTCAACTCGGTTTTTGAGTTTTATCTAAGAGTTTAAAATTACCCCGAGATACTTAATCTCTGCTACCTGTTCAATAAGTTTACCTTTAATCCTGGCATTCAGCAGCTCTGTTGCTGGTAACTTCTCTATGGAAAAACAGAGAGTATCACGTCAGATAAAAAGGCATCAAGCCAAGCCTAAACTCTGCTCAGTCAGGGTGGATCTTAATGCTGAAATCTGTATTTTTTCTCAATTTCTCTCCATCTTTCGTCAGTCAGATCAATCTTGATGTCCCCTTTTAATGGATGTTTTTTTACCGTTCAGAAGTAGTGTAGATGTTTATTCCTGGGTCTGCTGCACAGTAGCTGTCCTGGCATAATGGCACTGAAGGGTTTGAGTGCTCCTGCAGTGAAGTGGCCATTTTTCAGTGTGCCCCTGTTGAGTTTTAAATGCATCCTGTTTTGACCTGCAGGGCGAGGACGGTGTGCCAGGTGAAGATGGAAGGAAGGTTTGTGATTCTTTATCACATTACCACTACCAGTGAACACAGTTTATTAAGCAGTGCATGACTTCTCGGTTGGTTTATTGCCTTTAATGTAGTCACTTGGGTATGTACTGCATGTGTGTACATAAAACATTTTTAACCATGGTTGTATTCCTTTGCTATGTAAGGTGAGACATTTATTCAAGTTTGTTATATGATTTTCCTGAATATATTTACATTTTGTTTTGATCTGACTCTTGTTTTCTTCAATCTACAGGGTGACAAAGGAGAATCAGGAGCAGCTGGGAGAGATGTCAGTTTGGACAAATTACCTTTTCTCAGTTTGTCTTTCTACTTTGTTGTCCATTAGGTTATGTTTCCTGCCTAACTTAACCTTCCCTATTACACCACTTCTTCCTGCTCCTGTCATCCATCAGCTCTTCTCTTTTCTTTTTTCCTCACCACTTTCCCTCTAAAACGTGTATTTATAAACTGTAGTTCTGACATTGACATTACCATCACACTCTCTCTCTCTCAGTGCTGAATCAATAGGCATCTCAGAAGAAGTTGTATAAATTCACTCGCCTCTAATGATCAAGCTTAGCCTTTAAAGGGGAAACACTTCTGAGAGGCATCCAAAGAAGAGCCAAATGTCAGGGAGCTGTTTTCATGTGCAAATTCATATTAATTATCTGCAGAACATCAGAGGAGGGGTGGCAGCAGCCACCTGCTTTGAGTTTATGGATTAGCCTCTACTGTACTGCAGGAGGAAGGAACCCTGCACAAAGAGGGTCTCGGTTATGTAAGCTCGTGTGTTTTTTCAGGGCCGTGATGGGCAGAAAGGAGAACGAGGCCTGGCTGGGCTAGTAGGACCCACTGGACCCTCTGGAGCTCCTGGAGCACCTGGAAGCATTGGTCCTCCTGGACAGGTGCGTCTGAGAGAAACACTCAGCTTATGAAGAACAGCATGTCACCACCCTCTCTTGTTGTTTGAAAGTGAAACCAAAATAAGCTGCGTTGATAGCTGGTGGAGCTGCAGTATTGACGTCCTACCCTTCTGATAATCAAAGCACTCATTTAACCTAAAGATTAAAAGATTAAAGACCATTTAAGTTGACATGAACAACAGCAAAAACAACATCATCTTTCTATAACCCAAAGCGTCTGCTTCAAACTAAGAAAAAGATGTTGCGTTTTTGTTGATGTTTTTTAGTTTAAAGCTGATGCTTAGGGTTATAGAAAGATGAATAAGTCTCACATAAAGTCCAGACTTAAAAAATTTTCATATAAAACTTGTGCTGGTGTGTATTTTATTGACTTTACTATTTTACTGGTCATTTTAATTGTTCTGTAGGGTGTCCTTGAATACTCTGAAAGGTGCCTATAAATAAAATGTATAATAATAATAATAATAATAACAACAACAACAACAACAACAATAATAATAATAATAATTATAGTAGTAGTAGTAGTAATAGTAATTTGCTCCCTCTCTATTTTTCTAATGTAGTGCTCACAGCGCTGCATAGCGTATCCAATAACTAACTTCACATAACTTCGCAGAAAAATTGACCCTCTGACATAGATCAGCATCACATGACTGTCATGACAAAAAATGAAGCAAAATTTGTATTCTGTGGACTCATGTCTCATCTGATATTGACACAGACAAGGCACATTTAAAATACACCATTTAAACCAGTCATAGGAAGATATATTTGAAACCGCACACTTCCTCTACCATGAAATGTTGGATTTACTTCAATTAGATTAGGCTTTCTGTACAGATTATGTTTACTTGTTGTCTCCTGTTTTATACTAAATAAATGATAAGGCTGGTTATATGACATAGATCATACTATTTAAGGAAGTTACGTTACAGCTGTTCAGTGTTAAATTTTTTTGAGTTGTGTAAATATGAGTATGGTTGTTTGACATAATGTGACACATCAAATAGAATGTTTAATATTTCCGTGGGATGGGATATATTCACACTGAACAGGGCAGCACTCTATCAACAGTGTCTGGGAAGGGAAAAACCTTTTAAAAGAAAAGAAAAAAATCAGAGATTGATTAGAAGATTGATCTGTCAGTCACATTCGTAATGGGCTAATTAGAGCAACAAATCACAGGATGTAGAGCAATATGTAAACAATATGACATAAGCTTGAGAGGCACTAGACTTATATGTTAGCTGTTCGCTCTCTTCGTCCCCTCTCAAGAGCGCATATTTCACCATTTCTGATGAACTACCATTACAGCTGCATCCACGCCGATCTCTTCATGGGCCCATGTTGTTTACACGCTTGCCTTAGCTACCATCTCTTTCTTCTGATTGTTTTGCTTCTTCTCTGATTCTCTATTTAAATGATTCTGTCTTCTAGGTTGTTTATGTGAAAGGAGTCGAGGCAGCACCAATTCCAGGTCCCCAGGGGCCTGCAGGAACCCCTGTGAGTGTGCTGTTTAATTATTAATTGCTTTCTTTTAACACATTTTACACTTTAACACCCACGTTACATTTTCTCCTGCAGTGTCGCGCAATGGGAATAATGTGAGCCTCTAAGGCCTGCAGAGGGTTTAGACTGATGAACTTGCAAACCAAAACCATTTCTCTGCAGCAAATTATACATTTTTAGTACAACTGTTTCTCTTTGGATGCAACTGCAGAAAAGTTAATTTTCCTAAATCAACAGACAGTCCCAGTATTGGCTCCTGTGTGGTGCTGTTATCCCCAGCAGGATCCTTATCCCACATGTAGCAGGAGAGATGTGTTTTATCTACATCTGTGTGTTTGCTGCTGCAGCCTTTCCACCCTCTTATCTGTTGATGTTTTTATTATTGTCCTTGCTCTGTCCTTCAGGGCGTACCTGGGATACCCGGAGCTGTGGGAGCCAGAGTAAGTCCTGGCTATCTGTATTGATCGAGCTCTACAAGGATGACCACTTAGTCTGTTTTTTTTTTTACCTTCTTAACATTTTGTTTCAGGGGGAACGAGGTCCATCTGGTCCTAAAGGTGATGCTGTAAGTTAAGCTTTTGTCTCTTTAATAGTGAAAGTGTGACAAGAGTGAGGATTCATCTGATCATATGTTGACACCTTGATATTTTTTGTTCTGGCAGGGGGACCCAGGAGAGGACGGGGCGCCGGGCAAACCTGGAACAGCAGTGGTGAGATGACAGCACATCACCTGTTGTGACCACACTGCAACACGTGGACACATCCACTGACACATCTCTTCTTAATTTTGTTCCCAATCCTCTCTAACAGGATGTGCAGAGAGCCCTGGCTGGTCTTGGCATTCAGGTAAATAGACTGCTCTCTGTTATACATATTCCTTCTTATTTTATGTTATAGGTTATGTGTGTACAAAGCTTTTCATTTACTGTGTGGTAAACAAATAAAGGGTCTGGTTAGATTATCAATCAATGAAATGTCTCCCTGTCTCCCGTGTAGATAGTTTTTTGGATAATGTTATTTCTAATAAGAAATGTTCTTGACCTTTTGCAAAATAATAAATGTGCTCTGATTAAAGTCATACAACTATTCACAATCTCCAGATGTGTTTGTCTGTTTTTGTCTCATGTGACAGGTGGCTTGCTTATTTTTAGACCATAGAAAAATTCACGCCTGTGAATGTGGATTAACTAATTTGCCGCAGTCAAATGTAAGATTTCCTTAAGAATAGGAATGCAAGTAAATTTAGACCACAGCAGCATGACAGGCTTGCTGGGGTTGCAAATGTGCACATTCTTCACTCCAGGATACAAATGCTACTACCAGAAAAGTCCTCTTTCCTCAGTATTTCTACCTTGTTAGTTTAAAGGGGGTTTGATGACACAGATGCAAGACTGACGTAGACTTGGGCCTGAATTGTACCTTTCTTAAAATAAACCACCATACTGCCCTTAATAGGCGTTCTTGTGAATAAAAATCTATATTTTTCACAGTAACACTATATGATTCAGTCAATGTACAAAACTATTTTTCAATTTTCCATCAGATTAAGTTTTTTTTCCGATTTTTTTGTGTGTGTGAATGGGACTTGCCAGACTTCAGTAACAAGCAATTTTCCAGCTGTTAAAATGAAATCTAAATGACTGTGGCTGAAAGTTTCAAGCTCTTGTGAGACTTTTTCTTTCTGCTCTGCACACAGGTGTCTGATCTGAAGGTTGTGGTGGACAAGAAGGACATGCTAGTTGCTCCCACAATTAAGAAGCCAGAGAAAGGTGATAAAGGAGACAGGGGTGAACCTGGCCAAAGAGGACCATCTGGTGTAGATGTAAGTATGATGAAGGGCATCTTGAAGGCTTTAAGTAAACACTGTAAGACTCCTTCACTTCAAAAACAAGTCCAGCTGGTAATCTATATTCTAAAGTTCATTTCAATGTCTTATCTTTGTAGTTCAAAAGCTTAAAAGTTTAATTAACATCTTTCCCCATTGTTGCACCAGGGTGCTCGTGGTATCCAAGGTGAGAGAGGGGCCAAAGGGGACCAAGGAGAGCGAGGTCCTGCAGGAGTTCCCGGGCCTACAGGGAGAGCCATTGGAGAGCAAGGGCCCAAGGGACCCCCGGGGCCTGCTGGAGAGCCAGGCAAGCCAGGAATACCAGGAGTGCCAGGGAGAGTTGGAGAGCTTGGTGAAGCTGGAAGACCAGGAGAAAAGGTCTAAAAGAGTGTCTTGTGGGAAAAAAAAAATTCATGGACTTAACACGGCTCTGCGATTGTGACGCCTTTTTGTGTTTCAGGGGCCACCTGGGGAGAGAGGTGACAAAGGTGAAAGTGTAAGTGCTTATGTTACATGTCTGTTTGCCTTGATTTCTTTTTGTCATGAATGGTTGTCAGGGTCATGAGTAGACAGACCGAGAGCACTCATGTAAAAAAATAAAATTGATCAAAATGATTCCTCACATGCTGTGACATGGTCCTATCTTTAATGACCTAATTGTTGTCTACAAAATGGAACATCTGCTATTTCAAAGTAAACGTTATTCACCATTCTACAAACCTGTTGACAAATGTTAATTGTGTTTTGATTACATCTTTAATTGGTTTTTATTTTACCAGTGCATAAATTGGCTAATTGAGAACTCTCTCTGTACAAGAAAAAACTCTTCACAGGGACAGTACCATTCCACTGAGCAATAGACAGCTATTAGACGTCTAGTTTTTTTTTTTTAAGACCTAATTTCAACCGTCTAGATTCTGTATATTTTTAGAAGGAATTTAGACGTTGCACTTTAACCCATTATTTGATAACTATTTATTTCAAAAAGCAACTGTGAGTTGCATAACTGATCTAAAAGTACTAAACCAAAATAATTATAATAGCTGTTGAGCAATATACAGTTAGACCTCTGTTAGCCGGCTAGTCTAAACTTGTTCTAAATTTAGACGTCTAAAAAACATTCATTTTTTATACCTGTGGTAGCCTGATTTTAGAGCAGTTGTTTAGGCTGCATTTAGACGTCTATTAGACCTCTTTTAGATCAAAAAATGCTCAGTGGGATACTGTATTTTATTGTATTATATCATATTATATTGTGTTGTATTGTATTATGTGGTGTTGTATCATGTCGTATCCAGTTAATTTGTATCTCATTGTGTGGTATGACATGTCAGGGTATTCTTTATTAATCAATTCTTTCATATAATCATTGTCACACTGCACTGAGAGCTTCTTTGTGGTTTTCAGGGTAGAACTGGGCCTACAGGACCAGCCGGTCCACCGGGTCAAAAGGTGAACTCCTCCTCAGTCTTTTTGTTGAAGAACAGAAACCATGTCAAGCCCACTTTTGCTAGATATAAATACAAAATGTGGAGTTCATTTGCATGTGCAATTACTGCAGGGAGCATCTGCTGAATCAGTCTTGACTGGTGCACCTGGGGTGCGAGGCCTTCCAGGAATTGCCGGGCCAAAGGGAGAGCCTGGTGCTTCTGGGCTTCCAGGACCAAAAGGAGAACAGGTAACATTTTAACATGATGTGCCAGGTGAAGTACTGTTATGTGTGCTTATATGCTCATTGGCTTGTAATACCTGGCAGGGCTTTGCGGGATCTCGTGGTGACAAAGGGGCGAGGGGAGAGCCTGGAGAAAGAGGACGTGATGGCTCACAGGTGAGCTAAGTGTCAGGTTTAATCTAAACAATAGTAATAGACATAATCTCAGATTTCTGATGTGGAAAAAGAAAATTCCTCTACCATAGTGACTTAACAATCTATTGTTTTTATAAGAAATGATCTGTGTCATTTCAGGGAACACCAGGAGAACCAGGAAAACTTGGTTTGGATGGGAAACCGGTAAGTGGGATGTTCCTGATGTGAGCTAAGATGGTGCTTATTTGCATTGTCATTCTAGGTTTAGAGAAGCTAGTGTGACATGTCTTTCAAAGAGTGCGGTAAGTGTGTTTTTTCCTCTGTTGTAATGTTAGTATCTAGCTGTTAATCATATGTATTTAAAAATGTGTTCATTATGCTCTTCATTATCATACATCTCAGCAATCACTGTTTGGCTTTGTAGTAAGTATCCATTAGAGAAAATTTCCATATTTTTAATGTAATATTAACGATATTAATTGTCTTTGAGCCTTTCAGTTTGTGTCTGTCTGTGTGATGATTACTGGTGCAGAATAATGGCAGAAGAGGAGAGGAGAACTATTAAGGTTTACCTCACAATTTTTGTCTTCCTTCCCTCCGCTTTGGGGCAGGGCCCCACAGGGCCTGCCGGTCTTCGAGGCCAACCAGTGAGTAACCAGTAACCCAGAGATGGGCCTTCCCCCAGGCTTGATCCCAGAGCAAACCACTGGGTTGGCTGCGAACACTAATGATGGAGCTCTCTTTCCCCCCCCTTTTGGGCTGAGGCTTCACAGATCCCTAGACAGCAACCTTTTGCAGTTGTGTGGCTGAAAACTCACAACCTAACTTTCTCGCTCTTCTGATATGTGCCTTATCTCTTTCCATTTCCTTATCTGTGTCCTTTCAACACTGTTTTTGTCCTCCCCCTCTGTCCCCCCACCCTCCTGTCTTCCACCTTCTTCTGTCTCTCATCCTCTCCAGGGGCTGCCTGGTTTCCCCGGAGTTTTAGGCAGACCGGTAGGTGCTCTGCTGCTGGCTGGCATGCTTTAGCTCTGGAGAAGCATAGGGAAAAACTTGTGGTAATAGATAGGAAAGGTAATCTGTTAAATGTATCCACTTTGCAAACAGGAAACTACAGCAACCTATCATCGAAATAAACACATTTCGTGCACATGCAGGTCTATGTTTAACCCTCTAATCTTAATCTATGTGTTTTGGTTAGATCCTTCTGGGAACAAAAGTCTTGGATAAAAGTCAAAGTCTTGATCTGTCCATAATATGACATTATAAAGACCCCCTATCCCCACAGAACCTGTGACAAACTCAAGAATTTAGATTCAAATTGAACACTGAGCAGGTAAAACACGCAGATTTTTTGTAGGGGATGAAAAAAAGTGAGCTGATGTCCTGAACTGAAGCCCTCGCCAGGATCCAGCGTACAAAAGGAGGGAGGGATATTAAATTGGGTGCACTCCAAAAAGTACTGTGTTGTCGATCCGCTCGATTCGCTTGAGTCTGCTTATCGTGCATGCAGCTGTGCCTGCTTTCTGTTGTGTGCTTATCCCTCCCACAGCATAGAGCTTACCATGTGAGTGTCTTTTGTCGACATTGTTGATTCTCTGTGTTTGTGTTGTCATACCTGTTGTCATGAGCCAGTCAGGTGCTTTTGTGTGTGTGTGTCTATGTCACCTTATGATACAGTCCCATATCCATGTTTTATGTTTGTCCGTCTCACCTCTGTGTTGATGTCCACTGACAACAGAAAAAGGTCACACATTTTTGTGGACTCAAACATATTTATCAGTAAATATGCCTTGTGTGTGACTCTTTGTTAAACGTATTAACTTCTTGGAGTTTGTCTCTGTAGATAGATAACTTCAAAAATTCTTAACTTCAATACCAAAACAGTTTAATCATCAATAAGACTTTGCTGTAAGAACAAGTCTCAAATTTCCCAGAGTGGGTTCTTATAAATGTGCTGGTTGGTTGATTTGTTTGGGTGCTTTTTTTAGTTAAGGAACATTATGGGAGGTTTCAAGTGGTTAGACGATTGAATAATCAATAAACTGAAGCCTCCATATGACCTCAAATGTAAACCAAACCATCAGGGAAATGATAAAAGGGATATTCCAGCATAAAATTAATTCAGGGTCAAACACACCATAACACTGAGTCAGACACCCCGTCGAGAGATGAATGTTGCTGACCGCTTGCTTCTCTAGTTATACCAACTTTAGAAACAACCGCACGGTAGCAATAAACAGCGGTCTGAGGAGCCATAAACAAACCTTAACCAAAACGCCACTCTATAGCCACAAATAATGCTCAGAACAGCACCTAACTTCATCCAAGCCATAGCACTAGCCACCAAACATCTTTTTAACTTTGCCTGATTTCTTTAGCAAAGAGACTAAACACAACTCATCTACTCTCTTCCAGCAGCCGCTTGTTTGTAGCGAGACCTAAGGCCAGTCCATTACGGACCACAGTAGGGTGACGCAGCTTAAGGAAGAACATTTATGATCATTTCTTTATCATTTCCTTTAAGTAATAATCACCATACTAATCATTTTGCACTGCAGACGCGGTAGTTCTTCTGCCTTAGCGTCTCGGTCTGATTGCATTTCCATGAAGAAATGATCATAAATGTTCTTCCTTGAGCTGCGTCACCCTGCGTCACGGTGTGTTTCACCCTAAATTAATTTTACGCCGAAATATCCCTTTAAGAACTCATTCACACTTATTTTTGAGGCCTGCTAGGTTGGTGTCAGACAGAGCAATTTGCAGCTTTCTTTGTTTACATTTTTTAGTGCAAAGTCTCACACTGAATGGGCGAGTAGGCAGTTGAAAAGACAGATTTTTTTTTGTGACAGACGACTTTTCAGATGTACCTTCATTGTAATAAAGAGACAAGAAAGAAATGTATAAGGGTTTAAAATTTGACAGAAAATTAAGTTCGTCAAAGTTGGTTTAAGTGATTGTTTCTTGATGAGAATACACTTTCTGACTTGTTTCTTTCCTGCAGGGAAATCCAGGAGAGCCAGGAGTAAGAGGACCAACGGTAAGTATTTTTCTGATGAGAGGACATGCACACTTCTTCACAGCTCTACATAAAAACTGTTCCTGATATATATTTCATTCAGGGCCCCATGGGTCCCAGTGGACCTCCAGGTCCAGCAGGTGTGAAGGTGAGTTTACTGTGTGTGCGTTGTGCTGCCTTTTAATGCATGTGAACTGGAACTCTTTGACTGTTGTTAGCTAAAGTTATAAAAAGTTGTTTTCTTTATTTGTTTGCAGGGTAATCAAGGGGAGGCAGGAGTTGGTGTCCAGGTAAAAGATTTCTGTTCCCTTTGTACTTTGTCACATAACAACATTGATAGTAACAGTGGCGATTGCTCTAAGACTGAAAGGGAAGCTCAGCTTCCCTTAAAATGTCACCCCCCAAAAAAAGAAAAAGTGGTGAAATACGTACTGCTGTGTGTACATTTCATTAACTAAATACGCGCTAGAAAGCCTTCATCTTTTGTTTAGAATCAGCTTCTTATCACAGTGTGATAAGAAGCTGATTCTGCACAACTTCGTTTTCATTCATCCTCGCAGCGCCTCAGCGCTTTAAACAGCCGGACGCTCGGCGTCTGCTGACTTCAATTGGAAGCTCAAAGTGGGTTGTTCCAGCAGCGAAACTAGACGCTCATTGGATAAATGCTGGGCTTTGTCCCGCCCATCGGACGCTCGGCGTCTCTGGAGTTCTATGGCGAGAGGGCGGTCCCGACTTTCTCCCGGACTCCGAGCTTCTGCATCCATGATTGGATGAGCTGTCTGAGGCGAAATCCTTTTTTGATTGACAGCTAAACAAGCGAATCAGCGATCTTGAAGAATAAAACCTCTACCAGAGCATTTTCCAAGTTATTCATTCCGTTGTTCTTAACTGCTCCAGAGACTTTACCGATCCTCAGCGACTTTTGTCTTTGTTAAAAACGACTGCCGTTGTGTTTGGCGACTCTGTTCTGTTACATACTAATAAACAAATACAATTATGATGTAGGCCAGAAAAATGAGCTTCCCCTCCTTGAAAGACCAGCAGCCGCCACTGGATAGTAAATCTTTTGATTGATTTCTTTTTTGTCACTGTGTTTCTCTTTCTACAGGGTGCTCCAGGCGCCCAAGGGAGCACAGGTCTACCGGGACCACCAGGCCCTCCAGGAGCAGTAGTAAGTGTTCCCATAAATCAAAGCCCCCTCTCAAGAAAGAAAGAAAAAAGATGTGTTTCTTATTGAATTTCACTCAGATGTGTGTACTGTATTATTTTCCCTCAAGACACTGCATGTGTTCCTCCCTGCAGGGTCCACAGGGTCCTCCAGGACTGTCTGGGCAGGTGGTGAGTATGCAGTCCTGATCCAGCTTTTTTGTGTTGCTGTACTGCGGAGCGTGGTAAGGAGGTGAAAAATTAAAGTAATGTTTTGAGCCTGAGGCATTTTTGAAATTGGCTGATTATGGGAAAGTAATTAAATAAAAATGCCAAACACGTGTACTGAGCTTTTGTAGATAAATGGCCATTTCAGCTGGGCCTTTGTGTGCGGGATTCAAAACAGCAAGGGTACAAAATGTGTGATTAGTTCTTTTAGTTCTTTTTGTGCCATCTACAAGCAGACTTTTTTATTAGCAGTAACCACAAAGACAACTTTTCTAAACTGTGTGTGATCTCTGTAATGATGATATCATGAAGTCTGCTACTACAGTGAAAATCTCTAAAAAGCCACTGAATACGAGAGTACAAGAGCCTTGAGACATCAGAAATTATTCACGCTATCATGTATAAAACAGAGATTTTTCAGGTACTACACAGACATTTGGTCAGTTGTCCCCAAAGCACATTTAAGCATCTTCTTTCTGATAGTGACCACACCATTAGAGGTGATCGATACTTTGTTCCCCTCATGGATAGAGAAGCTGATGTTGCTCCAGTAGTCAAACAAGGCTGTATTTAAGTGCTCTAAAGATGGTAAGAAGGCTCCTAATCACTTGATATAGAGAAAACAAGGCCAAAAAACACAGGGTGGGTTATGAAATACATGACTTCACGGTAACTGACTGAAAGACACAAAATTTTACCAAAAAAAATCCCAAGTTTTTAATTTCCGATTGTAACAGAGTGGCATTTTTGAGTAGACATTACATGATGAGATATGTTTGTGGTAATACTAAGTTTGGAGGTGATTTGCTGACCTGAGAGTTTCTCACCTTTGCTGAAATAGACTACGGGCTTACCAAAGACCAGCAGAACTCCATCTTTGACAAGAGCCATACTGACTATTTTACATCCTTGTGTAGTGGAGTTCTTTCTGCCAAAGCTTTTAAACTCTTCTTTAGGATTAGAGATGCCTTAGGAGTCCAAATTATCGTGGACTTTCCTCCACAGTTACTTGTCTACAGTCTCATTAAACATTTATGGGGAAACATGAGTACTGAGAGAGCTAAGAGTTCTGTAAAAACACGAGAAAGTCTTTGGATTCATATTGAATCATGCGTGGATTGTCTTCTAAAACCTTGTGAAGCTGAAAACCTCTCCGATCTTATTAGATGTAGACATTTTGAAATCATACAAAAGTTTTACCGATTCAAATTTGAACTAAAATGTTTAAACTGGTATCATTTTTTTGAATTAATGGGAGTTTTCAATGAAAATGCAGACGGCACGCTCTATTTTGTGCATGCGCATTACACTTTCAACGATTTGCACATGGCAGTCAAATATTCTCAGGTTGAAACTGTAATGTGCATGCGCAAAATGGAGCGTGCCGTCACCTTTTTCAACGAAAACACCGACTTGCTGTTGATAATATTGGTTGCGGTGTTTCTCCAAATCTGGAGGGCATTTTTAAAAGTTACTGTTGAGGTCGGCCAAAACGCCATTTCCATTATCATGAGAAAACAATCCTTCTTATTTTAAGGTAAACAAAAAAATAATAATTACAGAAAACAAACTTTGTTATATCGAGATAACAAGATAATAAGTCGTTATCACGCAATAACAGTGCACAAAAACAAGATAAATCCATGGCCGTTTTCAGCTTCCGCACAATGGGTAATCTTCCAAACTTCACGACTTTTAACAAAAGTGTGAATTAGACTGCTCTTACATTTTATTGAATATGTATTTCACTGGTGCATGTGCTGCTCTCTAGGGTGAAGCAGGTAAGCCAGGGGTCCCAGGAAGAGATGGAGTTCCTGGCAAAGAGGGAATACCTGGATTACCAGGAAAGCAGGTTTGTGCGTCTGTGTGCGCCAGTGTTTGTGTTCACAGCTTCAGCTGTACACGTAGCTGTGCCCTTCGGTTGTTATCAATACTGATGTCTTTGTCTTGAAATTTGTTCCACAGGGCATTGCTGGACCTCCAGGACAGCTTGGCTTAAAAGGAGAACAGGGAGACAGTGGTCCTCCAGGAAAGGTGAGAACATGTGTGTTTTTAAAGTCTGCCTCTGGCCATGAGGACGGTGAGTGAAATTGCTTTTTGTTCTCGCTTTATTGGATGAGATCCAAGCAACAGACTGATTTTCTGCCTGAAGTAATAAAAAAACATTTCTGTTGAGCTATAATAAGCTTTCACTGCTAGTCTGGTCTGGTGCACAACACTACTGTAGGTTGACTCTCATTCTTAGGTCCCTTTGTCCTTTGTCATGACTTTGAAATAGAAAAAAAAGGATTTGATTTGAAAGCAGATGGAAAATAAAGGTATCCTGAGGAGTATTGTCACACTTTTGATCCCAAATAGACTCCCTCATGCTACTTTTGTTGTCCACCTGGGGCTTGGGTTGTCTGCAATCTTGTTTGTTTCCACACATCCCCCCTACATTTTGCACACTTGTCAAAACTGTCTGGAAGTCCCACTGGCAGGTGTATCTTTTAGCTTTTATATTTTAACTCTGATATTTGCGAGTAAAGTGTAGTAGTGTGAGCTGGGAGGAAATCGAAACAGCCCGCTGAGAGAAAACCTCAGAACGCAGACATTTTCTGTCTGACCTTGTTAATGAGGAGATCTGTAACCAGCCTGGAATCTACAGCCAGCAATGTCAATAGGATTCACAAAAGCCTGAATCCTGGAGTGTTTCATTGACGTTGAATCAGTAAATTGTGCTCCAATAGCCAAGTCAGGTAAAGTAGCGGTATTGTGTTGCCACAGAGCTGTTGGGAAATGGTTGATCAAAAACCAAACTTAAACATTGATTCGGCTAGAGATCTACATCTCATGTACTCAGACAAAAAAAAAAAAAAAGGCTGATCTGTAATTTTTTGGTGCAGCTCCACTGATGTTGAGTGTTATTATGTCTGACTGTACTATCTAAAAGTGTGATTTGTTTAAAAACTTTGTGTTTAAAGGGACATTCCAGCGTAAAATTAATTTAGGGTCAAACACACTGTAACACCGAGTTAGACAACCCCTTGAGAGATGAATGTTGCCAACCGCTTGCTTCTCTAGTTATACTAACTTCAGTAACAACTGCAGGATAGCAATACACAGTGGTCTGAGGAGCCATAAACAAACCTCAACCAAAACGCCACTCTATAGCCACAAATAATGCTCAGAACAGCACCTAACTTCATCATCAGTACATACAGGGTCCCAGCCATAGTGCTAGCCACCAAACATCTTTTTAACTTTACCTGATTTCTTTAGCAAAGAGACTAAACACAACTCACCTACTCTCTTCCAGCAGCCGCTTGTTTGTAGCGAGACCTCGGGCCAGTCCATTATGCACTACTGTGGGGGTACACAGCTCAAGGAAGAACATTTATGATCATTTCTTCATAGAAATGCAATCAGACAGAAGGGCAGAAGAACTACCGCTTTTGCAGTGCAAAATGATTGATATGGTGATTATTACTTCAAGGAAATGACAAAGAAATGATTCACAAAGATTCACAGCGATTTGAATGAAGAAATACTCAGAAAAGCAATTTTGCATTTAGTTTTCTCATGATATGCCCTGTAGCATCAGAAGAATGCCACATGAACATATAAAAAACAATAAAAACCATGATTTTCATCGGAGTGGGTCTCGAACCAAACTAACCCGCTTCTGCTGTCATCATTAAATTACCTGCTAGAATTTAAAGTTCCCAACATAATCATACCAAGGCAATTTGCAGAGTATTTGTTGTTGGAATTCAGCAGAAATACAAGAACGAGCTCTTCTTCTGCGAGCCACCTCTCTGGCAATTATCAGTTACATAGCTGGCATTGATTTGCATTCAAAGAACAAACACTCAGGCACATATTGACCCTGCAAAATGAGTTTTCACATGTTTAGCCTGTGCTGCTCATGTCCACAATCCCCTCATCCACACTGGTTTGTTTGATCTGGTGCAGTGCAGTTGTGGATAGTTTTTCCTTTTTTGTTTTTTTCTAAGAATTCTATCTTAATGGAAGAAACAACCCTGTAGAGGCTTGTACAGAGCCTCCCACACTAAAAATAACCTGCCATGGATGTGGATTTCAACTAAAATCTTGCATATATTTATAGGAAATGCCCTCAAGTGCTTAATTAAAGCACTGAACCAGCCTGTCAGTTTGTGAGTGTCTAAGGCAGGTCTGGATTGCCTTGCATCAGTTCACAGATATCTAAGAATAAGTGAGATGTAAATGTTGGACTTTATCCTGACGTACAACCAGAAAATCCATCCCAAATTCTCACGCAGTGGCTTAAGCTGTGAGAGTGAATGATTTTTATTAGTACAGTTTCATACCCAGACCATTTCTAAACTTCTGCAGGGACCTGTGAAGGAAGAGTCGATTGAGTGTTTTGCTGAAATCAGCTGAAATAAATTTCCCACCTCTGCCTGACCATGATATGTTTGCACCACTAACACTGAATTATTTATGCCTGCCAGTTGTTTGTATTTTAGTGACTGCAGACATCTGTTGAGACAGATTGGCTGTGGTTGACAAAATCTGGGCCAGTTTTGCCAATGAGGATCTCAATTTAGCTCTATTCCAGCTCAGTGAGACTGAAAATGACAGAGAAGGTCACTTACATGCAAACTTCTCCATCCAGTGGTTCTCTGATGAAGCCAAAATGATCTCAGACTACTGTCATCATATAAACCAGCATCAAATTATTAGTCACCAGTCCATAAATATGTACTATTCTTTTGATATTAAATGCACTGCATTCTTTTACACTGTTGCTGGTTTATCAAATTTTCATTAGAGGCCAGGATAAATTAGACTTGCTTGCCTGCAGCTCAGCTTTTTGTAATGCTGCTCTTGACCACATCAGGTGTACTGCCAGGTTGCGTAACAACATGTAGGAGCATAGGGATTTACTTTTTTCTACCAGCTGCTAGATTAAAAGAGCAAGATTTCTTGAGCATTTTGACAGGACAGAGAGTCTGGGGCTTGCTTGTACAGATGTGGAGCAGATGTTTGGCAGCTGAAACGTAACATGTTTGGTTATGCTTATGAAGGCTGATATATGTCAGTTGTTCCCTTTTTTTTTCACCACTAATTTATTATTTTCAGTCTTATTTGTTTTTATTTATTTAAAGTCCTTCATTTTTGGCTATATTTGCTTTTAAATCTTAATCATATAACTCAGCGATGTTTCTTATAGGATTTCACATCATGTTAAAAAATGGCTCCTCTGAAGCTCATATGCTACACTGGAGTTTGTTCCTCCTCTGAACTATGTCTTTAGTAGTTAAGTTCCAAGTTCATATAATATTGTAGGTGTCAATAGAAATGGGACTGGGATGGTCCATGACAGAAGTCAAACCAGACTGCTACAGTCGCAGCACGAGTTCCTTTAACATTTACAGTAAACTGCTCTGGTTTCGGTTACCGTGGAGTATTTTATCTGAAAGTTAGAGGTGTCTGGAATAAAAGACTAAACCTACAGAGCCAACACCATGCCAGGTGCTCTGGATTTGCTGCCATCACGGCTGTCCGTGATGTTGACATGATTCGTAGCGAGTGTCTCTAAGAGCTCCCTCACTGTTGACAGCCTCGGGTTCAGCACCTTGGACAGAGCCGTGGCGATACTGTCAGCGAGTTCACCAGATTGATAAATAACCAGGCAACACTTGTCCATCTGCTCAGCGGCTCCACACACTCACACAGCAGCAAAGATTAGGTGACATCGCATTTTCCAGCACCAAAGCTTTCAGGGATTTTAACAGACAGGCTTTGGTTACAGTCTGATTAAGTCAAGCAGCAAAGGGTCTCACTTCAGTCTATTCATTCTTGAACCACAGACCCTTCAGGAAGTTTTTATTTTGGTCGGACAGGGAGGAAACAAAGCAAGATCACAGACAAATTGTTTATGCTATTACCTTTTATAGTCTCCTAGGCTTTAAAACTTGATAAAACTCAGTAAGAAAGTCACAATATTCATTATTTCTGTGGTTCAAGTCATTGTTAGGCATTGTACATTATGATTTTCTGATTCAGTCGTTTCCTTCCTGTCCTTCCTGAGGATATTTAGGCTTTTTACATTTGACAGCTGTTGAAAGTAATGGCAGCAGGTACGGTAGTTGAAAAAAAGTGGAAAATTAAAGACACGTCATGTCTTTTCTTAACAAGAGCCCATACTATGCCATGAAGATAATAACTATAATTTCCTCCTATTTTTCCTCACTCTAACAGGCTGTGGCTGGACCACCTGGGCCCAAAGGAGATCGGGTGAGTCACCAGTATTGACATTGAATTATTTCTTTATTTCTCCATGCTTATGAAAACAAGGATATTGAAGTATGATTACAGGCTGTTGTAGGCCCTTTTAAAATGCCATCTATACAAACACATATGTGCACCTTGTTTTGATTTAATACAAACTTCAACTAGGATAAAAATGACAAACTGATAATAATGTTATGGTCAAAGGTCCATGTCATCTGGACCTCTCATTCTTTAATAGAGAGCCTCAGCTGAGTTTTATTGAATCTTTATATTAGGGATGCACTGTTCCGATATTGGGATCGGATATTGGCTCCGATATTGACAAATTAACTGGACCGGATATCAGATGAATGATGCCGATCCAGCGTTCCGATCCAGTCTTTTTTTTCTTTTAATTAATTTTATTTTAATACATGGAAGTCTTACTTCTTTTTGCTGTGTGCTAATGTGCAATTTGTTAATAAATAATATTAAGTAAATTTATATCTGTGTTAATTTGTTACCTTTTTTTTTAACAAGGCTAATGCCAAGCCTGATGCTTTCACTCACAGGGCAAGGTATACAGTTCATTCATTCAACAGTAGTATTGGATCGGTATCAGATATCGGCCCATACGCTCAGCCCAGGTATCGGTATTGGATTGGATCGGAAAAAAATTGATCGTTGCATCTCTACTTTATATGCCATTTTTGAAATTCTTCAAATGTACTAGCCACTACATAATTAAAAAAAAAACATCCCCTTTTTCTGCTATTAATTGAAAAACACTTTAGATACTACACCTCGACTGCACATTGATTGGTGATTGAAGCTTTGGCTACTAAATTAAGTATTAATTTTAGATACTTTGTCCATTTAGTTATTGCAGCCCTTAAATTATAGACTGAATGATGGAGGAGACCAGTGCATTTAACATACATTTGGTTGCTGTAGGGTCTGCCTGGTCCATCACTGCCTGGTGTGACCGGAGAGAGAGGTCTCCCTGGAGAAAAGGTGAGTCTCGGCCAGGGGACAAAACATCATGTGTTCAGTGTTGTAAAGAGCTTTTATAATTGATGTCATCTTTCAGGGTAACAGAGGAGATAAAGGTTCTCCTGGTGGAAAAGGAGAGAGAGTAAGTATCATCATGCTGCAGATTATCTTAATCTGAACACTAAGGTAAAAATAATGATGTGATGTCAACATGTGATATGTTTGTAATAATAGGGAGCCGATGGTGAATCAGGCGAGCCCGGAGAAGATGTAAGTATTTGATATTCATTTTCAGTGATCAGGCTTGGTGCTGTGGAAAAGTTTTGTTAAACTGATCCTGTTTTAAGACAGATGGGCCCTGTCTTTGACAAATGCAAATGATATGAAAGAATTTATGTTGCTTTGTTGTTTATTTACTGTACTTTATATCTTCCTTTACTGCAGTCACCAGTCGGTTATGTCCATTATTCATTGTGGATCATTATAAAACGATACAGGTTCAAAATGTTAAAAAATGAGATTGTATTTTTGCTTAGGTAGTCTGATTATTTGATCTTACCTTACTCAACCCCCCCCCCAACACTGTGATTAAAGTTTCCAGACTCTCTATTTAAAAGTGTGAACTGTAATCCCCCATGATGCCACAGTGTTGATTATCTGTCCCTCTTCAGATTAACGAGACCTGAACTCTGACAAACAAATGTTTCTTCACTGGAATAATAATGAAGGCTTAACAGATATTTGAGTGGCCAGTGTTTGTAAAACTTTCCAAACAGGCTTCAAAATATTGAGTTATACTTAAAAAACTTTAAACAATCAGCTCTTTGGACCTGAATAACTCAGATTTGTTTCTCTTTGCAGGGGGTAAAGGGATCCTCAGGGCCAAAAGGAGATAAGGTGAGGTTTTTTTGTCATCTATCATCTCATTTTGGATATAATGATAGTTGTGTCTTGTGGCAGTTCTGTCAAAATATTTTTATTTCAGGGAGAGAGGGGAATCGGACTGGCTGGTCCTCCTGGTCGAGATGGGCCTCAGGGTTTGAAGGTGAGCATCTGTTACCCCCGCTGTTTGGATTTTTTAGACAAGCAAGGGATCAAACTCTAACCATGACTTTAATTTAGGGAGATCCAGGCCTTCCCGGTTCAGCTGGTCCTCCTGGGCTTCAAGGAAAACCAGGAGGTGCTGGGCTGCCTGGCCAGAGGGGAGAAGTTGGAGAACCAGGACCTCCAGGACCCCCAGGGGAGAGGGTGGGAAGAGCTGCTGATGAAATAATACTGTGTGTTTTGCCCTTTGTCTGTATGTCCGGATTTTAATCGATCATTTTTGACACCAGGGTCTTCAAGGATTTGTAGGCAAAGCAGGAAATGTTGGACCTCCTGGTCCTCCTGGACCTCCAGGACAGGCAGTGAGTGCAGATTCTGATTTTGTATTTTTGTAGAAGTTGTGAGGCCAAGAAATGATAATTCAAACAAATAATAATGTAATATAAAGAAAGAATATTTGGCCTATTTCTTATACATGCTGTAATATGAAGTGATTACTTTCAGAGGAGCAAAATAAAGGTTTGAGGAAATAAAAAGAGAAGAAGGTTAAAGGGTAATATGTGTAATTTGTAATTTCTACCATCATTGTATGTTTTAGGGCGCTGCTGGCACCAACGGTATCAAAGGAGACAAGGTGACCATCCACGCCGACACATAAGTCTGTCTCCTTTCCTAAATGTTGATGGGCTTCTTGAAGGGTGAACCAATCATTTTTGTTGCCAGGGAGAAGTTGGGGTAGGAGTACCTGGTGCCAGAGGAGAGAGAGGAGATGCAGGACCCAGAGTAAGACATAATTTTTACAATGAAACTGTCCCTGATATTCATTTCCCTTCAGCTGATTGAATCTTCCTCTTGCGTTTTTGTGTGCTTGTCTATTCCCAGGGGGAGGAGGGTCATGCTGGCGCTGATGGAGACAGAGGGCCTTCGGTAAACTCCGTGTTTTTTTTATATCCATCACCCAGGGACATAAAGGAACGCACTGATGCTTTCGGCAAAGCTTTAAGGATCTTTCTCAGAGTTTTTTAAAGAACCTTAAAGCACTGATAAGCAACCTGAACAGATGCACCGGCATAAATCTTTACTTCAGTTATAGAAGAACCGTTCTTTACTGGGACAAAATGTCTCCCACAGTAATTCAGTAAGCTTGTCCTTCTTAGAAACCTTTCTTTTTAATTCTAATTAACCTGTGCTGACTGTTTAATCACACTGTACACTCTGAGGAGTCTGACATTTTTGCTTTTTTAGTCTTTCTTTCTGATCTAAGAATCAGGCATAGAGTAGAGATCATTTTTTTCAGTGCATGTTGTGTGTCATTGTGTGTCCATCAGGGTCCGCCAGGGGCTCGGGGACTCCGTGGAGAGAAGGTGAATATGACCACTCCTTTTATTTTACCATCTGTATGTGACATCACGCTACATATCCCGTTGGCTTGTGGCGTGTGCCTCCCCCCAAGCCATCATGTAAAGTAGGAAATTTAATTTACACGCCTCAATGAAATATTTTGCATTCAATCTTTCTCTTTTCGTCCAGGGAGATTCTGGGCTGCAAGGTGACAAAGGAGAGAAGGTGTGTTTGCATTTTAATATCTAATAAGCTTCACTTCTGCTACCCCCACAGCTTTCTCTTTCTCTGCCCGTGTATTTGTTTGTGTTTGTAAAGATGACAAGGAGGCAAAAATGGGGGAGGAGAAGATAAAATTCGACTGCTTTTGAGAAAGCTCTTTCATGAGATCAAATCAGTTAATAGCAAGGGGAAAACATGAATACACACAATGTTGATACGCTCTGATACAACAAGTAAATCATCTGAAGAAAAGGTAGCAGGAGCACATGGTAAGGCTGACTTTCTCACAAGGAGAGTTTTCCTTTCACCCCAGATAGTGTACTCTTGTCATGATTTTCACCCTGACAAAGGACAACAGTATCGAGCCTCAAATATGACAACTGCAACCTAGTTCAGCCAGACATAAGTGCTGTTCTGCACTTAGCCACGAGCAGACTCTAACTGTACTGTAGGGATGGGACATATGGGCTAAAAAATGTATCACGATAAGATTTTCTATTCTGGGGATAACGATAAAAGTCCCGATAAAAAATATTATAATTCCAATCTATAGTTGGAATAGTCAAAGAAGATACTTGACCACAAGTTTAAATGGTAGGTTACGGAGAAAACTAATGACTGTGATGAGTCAAGTGTAATGTCTATCTATCTATCTATCTATCTATCTATCTATCTATCTATCTATCTATCTATCTATCTATCTATCTATCTATCTATCTATCTATCTATCTATCTATCTATCTATCTATCTATGACAACAAACAAGTCTCGGGCATACCTGATTGCGCTCATCTAAGCCTCAGTCTTGAAGGAAATCCCTCATGTGGAGCCTCATTCAGTAACGAGCTGCCCAGAAACGTCTTCTTCATTATCTTCGGCCAAGTTTGTCTGTTACTCTGCTCTGTGTGGGCTATGGCTCGCTTGCACTTATGTCATCGACTAGCATTTATCATATTTATCATGAGATGGCCAGGGCAGGCTGAGCAATAAGTGCCGCTCTAGTCAACCGGTCCGACCCCCCCCCCCCCCCCCCGACCCCCGACCCGTCTGGACGCCGTCTGCCTCCTCGCTGGGTGAAGCCACTCTGAGAACAGCACCCTCTGTTGACGGGCTGCAGTATAGGTCGTAAATCCCGCCTCCTCCAGCAATCCCTATGGAGTTGTGGAGAAACTTTAGGAATTAATTACACAGCATATAAGGTCTGGGAGAAACTTTAGGAATTAATTACACAGCATATAAGGTCTGCACTCTCCGAGTGCTTTTCTAGTTTCTGTACAGCTCCGTTTTTAAAAGTTATTAGAGGGTTCATGTTTTCTATGATTGACACTTGATACAGCCTATGGGCGTACGAAGTTTGCGTAGCTCACCCTGTGGAATATGCTGTTTGACACGAGCGTCACCACAGCGACTCTCCCGCCAAATGCGTACAATGCTACTGCTCAATGTTGGTTTTGGGAAGTGGAGAAAAAAAAACAGGAAATACAGAGAGCTTTTAAGCTTCAAATCCATATACTAACGGAAGGCGGAACCAAGTTGTCCATAGTATATACAGTCTATGGTTTGACCTAATCTTAGTTGAAGATCTTTATTTGGACATAGACCAGGAGGAGAAATAGGAAGAGAGAGAAGGACAAAGCAAGTCCCACACAAGCTATAAACAATGTCAGAAGCGGCACAGGCATCCCTAAAAAGGTCAAAGATTTAGAATTGAAACATCAGGCATAGGATTGTAGTTTTGACTGTAGGAATAAAGACGAAGTCAGCATCTTGGGAAATATACTCATTTGGAAGTATTTTGTGAGGAAGATAAGAAGGTACCACACAAGCCTGTTATGTAATTGCAGCTGATGCTGGAGCTTAGCAGCATTCGTATGTGTCTCCATTACTAACTCAATTCAGTCGATATTAAAGCTTGTTCGTGGGTCCAAATCTAATGAGTTCTGCCTGTCTGACAGAGAGGCGGACTAAATGTCTCACATAATACAACAGGTTAAAACATTGTGTATTGATGTTTTAGCTTGAGGATGTTTAGCACTTGTTCTCTCTCTCTCACAGGGCGACACTGTGTTGGTTGGAGGACCTCCTGGAGAAAGGGGCAACAAAGGAGAAACAGTCAGTAAACTCCTGAAAGTGTGTTGGAGAAAAAATCTACTTTTGTTCATGCTGGGTAAACATTGTTATGGTTTCTTTATTATTCCTTTCAAGGGGGACAGGGGACCAAAAGGTATGCAAGGAGACAAAGGGACAAAAGGCCAAGACGGCCCAGCTGGGGAGCCGGTAATTATTACTATTATCGTTATTTTTGCTTCAAGCTGTAATCCTTTCATAGTATTTTCAGTGAGTAACACTGGATTCAAGTTACAGTTGTAAAACCTGATATATCCACATATTTTTGGGGGTAGAGACATTAAAATAAAAAAAATTTAAAAACACAATAACGCATCCTCAACATTTGTCTGAATACAAAACAATGAAATCAAATTGCCGATTTATTCAGAGCGGTGGCCCAAAATGACAAAGCTTTCAATTTTCACAGGATAGAAAGCAGAGAGAGCCAGCAGATGGTTTTTGTTGAAGCTGTACAAATTGAAATCTGTGGTTGTCTGGCATTTTCATTCAGAGGCAATCAATCCTCATAACTGTAGTCAATATATTTTGGCTTATGTTACGGGTTTTAGATAGTTTTATTGATATGTAAATCAGGGTTAGGTGATACATTTTCACTTCAAATCACTCAACTGTCAGGAACATTCGGGAAAAAAATTGCATTTAAACTGTTTTCTTCCATTTTAATAGAAAAAAAAACTCATAAATTATTTTGCAGTATTGTTTTGACACGTGATCATTATGTGTATTTGAAATTAGGGTCTGAGAGGAGAACCAGGAGAAAGAGGATCCACTGGATTTCAGGGTGCGCGTGGCCCTGGTGGACAGAAGGCAAGTAACACAAAGTGTAGATAATCAATGTTATTAAATCAGAGTCGGTCAGTAAACGGCATAGCTAATAATTTCACCTCTGTCATTACTGTAATTCTGTCTTCTGGATACAGGGTGAAGCTGGCCTACCAGGAGTACCCGGGGAATCGGTCTGTGGTTTTTATCACAAGAAAAAGCAAATTTTGTGCGTGTGTGTTATCTCTCTTTATTGAACATAACAAGATTTGATTTTTGTCTTTGTCTTACAGGGTTTACCAGGAAAAAATGGGCTGTCAGGGCATAAGGGGGATAAGGGAGAGATCGGTGTTGTTGGAATGAGAGGAATCAAGGTACCTTTACTGGCTGAGTGTTTGTCTTGGCACGAGATAAATGTTTGTTTGATCTCTGTGGTTTCAACCTTGAAGCATATTTCAAGGGTGAGTGGCAGCTATAAAACTCCATGTTAGCATGACTTTTATATAATTACAGCAAATGAACACAAAATGTGTTAGAAATATTCATGTGGAATATTTGCCTCCGGTCTAGCACCATGTTGATTAATACCTGAAAATAGGTGTTTGTTCAGTCTGAAAGACATTTTCTCCACTTCATTTACTCATTTGAACTCGATTCAAATCATTGAGCCAACCAAAGATGTGGGCAACAGTCCAGAGGTGTGAAGACCTCCTTTTTTAAGTGGACTTTTATACCTTTTTTGAAGTAGGCAATTTCATTTAAGGTCTTTTTTTGTGGAGAAGACAATTAGAAGAATTAAGGAAACAGCAAGTCAAACCCAAGTTTACAAATACACGAAACATTAAAAGTAGCACAGACATTTTCAAAATATATGACCCATTGAAAGCTAGAAAACGAAGAGCATTCCCACTTTCCCCAGAGTTGTGTTTATTTGGATTTCTTTTGCAATCGAGATAAGGAGGTACCACTTCTTTCAAACTGTAGGTGGCAGATGGAAAGCCACATTGGTTGTTTGTGTTAGGTACCAAAGTTTTAACAAAAAACAGAAAAGAGAGGGACCCACATGCAGAACTCCAAATGATTTTTAAATCATTGGCGTGGTGATGAGGTTGTGCGCCCCATGTAAAGAGACAACTACAGACGTCTATAAGTTGGCAGCCCGGGATCTGATTTCAGCCCCTGCAGTTACAAGCAGGTCCCCATCCTGCATGTCAGTCCTTGTCTTCTTTCTCATGGTTTTCTACTTTATCTTCTCTCCAATCCTTTCTAAACCAAAACATAGAAGCTGAAACACATATGCACCGAAAACACTTTAACCAGTGTTGTTTTGTTTATTTCCACAGCTGGTGCATGACAGAATTTCAGTTATCATCTGTCGACTCATCTACTTCTTGTTTCCCAATATTAATATGGTGTTAAAATGTACACATTAGACTTATTGTTCCATTTACTTGCATGAACGTTACCCCCCACTTATAACGCCAGCTCACACAGCCAGGAACACATTAGTGTTCAACCATAGTGTGAACATAATTATCTTCTTGCTGCTAGTAGGACCTGGTAAATCATTTATTATGCAGTGAAGGGAACAGGATTCTTCTTAATAAGAGGCATTGAAACTTTCAATCAAGTTGTGGGAGTGTAAAACGAGCAGCATGTAAGTTCAGGACTAGTAGGAATGTAACTTTTGTTTTGTTCTATGTTTTTTTTTTTTTTTTTGTACCAGTTGCTGTAGCCTTTAAAAGTTATGCATGATGATGATACTCTTCTTGCATGAACAACCTTTCAGGGACTAAAATCATAAAAGGGTTGAAAACCACCTATTTGTTTATCTATGTATTGAATATATAATATATAGTATTGAATTTCCCTTCGGGGATTAATAAAGTTATTCTTATTGGTATGCTTTTAAAGATAATTGCAGACAGTACCAGCTACTCAGAGATCTCTGCAGCTGTATTGACTCTTATCTTGCATTAACCTGGCATTACTGCTTCTGAATATGCGCTGGAAGAGAACTTACAGTTCTGTGTTCACTCGCTCACTGCACTTGGTGGGTCATGTAGAGTGTGTTTAGTTAGTACTCACACACACGTTAATAACACATGTTATTTGAGTGGGAGCAGGTAGAGGACTGTTCAGTTCTCTGTGAAAGGCCTCCCGGTCTGTAAAGGTTGGTGTATTTTGTTCATATGTGACTCACAAGTGTTGTTATATCTGTGTCAGTGACGAACTTCATACGTTTCCAGGGTGACCGAGGACCCAAAGGGCTTTGTGGAGGCGATGGACCCAAAGGAGAGAAGGTGGGATTGAGATGCACAGATTTATTTAATGTAAAAAAAAACACAGAGAGAGAGAGAAGTGTGGAGAAATTGCTCAGTGATTATTGAGCTAAATGAGTCAAATATTCATGAGTCCTCTTCTGTTAAATGAAGTCGGCTCTTGAAAATATGATAACCAAGATGTTTTTTGTAAAAGGGTGATTCTGGTATTCATGGAAGACCAGGCCTAGCAGGAAGGAAAGGTGAACAGGTATGTATTCTCCTCAAGAAAAACAGAAACTATCTTCTCTAGATTGTAAGTTTTGGTGTGCTTCTTTGTGACTTGGTGTCCTCAAACTTGTCCTTTTTGTTTTCTAGGGGAATCTTGGACCTGCTGGACCCCCAGGGACCCCTGGAAAAGAGGGAATAGTCGGCCCAAAGGTGATTTCATTTTAATCAAGATCTTTATACTTTTTCAGGAGCTCTTGACAAATGAAACAGACTGAAGTAAACGGTGTTGGCTGTGGTTTAGCTGTGGAGTCAGTTTTCTTGAAAATGTGAAGTTAGGGGTTGGATCTTAGATTCCAGTGTCACATGCTAAAGTGTCCCTGAGCAAGATACTAAACCCCAGGGGAAAAATTTCTTGTTCTTTTTCTTCAATGTTTATTTAACAGGGACAATATATACAACATTGCCATAAGAAATGGAAAATGTCATGCATACAAGACGTCTAGCTTTAGCTAATTTGCAGTCTTTGTCCCTGGTCAGGCTTTAGTGTAGGATAAAATATACTGAATACTATAAATGCAATAATACAACTACAGTGGATAATAGTGAATGGCTAGGTGATACGAATAAATAAACACAGCAACAAAGTTTAGGTTAAACAATTACACAAGAGCGTAGATGTTTCTAAATGCAAAGTTGTTTCTTTTTCTGCATAGGGTGATCGTGGTTTGGATGGAGCTGCTGGACCCAAAGGAGCTCAGGGAGAGAAAGGTGAAAGGGTGAGTGTCCAAGAACTTCTATTAAAAGACTTTTAAATAAAGTAATTGTGATGTCATGCAAAAAGAGTATTGATTCACTGACACCAGCACAACGTTACTTATACAAGCACACTAACAAAAACCCTGACATACATAACCATCAGTGTCATTGTGTCTTTATTTAGGGTCCTCCTGGGGTACCTGGTCCTCCTGGTCCAAGAGGAGTAGATGGGGCTGCTGGTGTGACTGGCCCCCAGGGACCAGTAGGTGCTAAAGGCCCAGAGGGGCTCCAAGGACAGAAGGTGAGCATCCTTTATTTATCCTTTATGATGGTTTATTACACAGATAAATATCTTATCAAACCAGCAAAGGTGTGCAACATTAACACAGATTTGGTTGTGAGGACGATGTAAATCAAAGTAAAGTACAGTGAAAGCAGAAGAAATCTCAGTGTTATTTACATGACTGAAGTAGAGCACTCCAAAGAAACAGTCAAGTGTAGGTAGTGATGTGACAACACACATCAAAGTTTTGTTTTGTACAGTTTCGACGTCTTAAATATGATGCCTCACTGGAATAAAAACAATAGTGTTTCTCCTCAGCTGTTCGCTTCTCTCTTGTTTGCCTGACTGTAACTTCTGTTTGATTGCTGTGTATTACTTCATGATGCCTCAAGATGATCGACAGCTTGACGGGCCCTGTGTTTGACTTGTGTCTCTGCTGGATCATTGAGTAAATAAAGAAAACTGGTGACAGAAGAGCAGGGCCTATTGAGTCTGTCTGATGGATGCTCTTTTTTTCAAACTCTCATGATTCAACTTTGTTGATAATATTCTTTTATAAGAGGGCCGGGCATTCTACCAATAGACCAGAAAACACTGGGGCGAATAATCTATGTTGTACTGACTGTACACTCTATATATACAGAGAATCCATTTCCACTTATCAGTGAAGTCTGTAAATGTGTACTGCTCTGCTCTGCATACAAAACCAGGAATACATGACCAGCATAACAGCTGTTAAAAAATTGTCCTCTGCATGTTGTAACAGTGTTTTTCCTGTGTATCAGGGCGAAAGAGGTCCAATCGGTCCCTCCATGATAGGTCCACGTGGTATCCCAGGAATTCCAGGAGAACGAGGACAACCTGTAAGTGTCACCTAGCTGATTTTAAAGAAAGAAAAGAAACTAGTAGATCAGATGAGGACATTTTTGGGACCCTTATTGAAGCTGTTTATAACTATTAAACTTCTGACAGGTCTTCAAAGGATCAAGAATAGAGAGCGTCAGGACTAAGACACAAAATGCATCACTTTTAAAATCTATTTCCAGAAGTGACTGAAGCTGACTTTGACCTTCCACTTTGACTTTGCATTCAGTTTGTGTGCTGTACCTTGTCTCACTCTAACGAACTAATGTGCTGCGAGCCTCTCTGTGGGTTGGATGTGTCCTAATACGTGCCCATGTTGCAGGGAGAGATGGGCCCAGATGGAGGCAAGGGAGACAGAGGCGAGCCAGGCATGACGGTCAGTGCTTGATCCTCACCTCAGGGCTCAATCTAAAGATGCTGACACAAAACGACACTGAAAGAGTGCTGCTGATATTATGGGTGTTTTTTTGAGTCTGTACTCCTCCGTTTCCCTTTTACTTTAAATGCAGGAGGATGAGGTCAGAGAGTACGTTCGCTCAGAGATGAATCAGCACTGTGGTGAGTCTTTTATGTGGATGCATTACTAATTTATAAGTGTTGTCCCCAGGTTGAACTTTAGATCGTGATCACAACATGTGAGTCACAGCCTCTAAATCTAACCCTTTAGAAATAAGACAGCGAAGAAGCCGAACTAATATTCAACAGTGACTCCTAAAAACTGACATTTATTTTTCTCCCTCTTTTTGCTTCCTTCCTGTCCATCTGTCTGGTCCTCAGCGTGTGGAGGTGAGTGAGCCGCTCGACTGCAGCAGGAAAGAGGGGTGGACAGACGGGCTGTGATTGAGCATGAGTCACAGCGGTGTACTATACCACATATGCTGCTGCAGAGTCTGTGCTGAGAGCAGTCAGGCTCATTCCTATTTTATATTTCATATGAAACACTTTAGTGCATTTGCTCTCATTGAGAACTTCTGTGGGGTTGAATGAGAAAGATGCATCATTACTGAGGCTCTTGTAGATGAAAATAATTCTCCTTTAGACAGGATTTATTTGAGAAAGAAATAAGATCATAGAAGATATTCTAACTTTACCATTAATTATAACTTGTATAACTTGAGTGCAGTCCATCACAAACTTCCCTTGTTTTGCAGACGCATTGAGAGTCAGAGAACAAAAAGCAAAGCACTGTTTGATGCAAAGTAGCCTTATTAGATTACAAAAACAAAACTGTGTGACTTATGATAAGTGAAAAACCTGCTACAGAATTTCTAAAGAGGCTGGTATGTTTTTATCATGGGTGTCACTGGCACAAAGAGTATACACACACACTAATAAAATGCTGCTACTATGTTAGGTCTAGCATTGGGGTGAAGGAGCTCTAGTTTGAAAAAAGCAAATGACCATCAGTTATCCAACCTCAAACTAATGTCATTTTATTTAAGATAAACGCATTGTTTTTACACCTTATATTTAAACAAAACTCCCAGACCCTGCCAGAGACTTTTCAGTAGGTTAGCAGACCCTGTGTTCCAGGCAGGGGGCGGGAATCACATTATCTTCTGCTGTGCATGAATAGTTTGTGATACTACTTTTTTTTAAGTAATTACACAGCTTCAAGTCCATTTGTGGATCCTGAATTTGATCTTTCTCTTAGATAAACCTCATACTTTCATTTTTGTGATTTTGTGTTCTGCCGCATTATATCTGTGCACAGCAGCTGTATAATATACTCATATAATATGACAGGAAATCCAACTTAAATGTCCTTACAGGTCAAATGAACGACACCAGTTGTTCGCAAAGACGTGCCTTTAAATAATATCAAAGAAATATTACCATATTTGTATAAACACGTGTATTCGTTTAAGCTGTTTTCATTTTAGTGTTGTGAAACAGCAGCTGCAGCAGCATGTGATGTGAGGCAGGCTGGTGTTGTATACATAAAACAAAAAGAAAAGGAATGAGGAAAAATAACATTTTACTTATTTTTATTTAATATCACCTCAGGGAAAGGTGTTTGTTTCTGAATGCACTAGTCAAATTCTGCAATCTTTAGTTGAATTGATTCTGATTCAAGTCAAAAACTTTTGACTCGATTGCGACACAAGTTCATATAAAAGTGACTTGAGTCCTTAAAGGATTACAGACAGTTTTTGGAGGACTGCCATGTGTAGAGCTGTCTCACAAAAACTTGTAAAATCCTTTTATTTATGTTGGAACAGTGGGATGATTTTTGTGCTGCTTTGGGTTTGTTTTGGCTCATGTGTCGAAAGGTTTTACTACCAGTAAGTTCTGTTTCTAGCCCCCTCTCTCTTTTTCCTTCTGTGTAACACTTACTTGGTCCCCCTCGCTCCATGAATGTCATCCCTGCTTCCTCGCCGTTCCTGTATTTTCTCCTCCCATTTATGTATCTGGCTCTCTCAGGTTCAGTACCAGTAGGTCGCTCTTGGCCCACGGTCAGGGCTCGGCCTGCACCGGAGCAACAAGTGGTCGTGAAGGGTGAGGAGGAGGAGGGTGAGTGTGTCCGTCAATCGCTCTGCCTCTTGGGCCTTAATCTGTGTGTGTGTCTTTCTGCATACCCGTCCTTAACAAACAGGTCTGACTTGGTGATGTTGCATCTGGAGACCTCTGAACACTGGGTGGTTTTCTTGTTTGGAAAACAGAGGACTCCATTTTTGTTTATGTTCCATATAAGTTTTTATGTTATATCTAGACTTGTACAACTTTAAGGATGTAAGTTTTATTTAATTTTCTGTTCTGCATCTGATTCGAAGGATTTCTGACCTGTGTGGCATTGCTCTTCTCCCAGGCCGTGAGCTGCGTGTGGTGGTAAACACCAATGACCCAGACTACGAACACGTCTACTCTATCGAGGCTTACGATGACCCCCTGGATGAGCCGCTCCTCTTCACTTCCCTGAACAACCAGAGCGATGGTAATTTGTGTTGTACTAATCCAGTGCTTTTGTACAGTTCTAACACAAGCTAGTTGATACTTGGTGGTGTCTTTTAAAAAGAAAGAAAACCAAAGGAGATAGTTTTTCATTGAAAGAAATACATTAATATATAACCATAGATTACAGCTTAAATTTAAATGCACTCTTCCTCACCAAAACGCACTGTATATACTATTTAGGGTCTAAAGTAAGTAGCGCCTTATGTAACACACGTAATATTTAGTGATTACTGTTTTGTCTGGAGACCTTTGTCTCTCTATGCCCCTTACGTCTTATAACCTGTGTGTGTCTGTAACATTAACTCTAGAAAGACAAAGAGGAAGGTCTTTGATGCATCCCATATATTAATACACCAGCTGAGGTGACGTCACAAATGAAATACGAGTCCTCTCACACCGCAGTTTGTTGCTGCATATCATTCTGCACCTTTTTTTTTGGTTCACTAAAGACTTTAACAACTAACCTTTGAGTATCAACACATAAAATACTAGACACAGGGTCATGTATTTCATACTATATATATAACAACTGACACCAGAGGTTGCAGCATCCTGAACATTGTTACTGGTAAGTGAGTCAGAAACTGTTTTTGGGCTTGATTTTGCCACAAAATCTTGACTCTAACCAGAGAATCACGCAATGATTAAAAAAGCAAACATGAAGTCACATTTCTTTTTTTGCTTTAGAAGTTTGAGCCTAAAGTTTAAGTCCTAAAACACGTCCAGAATCCATTTGCATACCAGAGGGTGTTTTGTGCAGTTTACATACTAACAAATAAGCATGCCGACAGCAGATGTACAAGATCTTGTGTAACCCCTGCTCCAAAACAAAAACATTTGTCAAAATAAATTCAAAGAGCACTTCTTACCAGACTTGGAGTCAGTACACTGGCTTTCAGTGACCTTTATCCTCCTCCAGACTGAGGCCACGAAGTCTGAATCAGATTTTCTGACAAAACTGTTCCATCTATTACGATATAAGGCAAATTGCCCACAACAATGGAGGAATTGATGTTATCATTAAGACCAACATTTACAACTGACATAAACATTGGGTGACTAGATCTAGATCTAGAAACACCAATATCCCCCTTTAGCGAAATGATTTTAGTCAGCCAGTGATAATCCCCAATATTAATTCAATTGCTTTACATGCTCCAAACTTTGCTGTTTCGTGTAATAAACAGAAGATGGCATTTTAAATTTCTGCTCACGACCCATAATTTGATTTATTCAATCAGCATGTAATCCAATTTATGCTAGAGGAGCGTGTCTCATATTATTTATGCGTTTCACTTTGTGCTCATTTCACCACATAATAAGTCTGCGTTGGCCTCATGTATTTCCTCACACAGCTTTTTTCCATGCACCCACCATCTTCCATCTTCAGTCTGTGTTCTCGCATGTAAATACAATGTTTTGACACTGTGTTTCTGTGTGTGTGGACAGGTCAGGCTGTCAAAGGTGAAACTGACAAAACAGTCAAAGTTGAAGCAAAGAAATTAGCCAGTGCTGCCATTAAGAGAGCAGCAACAGATGACGGTCAGAGAGCAGTCAAAGTATCACATGTGAAAACAGACACGACCAAATCAGTCAAGACCAAGAGCAGAGTCACAGGGGAAGGTAACCAGCTCATGTGTTCTTCTATTTGGGGATCTAAAAAGGGTTCGTTCTGCCCTCATGCCTGCCTGCATAGTGTTTGGCCATCTTTGCATGTCACAGGCTGCACTGGCTGCTGACTTTAAGACATGCCTCCAGAGAATTGGATAATGTATCAGTGCTGATGAGTGATAAGTGAAATATTTGAACTCTTACAATACACAGGTTGGTTTGGATATGGCTTTATGGTCATGACTGCTTGTTTTTGGCTTTGTTGCTCTGTGCTGCTGCCCTGTTATTGCACTTCTTTGCCAGATTTGCCCTTTTCTCCATGCTTGAGATTTTCTATGAGTCTCCCCTCTTCACTGGTTTATGTGTGTGTGTGTGTGTGTGTGTGTGTGTGTGTGTGTGTGTGTGTGTGTGTGTGTGTGTGCGTGCGTGCGTGCGTGCGTGCGTGCGTGCGTGTGTGCGTGTGTGTGTGTGTGTGTGTGCCCTGCAGCTCCCGCAGACCCGTGCCTTCTGCCCATGGATGAGGGCAGCTGTGGGCGATACACTCTGCGCTGGTACTTTAACAGTCAGGTTCAGGCCTGCAGGCCTTTTATCTACAGTGGCTGTGAAGGAAACAACAACCGCTTCCTTCAGCCAGAGGAGTGCGAGGAGGCCTGTCTTCGGGAAGTCACAGGTACACAACCACACACACACCTTCACTAAAACACAAAATTTTGGCCACTTAATGTTTGTGAACTAATGACTGATGTGTTGTGCAGGACCAGGGCCCTTGAAAACAGCACGGTGATTGTGGCCCAATCTTCCACAGCTACAGGAACTCTCTGACTTGTGCTCTTTGGTATACTGGTTCTCTAAATGCTGCAAAGGCAGATCATTGGCGTACATCTCCAACCTTAAAAAAATTAATTCACTTTGCACATCAAACTCCCTGTATGCACCACTATCACACTGTGTCCTTCAGGAGACAAAACTCTCTTCCCCCCTTTTGTTTTGTTTTTAATCATAGAGGCAGATTATTTTTCTGCATGATTTAATTAAAGGAATCAGAAGATTATAGCCTTCAAAATGCTTTAACTGCAACTGCCTCACAAAAAAATAAACAAGCCCTCTTTTCAGAACTCAAAATGCCCAAAATCACTCCACCCTTCATTACAACTATGCAAGCACAAGTATACAAGGGTAATATAATGGTTTCTCATATGTATTAAATATGAAGAATCAAGCACAGTATTCTGACAATACTTTGTACATAATGTGTTGTTATTGTTTGGGGAATGTGTTTTCCTGATCTCGACTGCATGTTTACCTGCCAGAGAAAAAGGTGCTATTTTTTAAGGTATTTTTATACTGTGTATCGAAGATGGATCCTTCTGTATTATGTGGTGTTAAACCACTTTGATTTTACTGTATTATATAACAATTTGACAAGTATTTCCAATAAACCAAATGTTTGTGCACGAAAACGTTTTTTCTCCCGTAGATTTTATTTTTGCATGCTCACACTGTTTCGGCAGCTTGACTAACACACACTTCATAATCACAACCTGGAACCTTCTCATTAGTCTGTTTGACGACTGACATAAAAAGATAAGGCTTTACTGAATAGAATATTTTATTAATGAAAATTCACTACATGTGTAATTAACAGACAGGTTAATGCTGAAGATCAGGAGATTGGATAGAGTCAAGTGTGTGTGTGTGTGTGTGTGTGTGTGTGTGTGTGTGTGTGTGTGTGTGTGTGTGTGTGTGTGTGTGTGTGTGTGTGTGTGATCAAGATGTTTAATTTCATCTGCAGATTTTCCTAATGAGAGGATTTTCTGCTTGTTGGCCACGACTCCTCCATCAAGAGTTTTTCCATGCACTCTGGCCTTGCTTGATTTCCCTTGATGAGGGACACACTGACTCCATGTCCACTTTAACACACTCTTTACAAGTCTAACACAAGTTCATCATTGCACACACCTCTTTATTTAAAACATTATCCAAGTGACTTATCATATTTTAGGTCTGCATGTGTTGGGCTGTGTGACAGCTTTAACAAATTATGCACGTTTTGGCTGAGGACAAGATCTCACATGCAGATAGCAACTCTGGCTGAAAAGGTGATGGACAGAGACAGCCCATTGTGCCCATTGTGTCGCGCTAAATCACCATTTTCAGATGAATGATGTTGGCACTTCAGTTGAAGGCTGCATTGTTTAATATGCAGGTGTCTGTTGGCCTTTATCAAAAGAGAGCGACACAAGAGTTCATTCGAAATTGTGACTTTTTTTTTTCATGAGCCTCTCACAGCTCCAGAGTTATGCAAAATAATGAAATTACAGAAACTTTGAGGAATGAATTAAAAACAGATAATACAACTGCTTAATCAACTAAACCATATTGCTCAACATTTTTTATTCAATTTGGAATTTTTGTGCCTTAGCATGATAATGGATGTGTCTTTTTATGTTTTGTTTTGTGTGGTGTTTTTTTTTTTTTTTTTTTTTTTTTGACAAAAAAAATGTAATATATTTGTCAAAAAATAAATAAAATATTAAAAACACAAGCTGACTTAAAAATACACCACTTGGCCAAGGGAATGAGGACAGCCAAACAGTACACTCATAGATGGTTATTCCCATAGTCTGTATATAGAACGGATGCTGTCTGCCTCCTCGCTGGGTGAAGCCACCCCGAGAACAGCATCCTCTGTTGATAGGCTACAGTATAGGTCATAAATCCCGCCTCCTCCAGCAATCCTTATGGAGCTGTGGACAAACTTTAGAAATTTATTACACAGAACATACATTTTTCTCCCCCCTGGTTGCGATGTTGACATGTAGTTACTGTCAGACTGGTTTGTGCTCAAGTCCTCTATTTTCTGTACAGCTCTATTTTTAAAAGTTATAAGGGGGTTCAAGTTTTTTATGATTGACACTTGATACAGCGTACGGATGAGCGTACAGAGATTGAATAGCTCACCCGGGGGATACACTGTTTGAGCAGAGCATCATCACAGCGATTCTCCCGCCGAATGTGTACAATGCTACTGCGCAAGTGGTGAAGTGCGCACAATGCTACTGCGCAATGTTTGTTCGAAGAAGTGGAGAAAAAACACGAAATTACAGAGAGCTTTTCAGCTTCAAATCTGTATACTGGCAGAAGGCGGAACCAAGTTGTCCATGGTATATACAGTCTATGGTTATTCCTCTCTGTATTTAAGAATCTGTCATTTCTAATACACTATAAAAGAAGTTTCTAAGGAACCTCTATGCTTTAAGTTTCAGCTTTGTAATTTCAATGTCAGTGCAAACTATATCATCAAAAAGGAAGGGGTTCGGTACAGAGGGTCCAAATCAACTAAGTTACCATAACTAAAAGCTGATTGATGGTGCTGTTAGCAGGGCAGCACCAAAGGACTGGAATACCCATTAAACATTTCAATTTCACCCAGGAATTACATGTGATCGATATCAGCCTTGATAAAAAAACAAAGCTTTACTTCTAAACATGCAGACTTGTTCAATGCCTGTATGCTTGATGCCAGAATAAAAACCCATTTAACACATCTAAGCCTTAATTTACTACCAATTCATTAGCTGGAAGTTCAAACATAGGTGACAATTTTTTACATGGTGTGACATCTTGTTTGTGGCTGTAGCTAACCTGTGCTACTTATCTATTAGAAGCAAACTACCGGGCTAGCTAAAAGAATCTTTTATTTATCAATCAGTGCAACTGAACAAGCTAGCTAGCTATGCACAGCTAGCCTTGAGAAAGATTGTAAGTGTTCAAAACAGATGTTAGAAATAGACGAAATACAGACTTCTTTGACAGTAAATTACCAGGATGTAACAAACATCAAATGATGTCTGAAATATTTGCATTAAAATTGTGCAGAGATGATAAGGCCAACACCAACCAACACTGCAGTAACTCCATGAAGGTTTTTTCTTACATGGGGATTACAGGGCTCTCAAGTCTCACGCATTCAGCGTGAGACACATGCATTCCCACCTGTTCACACGCTCACACGCCACACATTGTATTTCTCACGCATTTAAATGAACACGGTGATGTCCACCAAGTTGCACCTCTTTAACTATGGAACAGGGGGAAATCAACGGAGTTTCTCCGAGAGTTCAGAAGCTGCGTGCCACGCGCAAGCCAATCAAATAAAGTATATCTACTGAACAGCCAATCAAAAAGCAGCATTGCTGTATCCGGATAGATTTTGATATCTTGCGGTTTGACTACAGAAGAAGACAGACACTTGCTGAAATAGAGCAGGTTTTTATAAGGACGAGATAGACCCGATGATTACAGTAAGTCAGTAACCTACACATGCAGAGACCTCAACACCTCATGGCAGATAAACTCATATGATAAACTAAAGCCCTATGCTATTGCTATTAACAGCTGCATTGATGAATTTAGCCTCTGTACAGCCATTTCCCCTCCACAAAAGAAGCATTTCTCATATATTCTTTTTAAAGTTCTGATACTCGTGACAGTGTAATGCTGATATACCAAAGGATTAAGTATCTCCATGTCTGTGAAACCTATACTAAAGTACAAGTCATCTAAATGCTCCTCAGTGCTGATTTTAACAACTCTCCTCCACAACAGGTAACTTTACTACTTTATTCTTAAAGTCATTAATGACTTTATTCTCCTAAATAATAACTTTAATCTCAAAGATTTAAAAATGTTTTTTTCTTTCTTAATGTGGCCCTCATACTCCATTGTATTTATTAGGTTATTATACTAATAATTATCTTCAATCACTCTTCGACCCCCCCCCCCCCTCCCCCAAGGAAATCTCACTCTAAACTTAGTTCAAAACTTGAGAGCCCTGGGATTAGTTTGGGTTAAGGCTCCAAATATGTGCACAGTTGACATCCATTGAGCTAAATGCAGCTTGAAACTAAAAATTCAAAGAATCATTCTTAATTCTTACGATTTTAACATAACTAATCTTAGCGTAGATTATTGTTCTCAAAGTGGACAAGAAAATGCACCAAATCTGTTTAACTGCCAGGCTAAATTACATTGGACAAGACTAGATTAATAGTTTATGTTAGTGCTTTGGGATCACACGTAATGAAACAATTTCATTTCAGAGTCTCTGAGTGTCAGTTACCTGTGCTGAAGCTTCATCATTAAGGCTGAGTTCTGTAATGAGCAGGTTTTAGTGAGTGAATCAGCTTGTAAACCTCACATGACCCTGAGTGTTGTGTTAGATGGAAAGATGCACAGCCCTGTATATGAGCCCAACATCCATGCATGTGTCTGTTCCTCTTCTCTCCCTGCCTTTACCACAATTTACTTTTCTGGTCTGCTACCAGAGTGTGTTTTTGTCTAAGTCCATGTGTTTGTATGCTCACTGTTATGCACGCATATTTCATCTTGGCTCGTGTGTTGGAGATACATTTCTGGTCCTAAAAATAGCTGCAGTCACTGATATCAGCAGCCGTAACCATTCAGCCTTACACAGACAGCAAAGCCTTTAGAGTGATCTCACAGGAATTCAGAAGGACATATGAGGATAAATTTTGTTTGTGTGAGTAGAAGAGGACTGACCGCAAACTCAGGTCTCCATCAAACAAGTGAAGCTTTAATAACTTTAACTAGATTAACATTCACTCTACTACCTCTGGGGCTACTAAGGGCTCCCTCTCTAAGCACATGCACACACACTGATTTTCTGATGCAAGCTTGTCCTTCACAGACCTATGCCAATGTGTGTGTGTGAACGCTGGACAAACCTGAAATGTAATTTACGCCTCACTGCAATAATGTGTGGGGCTATAAAAGTTATTGTGATTCTTTGAATAAGAAGTAGCACTGCTAACATAAAAGCTGAGCTCAAATTTAAACAGTATGACACGGTAAGCATGTTAGGGCTGCTTGAATCTGAATTTAAGGGAAAAGGGACATTATCTGGAGCTTTTTCTTTTGTATTGAATTGAAAATAATAGCCACATAGAGTAATTTCAATGAATGCAATGTGGATAAGAGCCCCCTCTTTAATAACCGTGACCCTTCACTGCCACCATGATCCGACTGCCGCTGGTTTGTCGTGAGCTCATTGTGAGGAGTGGCTCCCTCTATCTGTGAGAGGATGAACTGCGCCTCATCGCTTCTCTCAAAGAAGGAGTGTACAGGAACACATTTAGGAGTTGTTAATTTTTCCTCCACGGTGACCTTGACTGTTTGAAGCCCCGGGGTCTCATGTTGGCAGAGAGCTGGATTGGTAGAACCTTGCCAGAGATCGGAGCAAGCCAAATCTCTCTCTCCCTCTCTCTCCCTCTTTCTTTCTCTCCATCACTCCTCTCATTCTCACTCTTGCTCTTTTTCCTGCCACCCACTTCCCTCCGCAAGTACAAAGGCTGTTGCTATAGCGATGCAACATGCTAGAAATGTGCTCAATCTCACTTTTACCCTCTCAGATACACTAGCATATGATCCATATCACTTCTATCTTTATTTCTATATCGTACTTTTCGCATCATCAAGACATAGGAGCTGTGTGTGTGTGTGTGTATGTGTGTGTGTGGGGGGGGTCTCGCTGAGGTGCATATATACTCACTCATCTGTACCCACTCATCTGACAGGAGGAAATTTTAAAAACACACACACAGGGATTACAGTAAAGCTTATGTGTGCTGTTCACAGCAGATTCCCTCTGATACTTTGACCCGAGTTTTTTTTTTCTTTATTTGATCCCCAGGAGTTTTTGAGTGTGCATCAGAGGTCCCTCCTGTCCTGCAAGCCTTTCTCTTGAGCACTCATCCCGCTTATGCCGGCCTCAGCAGTTATTCAGCCTATCGATCTGAGCCTGTGCGTTAACCTCTCTGGCCTGCACACTCTCACACAAAGCAGTTTCAATAAGTATTATGCACCACCCATCTCAGCTAACATCACATTTTACAGTCCATGAGGCTGGATATTTATGCAGATTTATGCTTAAGGATTTGTTTCGAGATCCAAAAGGACCTTTAGAAACTTAAAGGTCACAGATGCCGGAGCTGTAAAATAACTAACTTTTGAGGAGTCGCCAACCAACAACTCACTGCTAATGTCATGCTTCAACTCCACCTCCCGCTCCTTCTTACTTTCTCACTTTTTCTCCCCCGTGTCCATCTACTGCACACTCTAGCTGAGGGCAGGGAAGGTGTTGTTTACTTTGTTTAATTTTTCCTCCAGCAGATGAGTCAGCCATTAGCATATTCGCTTCATTATGGCAGTGATGAGCACGGGCCACCTGAGTGTCACAATGCCTCAGCATTATTAGAGGAATCTCCCGGGATCTCTTGGGAGCATGAACCCAAATTAGCATATGCCATTTCTCATCTCTGCCTGCTGTCATTCAGCCGCCACTGCTCTATTTTTAAATTTATTCTCTAACTTCGACCAGCCTGAGACTTTTTTTTTTAGTTTCTCAGCTCTCCCTAATCGTTGCTCTGTCTCATTCCTATCTTTCTTCTCCCTCCTTCAGTCCTTTCCCTCTTCCCTCTCTCGACTGTAAGCAAATCTGTGATCTGTAATTTTGCAGCTGACTAGGAAGCAGAGAGTGGTGGAAATTGTTGGTTATTGGAAATAAGGGGGAAATGGCAATATGGGATGCTGGAAGGCACTTCCTGCTCACTGGTAATGGAACAACACCTAGATCTATTTTTATGGATATCAAGGTGCCTGTGGATTCCACCCTGCAGTCTGATACCTCTTTAAATGACTTTTATTTCAGCCAGAACTTTTGTATAGAGAATCAAATCTTTGCATATTGAATTATAGTTAAATCAGCACCAGAAGATGTGTTTCAAACAGTTCAAGGTTGAGATTGCTACACTGCAGGCCTATTTTAAAAAGTAACCCATTACTGTGTCACTCAATGCTTAAGTAATTGGTTACACTACCCATTACATTACTTTTGCCATACTTCACCATATCACCTCAGATGCCCTGGCTTACTAATATAAACTTCAGTCTCCCTCACTTGCTTTCCCCTCCTCTTTGAAAACAGACAGATGGATGGAAGTATGGTTATGACGGTTATGACGATATAACCGCATAAGCCTCTCCTACATTTTGGTGGCATGGCCCCTGATAATCGTTAGCCCAGCCCTCTAAAACTTCTTTGCTGAAGTAGCGTCCGCCATTTTTTCCCCTTGCATACGCCGCTCCTGCTTGGTTCTTGGCTGCACAAACATTGACAGGAGTCTATTTCTGCCTCCTTCGTTGGAAGATTTGAGGACCCAGTGGATTCTGTTTATTTTTGATGGAATTGTAGGCCCACAACAACTCTGAAAATGTTGTATGTGTGTTGTACCATTTCATCACGGACTGTTTTACCAACAAGGGGCAGTTCAAAGCAAGATTCGCTAAGAAGCTGAAGATAAAACCTGGATCCAACTGTCTGTGTCAGGGACCGGGTGTTCCTTGAGGGTTTTGGAGGCAGGCTGGTGCTTCCAGCCACAGTGGTCTGGGGGTCCTCTGAAGAGGTCCTCAGAAGATCTCCAGACCACCGCTCCTGGACCACCATGGCAATGCCGGCAGCTCAGAGTGGCCTTGGGGAGGAAGAGCGTGGTTACACACATCTCATTATCATTTCAAGGTACAGGTGCAGAATCAGCCCGTTTTCAGTGAGGCTCAAAAAGAGGGGGCTACAGACTGGCTGATATCCACAAATAAATGGGTGTTTTGGATAACAAACTTCAAATGTACTATTGTGGGACCTCTGGGACTGATTTAAACTTGATGAAAAATGCCTGAATAGGAGACCTTTAAAAACAGTGTGTCAAAATCTTTAGTGCGCTCTAATACAATAAAATTATGAACATCAGCTCAAATAGCACAGCACAGAAGAATGTGTCAAGTGCAAGGCTACAACACTTAATATGTTTACTTGCTGAGTTAAGTTGAGTTATGATCATAGCTCGACTTAACTAGACTACTGTCCTTGTCCCAGTTTACATGCACTGGACAAGAATCAAACTGTTGACAGATCACCCCTGCCAGGGTCGGTGGTGAAATGACCCTTTCAGCTTGTTAGCCTGCTATCAAGTCGTCTACTGGATGACGCATTGTTTATTGAAACAGTGTCGAAATGTGCGAGCAAGAGGATAAGGTTGAATGGAGAAAACACCATTGCTTATACAGCTCTGTCCTTTTTCTTTTTTTAGGAAAGTTTAGTCTTCATCTATGTTCTTTCTTCTCCTGTGGAGGTTTTGTTTATTACCTGGCTCCCTGGCAACACATGCTATTCAGCTTCCAGCTCAGATTCCAGTGTATAAACACTGGAGCTCGTGTAAAACATTTAAGCCAGTTTCAGTTCGATTGACCCATAGATATGACTGAGAAAATTGATTACCCAGGTATGGCAGTCCAACTCTGGGAAGTTTAATTTAATGCAATTTCAGTCAGACTTTTGTGTTAACATGATTTTCCAGTTTCAGTCAGACAAAGGCTATTTTGAACCATATGAACTTACTGACATGGTAACAGTTTTGAAAGCTTTACTGGTTTTATGTTCTATCTAGTTTTCATTTCCTACTCTCAGTTTAGTTTTAATAAAGTTTTGTATGCTGTTTTTTTTTGTCCAGATTATTTTTACTTTTTGTAAATGCTTCAGTTCAGTTTGTATTCATCTTAACACTCATTTCAGGTTCTGTAATAGGAGACACTTGTTAAAGGCAAGACCAGAATCTAAAAAGGTCATGTGCAGAAAATGAAACTAGTTCTATTTCTCCTTGTCAGAGGCAGAACTTTTGTCCAATTTATTACTATACAGATGGTGTCATGACTATACTGTTATAATATTTAACTCTTATTGATGTGTGGGCTCATATACTTAATGCCACCACTTCGTAAGTCTGTGATGAGCCACCCTTGTCGTAGCAGTCTGATACGCCCCTGCTTGTTAGCATGTTTCTTGTCACAAGTACTTTGCTCAGCAACAGCTGGATCCATGAAAAACTTCGGATCCTGGCAAACAAAACCACGGTGCAAAACCGAGACTCACATTTCACTCAAAAAGGAAACAGACCACTACACAAAAATATTTCCATCCTGAGTGCCACGGAGATCTGAATCCTTAACTTGTGGTTACCTCATATATTGTTTGCAATGGACCACACCAGCGAGGGACATACATATTTACTCCTTATTTTGCTTTGTCTTCCTGTTTGAATATACCATGTCTAATTTTCATGAATATTCACAAATTTTATTTGTAATGACTTGTTATGTTTCAACACAGTAGCTCAAAATGCATGCTGATAAATAAACATGTTCACACTTACAACTTTAAGTAAGAACACACTTGCTAAACATTAAGATGTCAACACTGATATTAACTCTTTGTTATTAGCATCCCCTGTGCCTACAGAAGCACAGAGCAGCTCATGGCAGCAGACTCAGTTACTATGTTTGACATTTATGGCACTCATAACCCTACAAATATCTACAGTTTGTTTATGTCACCAGCAAGGTCATCCTGCTCTCAGACGGCGCAAGGGTCTGTTGACATTTGACCCCACTTAGCAAGTCCCCTGAACTGCCCGGCGTGTGAGTGAGTCAGTGAGCAGCTTCCAGCTTGCATTTTAACCCTGATTTGAATAAGTTAACTTTGTCCTTCGCTTTTAATGCCACTTAAGTTCTACAGCTTTGTGGGTAATGGCTTTGAAATATTTGATATAATATTCAATTAGCTCTTCATTCACTTAATGTCTCAAATTGTGTGGTTGCTCCGGACCCATGGGATCATTACCTCAATGACTTTTCTGGTCTCTGCGCTCCAACTGACCCCATGCAACCACTACAGCTTCCCTAAGTAATTACCTATTGATTGGATCAAATTTGTCACCATGACTCTGTTTGACTGATTACTGGCATTTTGCTGGATTCCAGCTTTGTAACACAGGCAAAGAGATGACACCCATGCAGAGAGTGATCATTTAGTGAAAACAGGGTAAGGCTTGTAAGGTGAGAGAGCTTATTTCCTCCAGGTGAATGTATGGAAGCTGTCTGTGAGGGTGTATCAGCGTGGATTACCAGGCTCTGAGGGTCTGCACCTCTTGTTCAGCATATTATCTCTGGCAGGCTCCAGCTGATATCTTCCTTCTAAATCAAATTCCATCCAGAGGCTTGAGCACAAAAAAAAAGAAAAGAAATTTCAGTCTCCACTCAGTTGAAGAAGTGAACTTGCTTGAATTGTTTGTGGATGATTACCACTGTCAATGTCAGTGTGTTTCGGTGAGGAGAAACAAGACAAGTGGTGTGTGTGGATGAGGACAGGGAGTGCTGCGCTGTAGACAGGTACCAAGGATGTCAGGTTCCACCCTGGGAGAGCAGACCGCACAAGCAGGGGTCAGAAAGGAAGGGACCAAGAAATGAGGTAGGAGGGGGGTGGAAGTGACAGGTCACTGAATGCCTCATCTTCCATCCATCACAAAGTCCCTTTGCGGTTAAATCAAACCAGAAATGTCTTGACTGGATATGACTGCAAGAGCACAGGTGAATGGTAAGTCATGCAGACACCTGTGTCCGCTCGTGCATACAAGACAAAAAGACATCCCCCCATTAAATGAAAAAATGCTTCTCCCTCTCTCTTCTAAAACAGATGGACACTAATCAATGTACGCATTCAAAGTTAAACGCACAAGCATGTCTTAAAGGCATGGTTGACAATTGGAGATACTGGTAATTACTATGAACCTCGTCTACATAGCGATCATGGTCCTATAGTGCGATCTCCACAAAGCGAAGAAAACAAAGAATGGAAATAATATGTTCACCCTAGCAGGTGCAGGGCTGCAAAAACATTGAGCAATGGGAGCCATCCATCCTGGACAGCTCCTATTGGTCAATCTCCTGCTCCGCCTCTTCATCCAATCACCTCGCTGTATTCGACACACCCCTCTCCCGTAGTTCCGGCTCTTCCCCTCCCACTCTGCCGGCCATCCTCGAAGCTTTGAGCGGCTAAAAGTAGCGTAGCAGCTTAGCTACAGGAGCTGTGATGGAGAAAGACGCAAAAAAAAACACCTTTGCTTGCCCCACTGCCAAAAGTGGAAAGGAAACGCAAGGCAACAGAAGAAAAGGTGGAGTCGAAGAGGAAATGTGACCAAGCAAGGAATCTAACTCGAATTAACATCGGGTCATCCTTCGAGCAGTGGAGAAAGCTCCACCAGGATTTGGTCCTGAAAACAGACGCCGAGACAGCAGAGTTTTTGCTGAACAGGTAATCTTTGCCTTTTATTGTGGCACATGTTATATAAATAACTCTTATTAGTCTCCGCAATGTCAACACGGTAGCTGTCCAGGCAGCTGCAGATGGTGCTCGCTGGCAGAGCTGGTGTTTACTGCCGCTAGTCACTAGTAATCCGACATGGTGAATCCGATTTAAAGCTAGCGTAGGATCTTTTGCCGGCCGGCTTCTTGCTCTGCCAGAGGGGGTGTGTCGTGGGGAGGGCGATACAGGTTTGGGGAGGAGTTATCGTGGAGCACAGAGGGGAGAGGTTTGTGTGTGGGGGGTGGGAGGCTTTTGTCAACTGTTTCTCAGATAGTCAACCATGCCTTTAATGTTCATGTTAGCCCCATGTAAAAAGTGGTAAAAAACTTGTGGAGAGCACTAAATGTCTTGATTTAAGGAGTGGGCACTTTTTAATGGCTGTATGTAATCTGTACTGTATGTAACTCAGAATGAAAACATGTTTCCAAACCAGGACTTTGGGGAAACTACACTGCATAGAATTGTTCCAAAGCCATATTGTGCTTGGAGATAAAACTAATTTCACAGCCCATTAGACAAATTTGAAAAACATGAGCCAGGAGACTCACAGTGAGCATACTGCAAAGGGAAAATTATAGTTTACAGCCACAACCAAATACAGGCTAAAGGTGACTCGGTCTGTCATGGCAGCTCGCACAGTCATGGTGACACATCAATACTCGACCCTGTGTGCAGAACCAGGGTTACTTCCTGGGTACGCTAATGAGAGGGCGGATCGAGCTGTCAGTCTACCCCCTCCTTGGGCAGGACACCATTAGCTTATACAAACACACTTCAGAGGTGGCATTTAGTGGAGTGCCCTCCTACCCTTCTTTTGTGTGGGCAAAAGGTAAATTTGGTTCTGCTCATTCATAATTAAGTATGATTGAAATTGGTCAGACTCTGATCAAACAGCTGCTGCAAATCATCTCTTTCTTTCTTTCTTTCTTTTTCTTTCTTTCTCTACTTAGCTCTTTCTCTCTTTTACTCTCTCTTCATTTACTGTCTCTCTCACCCATAATCCTCTCTAACCACCCTGTACCGTGGGCTCATGGTCTGCCTCACTTAAAACCTCAACTCAAGGTTATTTTGTCAAACAACAACGACCTCACAGAGGGTTTTTTTATTTTCCAGACGCTGCATATTTTTTATTCCCTCCTCTTCTCTTTCATGTTGTGAAGGCTCATGAGGTAATGTAGTGCGGTACTTAATCTCTTCTCTTATACACCAGTCTTGTATCTCTCTTTCTTCTTTCTCATACTATGAAAGCACTTCGTTTTACACAAGTCTGACTTGCTTATGTTTGTCTTGTTTCCTCCTCTCCTCTCAAGTCTGTTTCATCAATCTCCCTCTAATGTTGAAGTGCTTTTCATTTGAGTAAGGAGCAAAGCTGAGTCAGTGGCCAACATGGTGAGGTATTGTGACATTTTAATTTGCTCTCTCAGTTTTATAAGACAGTCCAGCTGGCTATCCCTCTGACTGTATTGAGGTCACATATAAGTATGTGTCCACAGCATGCTTCTGTCCCCTCCAAGGACAAGGCTGGTTGTACCTGAATATAAATTACTACTTTAAAATATTCCAGGTATCCTTCTCCTCTTGTTAACAACACACATTCAGCTCCAGACATAAGTTAAATTCAGGCGACTTCAGTCTCTCCTCCCTACTTGACATTTTGGTTCAGACTGAAACATCTCAACTATTTTTAAATGAACAAGAAATTTTGAGCTCACATGCCCTGTTGACAACATTCGGCATCCGGTTAAACAAATCAACATGCTGTGACATTTTGTTAATGCCCTTGAATGTAAGCTTATGGATTGTGTTGACTTTAGTGATTCCTGAACTTTGATCAAATGTGACCATCTGGTCTATTTGTTATTTATGCATAAACAAAAGTATCAGTGTTCAAATTAAAAGCTGCTGAAGTTTGTGTTTATTTGGTATTTGTACTTTTTAGCACACATAAAAAGAATGATAAAATACAATTGCAAACATTGAAGGCTACTTACCTGCTGAGCATTAACATGTTAGCATCATTTTGGTTGCTTGGTAGCTCGCTGCATGTGGAAAAGTACACCCATCTTTCTGCAAAATACTGCAAAAACCAATGGACTCTAAGATGAAAGAATGCCAAAAAATACTCAGTAGTTCATGGATATAAACCAAGATGATTGCTTGGTCAAGGTCTCTCAAAATTTACCTAAATTACATGGCAGGGCCGAAAAAACTCTGACATACTTATCATCCTGTTTCTACCAACAGTTTCTCTGTGAAGAAGGTGAGCTGACCAGCATCTACTGTGGCCAGTGTACTTAGAAGTGACGTGTAACTCCTACATTCTCAACTGAAAATATTGAAATATCCCTGCAAATACCATCAAAGAAGGGATGTTTTTTTTAATTTGGGGGTGGTTTCTTCCTTGAGCTGCAGTCGGTGATCGACTTGTCCGAGGTCTCCGTACAAACAAGTGGCTGCTGGAAGAGAGTGGGTGAGTTGTGTTTTGTCTGCTAAAGAAATTAGACAAAGCTAAAAAGATGTTTGATGGCTAGTACTATGGCTAGAACCCTATATGTACTGTTGATGAAGTTGGTTGCTGTTCTGAGCATTATTTGTGGCTATAGAGTGGCTTTTTGGTTGAGCGCATGACTCCTGGGACCGCTGTATATTCCTATCGTGCGGTTGTTACTAAAGTTGGTATAACTAGAGAAGCAAGCGGTCGGCAACATTCTTCTCTCGATGGAGTGTCTAACTCGGTGTTACAGTGTGTTTGACCCTAACTTAATTAAAGGGCCAGTGGTTAAAAGAGCGGCTGCTCTCTCTGACTGTAAACAAAGCCATTCTTCGCCTCTCCCTGTAGAAGTCCTGCAAACATTGTGTTTGCTGGTAGTCTGTTGACATCTACAGTAGTACCAATATTTTTTACTTTAATGTTGACAGGGCCCCATTTTGTAATTATCTGAAGTATTTACCTGCATTATATCTGAATTTAATTGAAATGATACGAGCGAGCAGGAGGGTATGTTTGTGGGCGGGGCTTGCTGGAGCAGAGAGGGAGGGGAGAGGAGGAGCTGAGAGAAAAACTGGTTGGGAGGGATAGAGTTTACATTCAAGATTTCTCCCAAAAACTGGCACTTCCTCAGATCCTGCCTACCCCACCTTTAAGTCAGAGTTCAAATCTTATGTACAATGCTTATTTTACTGTATATGCATACTGTTTTTATGTACAAGGCTTCAGTGTGACTTGGCACACTCTCTCTTTTTGTTGACTGGTTAGTGTTGTGCTGAAGGCATGCTGTGCCCCAGGCTTTCACACATCCAGGTTTGCCATAAGTTCTGCCAGAGCCTATGAATTTGCCCCAGGCAGACAGAGGCAGACTGCCAGACATACTGTCCGACAGGACAGAGGCGGGGCAGTAACCTACACCACAGTGTCTCTAAGTGCATTATCACTTCAACACATGTTTTAATTCCACATTGATTTTGAAACCTGACAGCAGTATGCTTATATTCCCAAGTCTGTAAAGAATAAAGAAGCCATAGGGAGAAATGGATCTGATGCTTTATTGATGTCTTACAGGGAAAAATAGGAAATCAGTGAAAGAGATAAGGTGATGGAGTGCAGAGGGCAGCTACAATATTTTTAGTGTTTGGGTGTATGTTTCCTTAGCCTTTCCCTTCAGTTTTATTTGTTTTAATTTGCTTTCTAGGATTGTGAGTGCACATTTTCTGTATTTTTCCTTGGCTGAGTGACACAGGCATATGGTATGTGGGTGTTTGGCAGATGCTTCGCAAGGGATTCAGATCAGTAGCAAGGGCAATTCACTGCATTTTGTCCTCTTGGTCAAAAAAGACAAAGTGGCGATGAAAGGGTGGAGAGTGGGGGCAGTTGGTATGCTGTAAAATGTACCTTATAATACATATATATACCTTAAAATGTGTGGTGCGATGAGAGGGATGCAGTGGGGAAAAAAATCTGGTGGGTGGAAGGTGTGAAGTGGTTTAGTGGGGAAACAAATGTGCAGTGAAACTGAAAAAAAAAAATCTTTGGATCATGAGGTGTTTGGCACAATTTGTAAGGATGACTCAAAGTCATTTCAATATTTTCTTCTCTAAGAACAAGCACCTGTAGTTTCTTTCCACATATTTCTTAGTTCCACACATTTATGAAGCTATGGACTGATGCCCAGGAGGAGGTCAGTCCACCCTAAACTAAATCTGGGCTGAATTATGACATGCAGCACTAAATGACTCGAACATTCTGTATTCAAAGGAATTATTTGACATTTTGATGGATGGGGTGCAGGAAGGACTTCAGTGTTTTAATTTATTTTTTGAGGCACAACGTGTTTGTTGTTGAAGGTTGCATAGTCAATTATTCAATCATCTGTTTATTCTCAAAAATGAATATTTGTGGTGTAGAGAGATATCCTATTCTGAATCTGCATACTTGTTTTTAACCTTTTGAGATGAAAATATATTTCTCCAGGAGGGTTGTAGCACACCTGTGGCCATGAGGATTTACTTGCACAGTGAACAGATGATATCACAATCCATGATCTCCTCTGAGACCCAAGGTATTCATGCCTCTTTTCAGATGCCTCCGCACAGTTTAACTTGTTTTACACACTCATTTTTCCCCTTTGCTTGAACATCTAACTGTGAGAGCTGCACTGACATGGACCTCATATTTATGTGCTCACAAGGTCACAAATTTTACAGTGACCTTGATCCCTGCTCACATGCGGCTCAAAGTGACAAAGTGCTTGTACATTAAATACAGCAGGTGGTAGATATGATGCACCACACAGGGAGATGGTTATCCTGCAGGTAAAATATGGCTTCAAGCCCCATGAATCTGCCCTTAAACCAGCAGAGATGAAGTCGACACATGGAAATTTAGAGCCTGACACTCAGTGTGCAGCAGAGCATACAGAAGCCTCCTCCTCAGTGAAGCAGACTGAATTTATCAAGAAAAGCCTGAATCCAGACATTTTCCTTTGAGTTACATCAGGTGAAGGGTGTAACAACTCGCTTTAAGGGAGACGGTGAAGTAATTGGGAAATCTCGTTGAAGAGGAGCGTTCACCCTTGAGGAATCTGAGGTCGTCCTTGTGAAAGACTACCCATCCCGCCCCCCACCCAGTCCTCCTCCCGCATCCCTGTCTCCTCCCCCTTCCTACAAAAAAATCGCTCGCCATCGTCCCTCCATCCCTCCCCCCTCATCCTGCAGATCACCGTATTGGTCGCTGGGATGGAGCGACTGCGCTCCAGCGAGCGGTGAGCGCATAATCATGCGTTTGGTCTCTGCGAGTGTGGGATGCTGTACAAGTCCTCTGCATACAAGTGGACAGGTGTAACGCGCCGTGCTGAGAGGGGGGTTTAACGAAAGAACGAAAACGCCCAAACACTGTGATATATCACCTATAAAAAAGAAAGAAAAAAAAAAAGACAACCACTGCTGCTTCTGCTGCTCGGTATCCGCAGCCGTGGAGGGCTTTCCCCCCTTCCGCTGTAATATTTATGACAAAACGGAGGCAAATTATTCTGGTCACGTTTCTGGCTGACAGCCGGCTGTCCTGGAGAGCGCTGGAGTGAATCCGGGTCCAGTGTTGGAGGTATAGCGCAGCGCACCGACACCTGCAGTAGGATGTAAAGGGAATTCCCACTCACCAAACTGGTAAGTTTAACACTCAAATATACCTCTTTTCACCTCTTTATTCCCAGAATGTATCTAAATCATGTTTTTCATTTTGTCATTACTAAATTGGTAATTCAGGTATCTTCATTTACTTGGGAGCGATTTTACCTCTCTTAAAAGAAAACGGTCTGGTGCAAAATGAAACGCATGTTGGGCTGGACAGTCAAAACCTGTTTGGAGCCTGGACAAGAGGTGACAGTAACAAAAGACCTGCATGTCAAACCAGGACTCATGAGGGGCCAGAAAACAACCTCCGGGCTACTGGTTTTAGTCGCTTGCTTGCATTTTTCTTGTTGAGATGTATATGCGCCTGAGAGCTTAAGAAAAAAATCTGTTTCTGACCATTTTTGAATGTTGGAATTGTACTCTAACAATCAGGAAACATTAGCACCAGAAAGTAAAACAAATTTCACATCTGTGCTTGCTTTGATCCAGTAAAGCTCATTGTAATCTCAATCCTCCAAGACTCCCATTTCTAAGGGACCCTCAGTAACTGTTGATGTGTTCCAGTCACATGGATGCGCCACGCTTGACACGCAGGTGGCCCGTCTGGACGTTTTTAAGAGTAATGCTCCAATTAGCTACAAATGTGTGGACTTAAAATTTCGTAGTTACATATGGCACATGATCAGTCAGTTTTAAACTAGCAGAATCCCATGAGAGCAGTAGGATTTCAGGGCTGCTTGCATTTGTTTACCTCTATCACTATGATGGCGAAACAGCCAGTAATCGAAATCTACTCGTGAAAAGCTTGACAGGACATCTGCATTTTCTCTGGCTGACTTTTAAGTGCACGTTAATCCTTAATGTGAATGTTGGTTTGACACAGCAACAAAGTGTTCATGGAGCTCTCTTTTCCCTCCAATGAAAATTACGCGATGTTTTGGACATCTTTGCGCACACGTGAATAATCCTCCTGTCTTATCGCGCCATGACTACACAGTTTCGATCCTTGTTCTCTTGTTGTAGTAACATGCTGGTTGAAATGTGATAAGGTGGGTCCTGCTGCTGTACAGTAGGAGATTTTTTTTCCTATCATGTTATTGGAGACAGGTTTTTAAGATCAAGTGCTGCAAAACATAAAAAGCTTTAGACAGGAAGTGTTTGAGGGAGAGTGTCAAAGTTTTTGCCTTTTAGCATTCTTGAGTCATCTTCTTTGTTTGCCCACATTTCTTAAGAGCTCTCTAGTGCTCACTGGACTGCCCTTTAACACTCAATATTCTCTCTCAGATGGTTATTTTCACATACTTCCTAAGTTTTAATTCAACTTGGCCTTCCTACTGATACAGTGCTATTGCTTGGTTATGTAATTTGGAATCATGGATGTTATCTGATGATTTAAGGCATGTATAAAGTGTTAAAAATGCAGCTCAAAAGGAGAAGAAAGCAGCAACATTTTCTGAAACAATAACCGCTTTTATACTAAAAGTCTTTGCTGACACTGCATTGAAACATCTCATCTAGAAGTGAGTTCCTCAAAGGTCCTGACTAGTTGATATGAACTGCCTAACTGCCTCTCTGTGAATAGTTCACCTCTAAATGAACTACTTTGATGAGAGCACAAACAGGCAGAAGATTAAAACACGAGTTGAAGGCGAGCTCTGCTGTGTGTGTTCAAGCACACGTGTTTGTTTCCATGAATTCTCCCTGCTGCCAATCCCAAAGGGACGATTGTTTTAACATATTTCCCGTTTCCATTCACTCTCACTGGCTGAGGCAGCTTGTGTGTTTGCTTTGCATGTGGGTCATTGTGTGTTGTGTGCATCTGTGTGCATGTATTTATAGAGAGGCTTTGATGCTGCTGGTGGGGAAATATTCCACCACACGTGTCACTCTCAGACTCTGTAGCTTCTGAGGTGGGCTATCATCGTATGGTTTCAGGAGTGCTTCAGGTGTCTGGTATAACAAGTTGGTTGAAAGGCCTTGTTTACCTTTAAGAGCACTGAAGTGGAGCTGGTCAGTCTTGTTGAGGTGATTATAGGACATCAACAGTGTAGGAAGATTTATGTAAGAGCCTCTCCATTTTCATGAGAAGTACCAATAAACCCCCCTGCCTGTGTTAATTTGTATTCTTTTGGTTTGAATTATGTATTTACAGCAGATTATTTAGAATGACTAAGAATGTGTTTTAGGATTTCTTTCATTTAGTATTTTGTCTATAATCCATTTTTACTGGATCTTTAAACAAACGGTATAAAAATAGCTGGACTGCTTTTGAATGAACAAGTCACAGTGGACACAATCACATTTAGTGCTGTAAAAGCTTTAAACAACAGGCTTCAATGAGAACTAATGAATTCAAACAGTGACTTTTTTCTGCCTTAGCAGAACAATACGCTAACTGGCTGCTCTTTCAATCCTCCCTGCAATTGAAACAATTGGTAGATGTTAAATCCAATCAAGATGGAAACATGAAGCATACACATGTTTTGGAAAAGTAATTCTAAACTGTAGTCACAAAAAGTATAAACACAATACACATCAGCCTTTTTCTTATTGATATATCTATTACTCATGCTGAAGATTGCATTTCCTTTTTCTCCGCACACCCGTGTTCACGGTGTGTTTATACGAGCACACTGCACTCAGCTCCACAACTTCATGATAATGAATGTCTTCTTCAAAGGGACATACAGAGCTGAAACTGAGGGGACTGAGGCAGGAGGACGGTGGGGAAAATATAAGACACAACAGGAAAAAAAAAAAAAAAAAAGAGAAAACAGTGGATGATAAATCACTGGAGAGAGAGGGTGGAGTGACCAGGATCAAATAGACTATCAAGAAGATGGAGACAGGGAGGAGAGGACCTGTAAACAAGGATTTTATAGACTCAAGGTGGACAACCATCAATATTTAACTGTAGTACAGTTGCTGTCTAGCATATTTATTGTGTATTAGTTATACTCCAATGTAATCACATGTATATTAAAATGATACAAACACGTCTGCTTCATTAGTCAGCAGCTAACTGGTATCAGCTCTAGGTGTGTAACTATCTCATTTACTTCTCCCCTCCTGGTTTCTTATGAAGCCTCTTAAAGTGAGTATGGTAAATGAGGCTTTGGATATTTAGCTTTATTTATGTGTATGTGTTAGTCCACCATCCCTCAGGTTAGCCTCTGCCTATCATTAGCTCTGAGAGCACAGATGCCTGCAGTGGTGCTCTCCTCTTTCTTGGCCAATGATGTCCTGTCTGCGGGAGATAAATGGCATTAATTGAGCACTAATTGCCTTCTGGAGTGAAATAACTTAATCATTTTAACCTGCTGCAGACAACTCCAGTCTTTCTTTTTCTTGTACCTAATCAGACCTCTTACATCTCAGCTTTTACTCCGTTGCTGTCAAATCTATTTAGGAAGCTTTCTCGCCACCTCATCTACTCCTTGTCCAATAACCCATGAGCACTGAGCAGAAATCTCATGAAGACAGACTTTAAAAAGAGGGATCCTGTCCTCCCTGCTGGCTCTGATCTGCTGAACAAAGGTTTGATTCAATTAAAAGTGAAAGGGAACACTACACTTGGTCGAAACTGCCCTTGTTCAGAGTTTCATCCTCATGCCTCATGAAGGTATCCTGTGGAGTTTTAGACCGCTGCTCTGGAGAAATGTTTTATAAGTGGTCCTCTGTTGAGTTTCTCCCTATGCTCATTCATAAAGACAATGTGTTTCACTTCCTTTTCAACAAAAAACTGACAGTGATCTCCCAGTTTCTGTAAAGTACACACTCATACATGGTTAGATGGAGTGTCACAGTATTACAGTAAGGGAAACTTGAAGGGCTCTTATCATAGAGATTAACGCAGGGATACTTTTCACTTCAAGTTTCTGTTTTGGGTTTGTTAAGTTTTTTTTTTTTTTAATTTTTTGATTAAGCACAGCCAAACCTTCAGCTTTACTTAAAAATAACACAAAAAAGACCATCATGGTTTTATGACAGAATTACAGTGAAGACGTGCACCCCAGCTACGCTGATCCCATTTTGGACTCTCAATGCTGTTTGGACTTTTCTTTGAAGAAGCTTGAAGCTAATGTATGTACATAAGGCACAAAACGGAAAGGCTTATTTAGATATTTGTCTGCAAAAAACCCTGCAAAACTAAATAAATAAATAAAATACAATTCAATTTGGAAGCATGTCCAGACTTTTTTTAAAAAATGGGGCAACAGATGTATCCCACTGAGCATTTTTTAGTCCAAAAGAGGTCTAATAAACGTGTAAATGTAGCCTAGATCAATGGTCTAAAATCAGGCTACCACAGGTCTAAAGCTGAAAGTTTTTTAGACATCTAAATTTAGATCAAGTTTAGACTAGCCGGCTAACAGAGGTCTAACTGTATATTGTTCAACGGCTATCATCATTTTTTTGGTTAAGTACTTGGAGATCAGTTATGCAACTCACAGTTGCTTTTTGAAATAAATAGTTATCGAATAATGGGTTAAAGTGCAACGTCTAAATTCTGTCTAAAAATATACAGAATCTAGACGGTTGAAATTAGGTCTAAATACAGACTAGATGTCTAATGGTCATCTATTGCTCAGTGGAATTGTATGCACACCCACACAAAATAATAGCATTGACCCCATCTCTCCTCACTACCTATGTAAGTTTCTACTATTATGGTGCCACACCACTGTCATATTGCTGTTTTTAATTTTCTATATTTTAAACAAATTTTAGGTGCAGAAAAGAGAAACTGTGCTGAAGCAAAAAGCCAGTCACGGTCGACAGTTTTTAGGGTGGTACCATGGATGGCTAACTACAGTTCAAGGGGGTGCAGTGCCACCCCTGGGTAACTCTTGAAATGTGCTCCTGGGTGTCAGGCTCTGAGTATTTAAGCAATCATAACTATTCAGAACCTGGACTTCACAGTCAACAAGAAAAATGATCTGTCCAGGAGACTAAGTACCAAACTGATGTTCTTCACAATAACTACTCAAGAATTAAATGAACCACAAGGGACCTGGCACAACTGTTTTTGATTAGGAATCCCTGGAGCAACTCTTTAGATGTGGCAGATTTTTTTTAGATTGTTTTAATTTAACTCCAGGGACGCACTAGGGATTTTGCAGCGGTTTTCTGCTAATATCGCTTTAGGTTTCATGAAATAAAAGACGGCATAATTAAAATCTGTGCAGTTAAGACCAAGATTTTTAGCCACTTTCGATGGTCAGATTTAAGAAGAACAACAACATCAACAAAGATGAATCCCACATTTTTGGTGTGACCTTCCTTGTCTGCTAACGTCTCTCAAACTCTTAAACCCCCTTTCAGATAATCCTTATTACATAATCAGTCTATTTTTTCCAGGCTTCAGAAAGCTTTCTCCAGAGCCACAGCAGACACTATAAGACACTTTAAGTTATTTTCATGAACTGAATGAAACTCCCTCCTAACAAGTAAACTGGTTTCTCCAGAGGGAAACGGGAGCTGTGCAACTTGAATTTAAAAAAAAGGCATTGAAAGAAGAACAGATAAGAACTTCCATCATTTTGAGTCAACACATTCTGTTTGTTTGAGATATTACGAGTTTGTGTATGTGTTTGTGCATTCACATGATTGCATGTCTGTGCATGTGGGCATGGGTCACAGCCTTTACTCAGTCAGGCTTGTTATCACACAAACAGCTGCTGGTCTGGTGCTTTGTCACCAGAGAGGCACTGAAGCGACCACAGAAGCCGCTCTGTGACTCGACTGTTTATTCACAACACTCCCAACACAAATCAAATCAACACAGAAAAGGCTACTGTAGTGACTGTTAGTGGACAATCTGTTGACTGCCGAAAGTGAGTGTTTTCATCATCAAAAGATGGACAGAGACATTGATAGACATAACTGATCACTGAAGGAAACACAAGGAAATCTGGAGGTGTAATAGGGATAAAGTGAAGCTACAACTCCTCTCAGTTATATTGTCTGATCATTATCACCAATCACGGCTATTCTGTTTGACTTGGCCAGTGAACAGCTTTTATAACTGCTGATTTACGAAACCAACTCCACTTGTTTTAACTCCGTCTTCCTGGATTTCTGCAGATTTCCCATCTGATTGTGATTTCTTCTTGTGTTAAAGAACTCTGATTGCGCTACGTCCGTGATTACCCATTGATGGGTGGTGCAGGTAATAACAAAATGACAGGCTTTAGACATCATAGCATGGTATAAGACACCAAGTAGTGTCTTTACAAATGGTGGTGCGAATTGAAATTCATCGAACAGGCGGTCAGGTAATAATGATGCCTCACACCCTGTGGACCAGATCTGTCTTGAAACCAATGTCTCCTTTCTGTGGAGAGCAGTTTCTACAGATTGTATGTTCCCAGGTTATAGATTAACCTGCTCCCTATAGCTTTGTTATTAATGTTGTGCTAGCAGCCTGTCAGAACTGTGTGGGGAGACATATGAGTCTTGATTCCATTTACAAGATTTCTTTCCATACTGATAGGAATCTGTGAGGGGCTACTTATGCTGTTGCATCATAAAACGTTACCCCCAAAAATCACAGGACAATCCTTTCAGACAATCCAGAGGGATTAGACAAAGATATCTCACCATGTTTAAGTAAAGAGCCATGAGTTTGAGATAAGATGGATGGTGTGAAGGGGAGGGGAGGCTGTGCATCTGGGACTTTTCAAAAGAGAGATGGATAGAGCTAGTGAGCAGGGAACAAACATTCCCCTCCAGCGAGCACACAGCTCAGCATCCATCTGCACGCCCCTAAGCCTCTCTGCCATCCATCACTCCCTCACTGCACCTACCTCCCGCTTTCATCTTACCTCCTGTTACCAAGCAGTCCCCTTTTTTCATGAACTTGTCTTGGGCAAAAGTATGGATGGGATTCAGCACTTTCTTAAGCACACACGATGTCATTCACTTCAGTCGGCAATTCATCCTCCACTGCGTCTGCGGCGAGCATACGGGCGAGAGAGTGTGCAGAGACGTGGGCTGGCAGTGAGTGGCCTTGTGGGCGGCTGTATGACAGTTAGGGATACATCGCAAACTACATGGTGTTATTGAGTCTTCAGCAGATTTGGCATGAGTAATGATAAACCATATTAAAATTTTACAGCCCCAAGTGTTGCTTGGCCTCACATCAGGGGGGAGCAGTGTCGGTTTAAAATCTGTTAGTCTCTCTTGTAACAAGCGTTCAGTATTTCAGTATTAAATTTGTCGGATGCTCGCTCTTTCAAACTGCATTTCTCCCCAAGTTCTTGAAGGTTAATGGATCAGAAACGTTCGGTAGATGTGATGTTGTTGCTCTCACTGAGTAACTTGTGTTGTTGGCCAGGCCGAGCTGGTTTTCTGGGAGCCTGCCAGGGATGCTGCTGCCCAGCTGGTGGTTGCTTGCTGTTAGCGCTGCTGGAGGAATTGAGTGGGAAAATTAAGCCTTTGATCGATTGTCTCGCTGCGGACATTAGGAATACCTAAGACAGCCATGAGTCAGCGTGCTGCATGCGCCATCATCCTGTTTGCTCTCTTCCCTTCCCTTTTTTTCTCCTTCACTCTCCCTTCATTCCTGTCGCTCCCTTCTGTATCCCTTTCTTCCCCAAATGTCAACCTTTGGGTGTCAATTCCATAGAATCAAAAGGGCAAAGGCTTTTTTCTTGTCCCAACATGTGACACTGACATTTTACTGCTTAACAAGGAGAAAAGCCATAAAAGGAGAAGCAGATAACAATTCCTCCATGGGTAGTAACCTAAAATAAACCATAATACAATCCTGCTACACTCTCATCTTTGTGCATCTGTAGTCAGACACAATGCCCTCTTGCAGGGGTCTCTTTTGTTATCTGAATAGCCAGGCCCTTCTTCCTGTCACAGCAATTTATTTTTCCTATCTATTCTTTGGGGAAAGTACATACAGTACACATCGACTCTGTTTCATGTTATCCTGAAGTAAACAGAAATGATGGTTCCTGTCTCTGAGGTGGATGGAAGCACAAAAGCTCTGAGTCTTTGGATGATCCCAAGCTGCTGAATACAAACCACAGCAGCAGGTATAGTTGTAAAAAATAAGAACTCTAACGCCGACCAATGAGCTGCGTACTCAACTTCGAAGGGTTGTTTTCCACTAAACAGACTTTTCATATTAGAATGAGATGGTTAAGGGATATTCCGGCGTAAAATTTATTTAGAGTCAAACACACTGTAACACCAAGTTAGACACCCCCCCGAGAGATGAATGATGCCGACCGCTTGCTTCTTTAGTTATACCAACTCTAGTAACGACCGCAGGATAGCAATGCACAGCAGTCTAAGGAGCCATAGACAAACCTCAACCAAAAAGCTACTCTATAGCCACAAATAATGCTCAGAACAGCACCTAACTTTCAATTCAGTTCAATTCAATTCCTGAAACGGACGGGGAGCCAATGCAGCAATGCTAAAACTGGCGTTATATGCTCTCGCCCTCTGGCCCTTGTCAGCACACTTGCAGCTGAATTCTGTAAAAGCTGAAGTGTATGTAAGTTCTTCTTGGGGAGGCCAGAGAGCAGGGCGTTACATTAATCTAAACGTGAGGAGATAAAAGCATGCATCAGCACCTCCGTGCTGGCCTGAGAGAGAAACAGGTGGACTCTGGCTATATTTTTAAGGTGGTAAAAACCTACCTTTGCTATGTTTTTGATGTGTGGAATTAAACTGAGCTCAGAGTCGAAATTGAGCCCAGGTTTTTTATAGATGTTGATACTTTAAAGTCTTGTCTTTTTGGTAAAAGTGTCTCTCTCAGGCCTTCAGGACCAATAACTAAAACCTCTGTTTTATCCTGGTTGAGCTGCAGGAAGTTGGCTGCCTTCCAGGACTTAATGTCTAAAATGCAATTTAAAAGGGCGTCAATTGGCCCGCTATCATCAGGAGACACGGCCATGTACAGTTGTGTATCACCAGCATAGCTGTGGAAGTTGATGCCGTGCCTCCTGATGATGTCCCCCAGGGGAAGCATGTAAAGATTAAAAAGAGTTGGACCTAAAATTGACCCCTGGGGAACCCCACACATAATTTTTGGGGTTCGTGAGGAACATGTATCCATACTTACTAAGAAGTGTCAATCAGTGAGATAAGAGGTGAACCAGTTAAAAACAGTGCCTGAGAGGCCGACCAGGTGCTTAAGTCTATTTAATAAAATGTGATGGTCTACTGTAGTACTCAAAGGCGGCGGTTAGATCCAGCAGGACTAAGACTGTGAGGTCGCGATTATCTAAATTGCACCTGATGTCATTCAGAATTTTTAAAAGGGCTGTCTCAGTACTGTGGTTCCTCCTAAAACCCGATTGGCACTTCTCTTAAATGCTCTTTGTATTTGAAAAAATCATTTACTTGTTGAAGAACAAGTTTTTCCAAGATTTTACTTAAAAATGGTAAGTTGGATACAGGTTGGTAATTGTTAAAAATCTTGGGGTCCAGATTGCTCTTCTTCAGAAGAGGCCTCACCAGCGCCGTTCCTTGACACAGCTCAAGGAAGAACATTTACAATCATTTCTTCAAACAAGATGCAAAGGCAGAAAAACTATTGCGTCTCCAGTGCAAAATGATTAATATGACGATTATTACTTTAAGGAAATGATAAAGTAATGATCATAAATATTCTTCCTTTAGCTGCGTCACCCCGCTGTAGTCTGTAATGGACTGGCCTGAGGTCTCACTACAAACAAGTGGCTGCTGGAAGAGAGTAGGTGAGTTGTGTTTGGTCTCTTTGCTAAAGAAATTAGTCAAAGTTAAAAAGATGTTTGGTGGCTACTAGTACTATGGCTAGGACCCTATATGTCCTGTTGATGAAGTTAGGTGCTGTTCTGAGTATTATTTGTGGCTATAGAGTGGTGTTTTGGTTGAGGTTTGTGTGTGGGTTCTCAGACCGCTGTGTATTGCTATCGTGCGGTAGTTACTAAAGTTGGTATAACTAGAGAAGCAAGCGATCGGCAACATTCATATCTCGAGGGGGTGTCTAACTCGGTGTTATGGTGTGTATGACCCTAGATTAATTTTACGCCGGAATATCCCTTTAATATAAGAAATCAACCCTAGAATCAGAACACAGTGATTCAGCTGGTCTTCTTTTTGTGGAAAGTTGCTACACTTTTAAAGATATGCATCCTAAGCACATAAAGTTTTAGAGAGGGCACAGGCTTACGTTTAAATAATTAGCAAACTTAAGTCTCACGTGTACCGACCACATTAAAATTACCCAGGACTGAGGCGAAAGCCGTTGAGTGCCCTCAGGCCTGCTGCTGGATCAGCATTTCTCAGCACGCAGCAGCAGCAGCAGGATGGACAGCAGTCATTACACAAAGGGCCAGATTTAATAGACCCTTTTCTGCTTCAGTTCAGACATGCTGGGAGTCGTGTGTGTACCGTTTATCGGACAGGTGCACTGGCCTGGAAGTGCAGTTGTCATCTTAGGTGAAAGGAGGGAAGTTTGCCTCTGTCCACCAAGGCAGGATCCCTGGAATGACATTATGAAACATTTAAAAATTCATGTAGTTATAAGTTTTTAGCTGAACTCTCCTCCCTTAAGGATTAAGAGAGAAACTGTATTACTTACAAATAACTCAATATCTGGAAAACCCATGCAGATATAAGGCTAGAAAAATAGTTTATAGAATGGGACTGTGTTTCAACACATTTCAACGTTGTCGCAGACCTGAATCCAAAATTGTTCCATTGGTACAGACATTGTTGTTAACAGAGACACATGTACATTGCACATACTCACATTGTGACTTCAATCAGATTAACTGTGCAGTAGCCTGGAGCGCCACTAGCCAAGCTGCCTATATATCCCCCATATGCATAGGTTATACTGCGAACAGTCAGTCTGGTTTTGCTTCCAGCTTGTGGTTCTTTTCCCACATGGCACACCACACTCTCTCCCTGTTTCTTGCTCTGTCCACTGCCTGTCCCCTCCAAATGAAGGCAACAAAACCTGAAAATAAATCTTCAAGAAAAAAATATGTAGTAGCCTGCTACCTTCAAAGGGAAAAAAAAAACGATGTTTAAAGAAACTGAAGACATAATGAACATCATTCAACAGACTGGTGTTATGTAGAGCTGTGTGAAATACGCCAGGCTCAATTTAGACTCAAGTCTTTCTTACCTTTAAACTAGTTGGTTAGTTGCAGCCACTTTGAAACGTCCTCACTGGTAACATTTAACATTTTTCTAACAAGATATACCTCAAATAAAGACAAACATAATGAATTGTCTCAAACCATGTTGTTTAAGGACACAATTTGGGCCAAGAACCCGTTAACTGCTTGTCTTTGTGATGGACAGAAGTAATTTAGCCTCTGGCATGGATTGTTCTGTCAGAAGGAATAGCTTGTGAATGTCTGTGCACATTCACAAGAGCATGCAAGAAGCACAAGCAAAGGCAAAATTAGAGAAGAAGGTAAACTGAACTTTTCACACAGAGAGCATGCACCTTCTGATATGGCGAAAAGGTACTTGACAACCTGTCATCTTCAACCAGACACCTATAATAACCCTGGCCGCCAGGTCTAGGACCCTTTGCAGTCTCAGACTATGTCAGCTTGTTGTTTTGGAGCAAAGCACAGAAGGTACAACAACAGAGAATGAGGATTTCATGAAATCAGTTCTTAAGCTTGAATGAGACCTTGAGTAACATGGAAGGTATTTGTTTACATCCTAATACAACATGTCAGCTGTGGTTGTTCAGGTGGAGAACAGACATCCATCTTAGGTGTTGCTGTCATTACCAATACTGAATAAACCGCTTGATATGAGTGATGTTTGCCCTATTTATTCATGGAGATGCTTGGCATACAGGTACAGCATCACCACTTTGATGAACCATTTGCAAAACTGCATTAATCCTAGGTTAGTGACTTTCTGATAAGATTTTAGAAAAGAAAAGAAAATCCATTAGGGGGCCTTTATGCAAAAGTAGCAAGTACAAAGAACATTTATTCATTCATTCATATTTGTGAGTCTGAAGTGTTTACCACTTAAGAGGAGCTGTCATGAAAATTCACGCTTGAGATACTGTCTGGGTTATTTCCTTATGTATTATTGCCGTAACAGGAATTGTATCTGCCAGGCCCCCTTTCCCTCTGTCTGACTTTTCAATGACACCTCAGGGGGGTATAATTTAGGTTCACCTTGTTCTCAGCAATTGTCTGTTGCAACATATAACTTTGAGGTGCATCAACTTGCACAGACGCACTGGCTGGTTGTGCCAAGCATGACACGATATGATCAGGCACAATGTACATACAGGAATCAATCATTATTCCATGAGACTGACACAGACCCCACTGCAGCTTCATTAACAGTTACCAGGACCACAAGTTATTTATAATAAATCCTTAAGTGAAAATGAGTCCAAGTTTTTACACCTGTCATTGTGATCATTGAAAAGAGACCCACGGTTCACTACCCTGCCTACACATTTTAATTTACCGATCCCCTCCTGTGCTGCAAACAAGAAAATATTATGACTTTTCTTTACCATAGGCCAGACAACTTTTCATGCAAAAGGACTGTGACATTTTGTCTCAACTCTAAACCTCATGCTAACACTTTCCTACTGTTTGTCTGTGGCACTTCATATCTCTTACCCGTTCATCACACACAGTACTAAGTATCCATTATCACACCACTGATTATGGCTCATTGTTTTTCTTAGTCATAGAATAGCATAAATTAGTCTTGTTGAAAGCTTTTCAGCCTGCTCGTTTCACCAGCACACACTCATCCCCTTATAATCATTGGCATGACTATTAAGTGAAACAGATGAGGGCTTGTTGTTTGATGTGACTGATCAAATCTAAGACACCGCCATAAATAAAATAATGATAATAATAAAAAAAAACTCTCTTTTGATTTTACATTATCTGTGATTGTAAAAATTAGATCAATTTAATGCTTTTGTCAATCATGGTTGTATCCCCTCAGCCAGTTCCTGACATTCATTTACACTAGTGTTTCAAAAAGCACTTACATGGTTTGGAAATGCACTTTGGTTGACGTAGTATTGACATGTCAGCTGACTCTGTGATGAGCGAAGGTGATTGACTTGTTAATATTAAGTGTTTTTTTTGTTTGTGCCATGATTCTCAGAAGCACAACTATGTCGAACACGTCCTATGAAAGCTTGACTTGACACCTATCTCTATGGCGCATTATAAATATACAGTATGTATTATGTTTTATAATCACGTTATAGAACTGTATAACTATAGTTATAAACACTCATAAATTATCATAATGCTGTATAGCAATAATCACAAGACATTATAAAGCATTTTATCATGACTTGCAAGGTCAGGTATTATAATGTGTTATAACTGTTAACAACTTGCTGACAATGCCCAAATAGATAATGCAATGCAACTGTTGTTAACAGTTATAACACATTATAATACCTGACCTTGTAAGTCATGATAAAATGCTTTATACACTCATAAACGATGCATTGTGATCGTTTATGAGTGTTTATAACTATACTTATACAGTGCTATAACATGATCATAACGCATAATACATATATTTATAATGCGTTATAGAGATAGGTGTCACATAAAGTGTTACCAAAACTATTGATTTGGATGAAATTATTAGAAGGTCACAGCCCACTGAATACTTTGGTAGTTGGTATAAACATTCTCAAAAACAGGAAAAATCCATATTTAATTGTTTTGATTCTCAGGACTATGTTTGTGGAATCAGCTGATTGTGCTGTAATTGTGTATCCCTAAGAAAACGTGTTATTGTGAGATTAACCCTTTTCAATATTTTAGAGACTGGGTACTGCCAAAATACCCAAATATTTTCAAGCACTATTTTGTTTATTTTATCTTATTTATTTTACTTTGACCTGAGTTGGAGTAAACAGCACACCCATCCTTTGTTAGTGCAGTTAGAATTAAAGGAGGGAATAAATCTTAAGTGCTTGCAACTACTTTAGGCAGTGCTTAAAATAAGACCACAGGTACCCACGAGAGGATGAGCTAGGGACTATGTTTTCGTGCTCCCTTACCTCAGGCTTGTTAAATTGGCAGATCAATGATGCTTTAAATCTATGTTCCAGCAACACCGCAAACCCCATGGATTTCATTAGTGGATTAAGATAGACCACTGGTCCACACTGAGTCCTGTTCTGCCCGGAGGTCTTTTCCACATGACAAATGGGAGGAAAAACTGTGAAATAACACAAAGAGAAAAGGTCAAATGAGAGGGTGTGAGGAGGAGCCGTGGCAGAGAAAAGGTTGACAGCAGAGGCTGGGGTCAGTGCTGTTGGTGAGGACACACCTGTAGCTATTCATTCAGAGACCAGTGGAACAGATTTTTCTCACTGTATTTTAACCAAGGGTCTTACTTAATCAACAAACGCTTGGCATAATTCTTTCATTCGCACAAGAGACCCTCCAACCAGCCATGAATAACATGGTCTTCATGCAAAATAGTCTGTCTCAACCAGTAAGCTGAAAAGGAAACAGAGTGAGAACGGGTGTAGGAGAGCAGATGAAAAAGAGAGGGTGTTGGGAGAAGATGCTGGGGGGAGCCGGTCTTCCTCTGATAGCTTTGTTTATGTGCCACTGTCTGTGGATCATTGATCCATTCATCTTCATTACAGCTCCCTGTGAGAACTATTAACTGCTGCCATCCTCAGTTGGGTGCCGGCTATGTTGACATGCAGTGCACAGTCTCCCCACCAGCCAACCAATGTCCCTGCCACCTCTTCTTTTTCAAGGTAGAGGCTGACTGGTTAGTGCTGCTCGTGGGAAATGAAAGGCAAAGAATCTGACAGGATATCTTTAAAAGAGGTGTTAAGTAGATTTGTACAGCTGCTAATTGCATTGATGACATGGTTAAAAGATCATGGAGGAACATGCACTGGGAGGCAGAAGCTGATACGCATATGCATAATGCACATAGCACAGTAATGGGAAATAAGTGGGTATGCTCATTAATGCACAGATTCAGAACCATAATTTATCAAAACCTGCAAATACCAACTTGTCTCTAGTTGGTATTTGATGATAAAACACTAACAGTGATAAAAAAGACTCTTTTCTGCCAATCATATGAATATCTCTGTATAAACTGGTATGAAAGGGGTATGCAACCAATACCTTAGAAAAAGTATCTCTAGGAAAAAAAGAGGTATCATGTCTTTCTATACAGGTTAGGCAGGTTGTATATTACTCATGGTTTTACATAGCTCACCCAGCAAACTTTGCTTTTGACCCATGAAACATGACAATAAATCATTCACCCACTCATGCTCAAGAGGTGCTTGGTTACACTTTGTTAAGAGGATTCAGCATAGTGCATAAACTTTAAGCAGTCAGGAAATAAATCCCTGGTGATTTGTTAAACTGTGTTGACTGCTCGGGTTCATGCTGAGTCTCTGCTTAAAGCACTCATACCTGCAAATGTCTCCCAAGAGAAACCCTGCTCCGATCTCTCTCTGCGCTGTTACCATTGTCTATGCAAAGTATGTTGTTATTCAACTGCTTGAGCTCAGAGAGACATCATGGGTCAGCAGGAGCAGCTTGAACGACAACCCCATGACTGCTATTGACTGCCAAGATCACTTTCACCTCGCTGTGTCGACTCATAGCATTCCTTGGCTTGTGAAATCTGACAAGTTTAACTTGTACTTGTTGTACAGTGTTATTTTTAAGTGAATATGAGAAAAAGCTGACTGATCACAGCTTGATCTTTCTCTGTCTCAAACTCTTTTTTTTTTCCATCACAGAAACAACCACAGATCTGGCCATCCTCATCACTGCCTCGTTCAAGCCAAAAGAAAAGGGAAAGCAGAGCATGGTCAGGTGGAGCCGTCACTGTTGCTATGTGTAAAGGAGTGCTGTGGCGTCAATGGAGACCGAAGGCTACCGTGACCTCCTGGAGACCAGCGATGGTCAGGGGGTGGGCCTGCTGGATGGAGGGAGCGAGGTGGGGGCTGAGGAGGGCTGGAGCACACCCTATCCTCTGGGTTTCCAGGTGTCTTTAACCACTGTATTAATACTGGAGCTGGTCTTGGGGTTCAGCAGCAACCTGACCGTGCTTGTGCTTTACTGTGCCCAGTCTAATCTGGTGGATTCAGTCAGCAACCTGGTTACAGTCAACCTCCACGTGCTGGACATACTGGTCTGTGTGCTGTGTCTGCCACTGACTGTGGCTGTGATCCTGCTACCGGCCAATGGTAGTGGAGTCAGCAGTCTGGCAACACTGTGCTGTTTTCACGAAGCCTGCGTCACATTCACAAGCGTAGCCACAGCAGTCAATGTGCTGGTGATCAGTTTGGACAGATATGACATCTCAGTCCGTCCGGCTAGTCGCCTTCTGACCCCAAGGCGTGCTGCACTACTCCTGGCTGCAGTGTGGGCTGTGTCTCTGGCTGTTTTCTTTCTGCCTTTCCTCGAAGGGGACTTCTTCTCTTCAAGGGCTGAAGACAGAGAGGATGAGGAGCCAGAACACCAGAAAAATGACTCTGATTTCACAACTGGACTGATTCCAACATTTCCATCACTCTCCCCCTCTTCCTTACCGGCTATTCATCCGTCCTCCCCTTCACACCACCTGCCTCCCGTATGGCAGAACAGGACACTGCTGTGTGTAGGAGGGCAGGGGTATTACACAGGCCTGGCTATGTATTACCACTTGTTACTCCAAGTGCCATGCTTTTTCATTGCTGTGGTTGTCATGTTATTCACCTACTCCAGGATTCTACAGGCCCTGAACATTCGCATCGGCTCTCACATGATGCGAGGTACACGTACCAAGGACTCCACCTGCAGGATACGCTGCAGGAGGCAAAAGAGGAAGGACCTGAGCCTACCGACTGAAGTCGTGTCCTCAAACCAGAACCAGAACCTCAGCCATCCTCCTCTCATCCCCTCCCCAACTCCCACACCCACATCACCCCCAGCAATCTCATCCATGCCCCAGGGCATGTCGGACAGTGGAGCGACTGTCACTACTGTTAGTACTGCTGCTACCACCCCCATTGCCACCACTCCAGCTACCCCTGCCTCCCCGACTCCGGGTTCAGCCTCAACTCACACCCAAGCCACCACCCCGCTGCCAGCCTCCTCCATGGGTGTTCAGGCTTCGGTTTCTGCTATCATTGCCTTGAGGAGAGCAGTACGCAGACACAGGGACCGTCGAGAACGTCAACGGCGTGTCCTCAAAATGTCCCTGTTAATCATATCCACATTTATTGGTTGCTGGGCCCCTCTGTCTGCAGTCAATGTTCTGATCCTGTGTATGGGTCCCAGTGACGGCCTGGTGCGACTGCGCCTTTGCTTCTTGGCAATGGCGTATGGAACTACCATTTTTCATCCTCTGCTGTATGCTTTCACCAGGCAAAAGCTGCGCCGTGCCCTCAAAACACGTGTAAAGAAAAGGGTAGTGTCCCTTCTTCAGGTGGACCCAGCTCCTAGTGGAGGGACGGTTATTCATAACTCCTGGGTGGAGGGGGGTCAGAGAAAGACACGTAAGCCTCGAGTAGAGGCAAGTGATGGCACTGATCGATGTCTCACAGAGGCAGTGAGGGAATGAGGCTGGTCTTGGTTTACATGTGTGGGTGTGTGTGAAAATAAAGAGATGTATGTATCTTACCAGTCTGTCAGAGAAGGATTATGGATTTATGCGAGGAAAATGAGAACCAGGTAGTTTACAAAGGTCAGTAAGAATCCCCTGACCTGTGGTTCCATGCATATGTGGAGACAGGTGAGTCCTGAGCTCTAATTAGAGACCTCTTTCTGCTCTCCCTTCACATGCCCTCGTTAGTCCTCGTCTGACCGACAAGGTAGCAAACATATCTCCATGGCAACACTGGCCGAGCATTAAGACAAAACCTTAGCCACGGCTACTGGAAATACTAGAGTGTCCACCCCACGCGTACAGTAAGGGTTAGATAACAGCAAAGCATAAATTATTGCTCCTGTGTGCACTTTCAACTTGCATGTGCATGTATATATGCACAGATAAACAGACAGACATAGACACACACATACGAACACACACTGACACACACAGAGAAACACTTCACTCACACTGGTCAATATTTTGTCATCATTTGTGAAAGCACACCGATATCTACCTGCACAGATATTCTCAGTGAGAATGGTGTTAATGGAAGTCTAAGTTTCTTTTTATTTTTTTTTTTATATTCTTTTTGTTCATGCCTCATTAAGTTATTTATATATCTCATGGTGCTGAATGTCCTGATGTATGTTTACAACAACGTATCAGAGTAACAGTATTCGTGCATACTGTAAATGGTATGGTTAATTGATAGCAGGTAAATGCAAGCATCCAGATTCAAAGTTTACAGGCTCAACTACCAGGAAACTGCAAAAAAAACAAAAAAAAAAACAGGTTCAGATTTCATTTAAGCACCATAACATGTGAAAGTTCAAACTTAAAGGCATGACCTTAGTTTTATTTATTTATTTTTTAAATCAATTTATTCAAGGCGAGGATGTGTGAGTTGTTTGCATGCACGCATGTATGCATACAGGGATATATGAGTGTGTGTGCGACAGTGATTATGTGCAATAAATCATGAGCAAAGCAATGACCCCAAGGATGTGAACTTAAACAGAATGTGAACACAGAAATGTTGGTTTTCTATTAAAGGTTTGCATAACAAGGGGAAGGGGGAAGAAAAGTCTTGTTAACAACAAAAGCAAATTACCTGGAGCAATTGTAACAACACAGTTAAGTGTAATACTACTAATATATTATCACTTTGGTTTTTTTCAAGTGGAAAAACAAGGGCAACATTTTGTAAAATCTTCATTAAAGGTGTGTCATTGAAGATAACCTAGCATCTCTAACCGGAGAAATCCCTAGCTCTGACCTGGGACATTTTTTTGTGTAAGCTTTTTTAGCTCTGGAGGGCAGAGCCACTGCTTCTGACTGCACTTTGGACAACTGCAGGTGCAAACAGGCCACTGCCAGCATCTGGATTGAGAACTGGACATATTACTATTCATCTGTGTCTCTTTTTCTCCTCAGGACTATGCGTCTCATATCCAAACTTGGTGGAAATGAAACAATAAACCAGCCCTCAGTCAGCAGTTGTATAATGGGTGTTACATTAGGTTAAGATTTATGTAAGTTAGTAGTTAACAGTACACTCCAAACTTTATACGGGAGAGCTTCTTGGGCATTGGGATTTCTCCTTCATTCTCACCTCTTTTACACTTCTTGTGAGCCAGATGGAAAACAATAATTCTTGTGTAATCATGTACATTTTTCAGGGATGTAAATATTGAAGTGTCTGTGGTGGGTTTTAGATTTAAAAAAAAAAAAAATCATCACAATCATCTGCCGGACAGAAAATCAGCCATTGTGATAAACTCTGAATGAGTAGAAAGTTACTGTAAAGAAAAGTAATTGTATTTGTGTTAATACTGTATGTGTGTACACTGTACTGTACAATAATGACAATGTGTATAGAGAAACATTAGTATTGTATAAGATTTATATTACGTGTTATTATATAGAACAGAAATGAATCTGTATTAAAAAGATGATCTATCTAAAAAACGATCTGTCTGCTGTGTCACTTAAAACATGTCTCATGTAAGTATTGCTTGCTTTTAAATATTAATTTCTACCTATTGGAAAGTTGAAGCATACACTATAATGTATTCTGCACGTCAGAATAGTTCAATTTTATCTGCTAGGGAATATGCCTGATTTTCAGACACACCAGAGTTGAACTGAAAAGCAGAAAAAAAGCAATAAAGGAAAATAAATGCCACATTGTATTTCAGTGAAATAATAGGAGACCATTTTCTACAAATTCCCTCAGTGGTTTCATGTAAAGTTCAGGCTGAGAGGTTGGGCAGCTTCAATGTCTGATAGTTAATGAATGGACAGGACACTGATGCGTAAATAAGGAACTGAATTATGACAACAATGTGACTTAATTATTGTGAGGAAGAGCTCTTTTAAATAAAATGTCATCAGTGGGCTCCCATCACAAATGCAGCAGTATCTCGAAACTGCACGAATCTATCATACTCAGTGTAAGTTGAGATTTCCTCCATCCCTCTTCATTTGCCCCTTATTGACCATGCGCGTCTTTTCCCAGCTGTTCCTCCCTTTCTTCTTCTTCCTCTCTTGTTTCCCCTTACCATTTCTCTGATCCCTAAATATAGCTCATCCGTCCCAGATATTTACAGTATTTAGTCATGACTGTGATGAACCCTGAATATAGGCACCCTGTGATGTGATTACAGTGTCAATCATTACTGCTGATGAAGATGGGAATTGTTTGTCAGGTAAGCCGTCTGTGATTACATTCAACTACTTCATGTGAACACGTTCTAATTCAGCTGCACAAATCTGCACATGTTACATGTGACTGTTGCCTTACTGATTTGGGCAGTGAATCCACACTGTATATTTCCCCATCCTGTTTGATAATCTCATCAGCCCCCTCCTCTTTCACGCCCTTATTTCCTCCCTTGGTTCTCCCCCTCGTTAGTCTGCCGGTCTGCATCTCCTCTCTCATCTTTTATCCACTCTCAGGCCCTCCAGAACAAAGCGAGGAACAGCTGCAGTGTCTGTGAAGGAAGGAATGTCACCTTGGGGGCTGATGCTGGAACAAAAACGTGAGAGAGAGAGGAGGAGAGAGAATGAGATGTAGAATAGAGAGGGGATTAGGGGGGAAATAGGAAAAAGATGGGGGACACACACCCGCATCAGGACATCCTATGACTAATCAAAGGACAGCTCTGCATCACTGCAAAGCACTAGTTAAAAACACAATCACCATGTACAGGATGATAAGATAGGCCTAGACTTCACTGTGTTCTGCTTCTGTTGCTCTGGTGGAGTCTCACAAAATTGCTACTGCCTATCATACTGTGAAAATACGCTCCCATTTGGCTGTCATCCAAAAATCACAAGTCATAGCTAGAATAGGTCTCAAGTAGTCTAAATATAGAGAGTCTGGTCTATTCCATCATTTAAAGCAAGGGATTCAACATGTAGTGACTATGACAAGTGATATGTATCAGTTCAGTAATTTATGGGACAAAGTGGCTTCGGCAGGACCTTGAGTACATGCTAGTGACAGTTTTTTTCAAGAAAAATACGGGAAACACAACAAATAAATTAAAAAAGTCAATAAAGAGTATGATCTACCCCAATACAAAAACTACTAAAGTAAAAACGTCAGTCTCAGGCTCTTTGCACTTTTTATAGGTCTCTTCAGGCGACGGAGTTGGACAGGTTGAGTATCTCACTTAATGTCAATAGCGCCATCTTGTGTATAAAACTGGCTGGAACAACATTAGCCGAATACAATTTTAGCATTTTTCTGTTTCGCTCCCCTCGTTAAAAGCCTTTGAAGTCAAATTGACGGATAAGTAATTATTGTTAGTATGAAACAGTCGTGGTACCACGCATACTCGCCGAAATAGCTCAGTTGGGAGAGCGTTAGACTGAAGATCTAAAGGTCCCTGGTTCGATCCCGGGTTTCGGCAGTAAGCATGGGGCTGTTTTTGTCTTCATCCCCTGGCGAAACTGTGCGACTATCCTTCCCTTTTTCACGCTACACAGTTGAGCACTGCTGATTGGCGCATTAACAAGAGTGGCAGCGGACCATTCCCAATTGTAATCTAGTTTTTGATATCCGGTTATGGCAAATTTCTTCAAGCAAGTGGGAGGAGGCTACTTCACAGCTTAAGACTCTATATTACTCTGTTTTAACAACTTAACCCCGCCGATCTGGAGGCAGTTACGCTCAAAGCAAGTAAAGAGTATAAATCACCTATTTTGCAGTATTTTGTACACCCTCTAAAAATTTCCCTGTAGTGTGCAGTGTGGTTTTAACAATAAAAACAGCTTAAATTGAGTTATTATTTTTTTTGTGTACTCTTCAGCTGATCCAGTACTGCACTTAAAAGGCACTGACCCAGCAAAGAAACTGTTTTTGTGTTGAAAGACGCGGTTGTTTGGCAACTGCAATGAAACCAATTGATAGAATATGTCGCCAGGGGGCGCTATTGTACAATAAATGTTCTCGGAAGGTTGAAAACAAGCCTGCAGTTTCTCCCAGGGCACTAAAGAAAGTTCTTTCAGGTACTACAGATAGCCTTGATACCCTGCATTGGAATGCAAATGTCGCCTTGTTTTTTTAAGCCCTTGCAGGTTCTTGATTGTGATGGATTGACGTGACGACCAAATCTGCCTGCACTTTTTTCATCATTGGAAATTTTAAACTCTCAAAAGTATTTGGATTTTTGGCAGAAAAACATAAATAGAATAATATATGTGTGTTTCATATTCCAAAATACTCACCCACAGTGTATGATCGTATTCAATAGCATGCACTGTGTTTTTGAGGTAGTCTTGTGTTTGACTACTGTAGATTTTAAAAAGGCTTAAAATAAATAAATTCGAGTCAATTTTAAGATTATGTCTTTTTTTAAAATGTATGTTTGAGTTGAATTAAGACTTTGCTGACATGTAATAGCTTGCTTTTCAAATCAAAGACTGACCCTGACATCAAGAGTGTTGTTCTTACTTTGTAGGTCAGTCAGGGGCAGGCATCACAAGTAAGCAGTCGTTATAAATGGTCTTCTTGGGGTATTGTTTCATGCCACATTCTTTACATGTTCTGATAATAAAAAATAGAAAACTATATATTTAGATAACACAATTACAGGGATATTCCGACGTAAGTTTAAGCCATGGTCAAACACACCATAACACTGAGTTAGACACCCCCTCGAGAGATGAATGTTACCGACCGCTTGCTTCTCTAGTTACACAAACTTCAGCAACGACCGCATTGTAGTTATACACAGCGGTCTATGTCTCCATGCACAAACATATCAAAAAGCCACTCTATAGTCACAAATAACGCTCAGAACAGCACCTAACTTCATATAGGGTCCCAGCACATCAAACATCTTTTCAGCTTTGCTTGGTATGGTTTCTTTAATTAACCAGATTTTGAAATCTGAGTCAAGTTATGCAAAGCAGTGTAATTTGATTTGCAAATCAATATAAATTGAATTGCATCTCATCATTTCTCACAAATACCAGCTGATCCCAGTTTTACTTAAGGAAGAGGTGTAACTTATACCTGGGTTTTGTTATGTAAGTGCCTGATATGAAGTAAATTAAGTAAATGTTGCAACTGAGTCAAATGTAGAAACTGAGTCAAGTTAAAGGAATTAAATGCTTTTGCCTCTGAAATACACTTAAACACTGTATCCTTGAATGTTGTGTACAGCCTGTTATAACTTTCCAGAGTGGTACAATTTATAATTTAAAACCTCTGACTCCTTACACCATGTTTAATAAACTCTAAATCATGACTCCCTAGCTTTCTCTTGCCCGGTGATGACCTGCCCACGTTGACACAGCCCTCTGTTTTGTTAAGCTGTCATCTTGTTGTTGATGGAGAGGCTTTCTCAGTTTTATGCAACATCACTCACATGACAGTCATGTGACCTCAGAGTCTCTTGTGACGTCAGGGCGTGTATAACCCACATGGGTTACATGTTGGACTTCACCACCACTCACCTCCAAGGGAGAAATCCTCTGGATGAGTCTCAACATGTTTGAAATACCAAACCAGACAGTGCACGTTCTCAGTTTTCTGGATTTTGTGGAAAGAAATTTAAATGAAATGTTTTAAATTCAAAATATTAACTTTAACTTGCTGTCAATTTTCTGTTCACTCAAAAACTGTTATACTTTTTATTGTTGGCATAAACCCAACGCTCTTCTGACACTCAGTACCTCTTTTTGACCTCTTTAACCTCTCTTAGTAAGTTGGTGTAAGCGTTTTTATTTTTTAGCATTTCTTCACTTATTTGGGTTATATTTGTCATCACAACTTTGTTATGGTTTATACTGCTAACAAAGAAATTTGAACTCATTAAAGACACAGTATACCATGCCTTTAATGAGTTCAAATTGTATATATATATAACTACTATATATATATATATAACTATATATAACTATATATATATATATATATATATATATATATATATATATATATATATAGTTTTATTAATAAATATCATTTGCATTACACTTTTTGTACAAGAGTGCAATTTAAACTACATTTTAGTGGGGAATTACTGAATAATAAAAAAAACTCAGCAGAGAAGTATAGCGATAAAAGAACATGTGTAACATAAGATAAAAAACAAAACCTACTTTTAGTCACAAATTAAGCATTAGTTTTAGAGAAAAAGCTCTGCCAAGATCCCCTCTTCCCTCCTCTAGCTTCCTGCTTTCCATTCACCACGTGTATTTGTGTAATTTGACCCTTGAACTCCATAATTTCATTCACTTCTGTCTATTCATCATCACCTGTCTTTCAGTATTTTATTAGTTCCCCGACCTTTTTTTTGGCATGACGGCTGGCCAGTAAAGCAGCCTCTCCTCGGTTTATTTATACACACCTTTGCCAGGAAAGACTGAACCCGATGCACCCTGAACCTTACACGTGACTCATTTATTCTGTCTGTGTTGGTGTGTGTCAGCATGATTGTGAGGTGGACTGGAAACAC